CTTTGTAAGACTGGGCTTTCTATTGGTATGTCCTCGTATCACAAAGCGAGGTAGCAAGTGGAAGACTTGTGTAGTAGAAAGTGGCTTGATTCCTCTAAGTGGAAGACCCGTATGAGGGTCCTATCTATATACCGTACAAGACGGGTAATCGGCTTGTGGAAAGCGGTATCGTACGGCAGTAACCGGCAGCGCCACGTGTGGCGCTGCGACACCTCGGAGATAGCAGCGTGCATAGACCTTGCTAGACCACGTTGATGCCAGTTTGAACACTGTTTCTCCTCCTGAAGCTCTCTCTCCAAGGATTCGATCTTCGTCAAACAGTCTTTCAAAAACTGTTCCCTCTCGGCGTCCCGACGTAAGAGGTCCTGGACAATATTCGAAAGCTTATTAATCTCGTCTTTAAGCTCAGAATTGTCCTGGTGGTTAACCTGCTCAACCACTCTGACCTTTACAGTCGGCTTCCGGACTCGTCCCGACCGCCGAGATATACCGGCGTCCCCGTGAACCGTGATCGATGGCCCTATATCTAGGGAGACCGCCATGGTCGTGGAATTCAGCTCGTATGGGCTGATGTTGAGAGATGATAGTGCAGTGGGCCGTAGCCCTCTATAATCTTAACAATTACTAACAGTGGGTACCTTTCGAGGTATGTGTTCAGAAGTTGTACACGAGGGAAAGGGATATATATGTCACCCTACGGAACGGAATAACTATGGATAAGTCACGTGACCACAATTATACGATAAGATAAGGAACGGACGCCCGTGAATAAGTGGGACGGACGATCGTGGATAAGTGGGACGGACGACCGTTTGGTAAACGGTCGGGCAATAGTGAACAATATATCACAAAGGATATGTTCAGGATCAGGACTTGTATATAGGATGGACTCGATCCGGGCTCTAGTACAGACTTCCCATAGCTCTTCAGCAATTAACTTCGTATCAGGATTAACATCCGCTTTCAGCTACTACCTTGACAAGACTACGATTGATCACCGAAGCCTTACCTACCCTTACGATTGACAGACATAGCTTCCCTGAAGCTATCCCCGACTACGATTACTGTTACCAGTTCCGCAGCCTCAACTTCTGCAAACTACCCCTACGACTAGCTGGCCGTAACACCGCCCTTGCGGCAGACCTCCCGAAGGGTATATGGCGTGGAGGGCCGTAGGCCTATAGCTATCACTAGATACAGTCCAGCTCGTCCTCCAAATCGTGCCCAAAGGCAACTATGTGTTTAACCTGTCTCTGGGTGCCGCTGGCTTGCCCGAGACAGTACTATAGTCGTCCCTAGAACGCAATTCCGCCAGTATCTCCTATCCTTCGACCTAGAGCCCGCAGGCTTCTAGTTTATATAACATTCTAATAACCGTCCGGAATATATCATAATAAGTAATACCGCTACAAGGGAAACTACAAGGGGCAAAACCTCGTAAGACTAGGTTGTAGGGCTTGTTGTTAGGTTCTGTAACGAGTATAGCTATATATAGCCGTGGCTATACGTCGCTACCTAATGGTCGTTTCGTCTCTTCGAGGGAGTCTTCGATCGTTAAGGGGCAAAGGTGCTGAGAGAGCAAAGTCAAAAAAGTCGGTCGGTAATGTTCAATTTTGGGCCCGGAAGCGCCACTTACGCCGGGAAAGAAAGTCGACCGTCTCCTTCGGGAGGCTAGATGGAACCTCTACTCCCTGCCCTACCAGGAAGACTTCGTCTAGCCTACGGAAGGCAAATTCGAGTCGACGGCGGCTCGTTAGGTTGAATAATCGTCGGCTCGATTCGAGGGGAAAATGTGCGTTGTTAAGGGTTTGATTAGCGTATAGCTAATCCAACCCAGCGCGCAGCGGCAAACCGCGGGGACTGGGGCCCCTCCTTAGCATGGCACTAACAGCCCGTGCCAAGCTGGAGAGATGTTTCGTGGAGGTTGTCGAGGTGGGTGTAGGCATTAATAACGTTGTAATCAGGCTTCTGCGCCACCCGCTGAGCCCTGCTGCTTGAGGTAGCTAGGGTAGGTTGGCTAGGTAGGGGGGGTAGGACTGGGTCGTCAGGGGCTTGTAGCCCTTCTGCTTCAGCCCCATTCTCATCTTCATCTATGCTGCTATAGCTAGCCGTATCACCAACGTCCGCTATAACAATTGAGTCCTGGGTAGGGGTAGGGGCGCTTGGGCTCTTTGAGCCGGGCTGATGGCTCGTTAGGCTGTTGCTAGGTTGCTGGGTGTTGCTGGCTTGGGTGCTGCTCTGATAGAGGGCCTCATAGGCCTTCTGACCAGCCTTACGGATCCGGGAGAGTTCCTTCCGGTCTGGGAGGGTATTGGAGCCATTAACCACTAGGGGCCTTGCTGGACAGTCCTTGTGGTTAGCTTGGAAGGGGCCGGAGCAGTTAGCGCACTTCGGTCTAGCTATGCAGGGCCCAGTCTCGTGGGATCCCGAGGGCCTACTACAGTTACTATAGAGTGGCTATCGGTTATAGTATCGGTTCGAATGATATCCCTGGCATCCAGGGTCATGTCTGATTAGGGTCTTCTTCTTTTAGACAAGCTGAGACCTGCTGCTTTAGTTAAATAGTCTGAAGGGTAGTACTTCTATAGAAAAGGAGATGACCTAGGAGACTTCATTTATAATAAGGTTTATACCTAGCCGGGACTGCTAGGCCCGGGTAGGCTTACGTCCTATTTAGGTAAGGACCTCATCTTTTATTAGAGTAGCTAGGTCAAGGGCGTTGCTATTAAGAGTCCATATCTTAGTAGGGTAACGTAGGACGACGTAGGTAAACCACTTAATAGGGGTCTTAACCTTATAGGCTCTAAGATACTCTGCTAGTTTCTATTTATTTACAAGGAGGGCTTACTAGACCTGCTTATTTAGGGGTCTTAATAAGTAACTAGTTATAATATAATAGATATATGGGATATCTACTAGCTAGAGCCTAAGTTTTACGCCCGCCGCAACTTGTCACTGTGGGCGCGTAGCTATATAATGCAGAACAAGGGACAATGATGCCGGAGTCATCATTATCGAAGCTTTTGCTTTGTGCCACAGTTGGTTGCCTTGTCCAGCTCGTAACACTAAGGGCCTAGTAGACTATCTGGCGTAGGGCGAAGGGGGCGTGCTTCCTAGTAGTTGCTAGGCCCTCTTCTAGGATACGGGTAAAGACCCGGAGGTCCTCCTTCGGTTAGGATATAGCCTAGGCCCGGGTCTCCGTTAGACTCTATGTCTGGACTTTGGGCCGGGTAGGGATTCGGGTACGGGTCGGGGCTACGGCCACGGCTATAGTTGAAGCCGAGGCTGCTACGTCAGTTCATTTCCGGCTCGGAGCCGGAGCCGTAGTCTCGTTACCTATAATCCTCTTTAAGGCTTAGATTACATAGATTATAGCTTGTTTTATAATCTACTTCCTAGGCCCCTCAAAGTAAGAGATTATGTTATCTATAGACTAAGTAATAGCTATAGAGACATCCTTTCGGGCTTTATAGTGCTTAGCCTCTTTATTAAGAGCTGTAAGGACAGCTCTAGTAGCTGTCCTAGTCATAGTCGAGGGCCCCTTAGCTGTTAAGGGGGTTGTTGTTGGGGCGTCGGGCTGGCTTCTTACGAGGCTGGGCCGGAGTGGCTGGGCCTCGGTTTCGCGGCGGCGTTTAGCCCTTGAGGATAGGGACGGCTCTGAAGAGGGTCCAGAACCTCGATCAGGGCCGGCCGAGGAGGCCGGTAACGGTCCAGAGCCCGCCGGAGGCTACGAGGCCATCGCGGGAGGGCGCCGGAGGAGAGGTGAAGGGTTTTCAGCTGTTAAGGATTTTGGTGGTAGCCCACTTATTACACTAACAGCAGATGCCAAGAAAAATTAGGCGAGAGGGAAGTTTTGCTCCTACCTCTATAAGGCACATACTTCAACGTCAGGCACATACTCTTGTTACTCCAAATTTAATTAATTCGAATTGGGGTTTCTACTCCACGCATTGGATTTGAAATCAGTAGATTTATAATTCCGGTGCACACCGCTGCCGCTGCCGCTGCCGCTGCCGCCAGATGCCCGCTTGTACGCATGGAGGAGAGAGGAGACCCTAGGCTAGAAGATCGAGAGTCAACTTCTACGGTCTTCACCCTGACTGTAGCTGGCTTTCCTCAGTGATCTTGGGCCGCGATAGGTGACACCATTAGGCTCCATTATCTGAAGCTTTAGGAACTGGGCATCAGCTTAACGGAGTGTGTAGAAGCACAGCCTGCACGCTGCACGCCATATTCAGTCCGGTGATTGGTTGCCGACTGCCTGAAGTTCGGGAAATAAAGCTTAGTTTCACGAGGCGTCTTGGATTTTGTTTCCCCTTATCGCCCAAAGCTACAACCATCATCAACTGATGTGAGGTAGGTACTGCCCGTTTACATGCGATCTACGGAACGTGTGCTATTTCTTAAGGTACTTAAGCGATAGAGTTGAAAATCTCCCGATGTGAACCATGTTAAGCGTTTGTGCTGGTGCCCAAATCTCATGTGACAGCACTAGTTCGGACGTTGTGACAGAAACTCTAGGGTCCTAACTTTCCCACCATTGACGGGTTGAAGTATCGAAACGGTAGTTCTCACTACAATTGGAGCGTTTGATAATCCCAGATTCCGAAATCTGAATTTGCAATACTTATAACCTTGGAAAGTAATTGCTGTTATGATTCGAAGTTTGCATTGTAACTAAATGGCTTGGTTGGGTCGGCTACCTCTCAGTTGATTTTGTCCGGTCCCCTCAGCTCGGTGGAATGCATCAGAGACACAATCAACAGATCGAGATACCTTGGATGATCGAAGAACTTCGACTGACTTTTGCCGGCAGCCGTTTGCGCCAAACTCTCGGATAACGGGCAGGCGCTTGGCATGCCGTCAAAAGCGTGGCTTTTGTCAACGACGCGTTCCACAACAGTCTTGACGTCATGAAGCAGCGCCAGCCACAAAGCGTATCACTAATAAAAGTGCCGGTAACCTCCCCGAATGAGATCAACGTGAATCACAGAGACGCGCCTCTTGGCAGTTCAGCCAAGCTTTTATGGATTTCTTTAAGCCTCCGATTGTGCTCATCCACGGCCTGTGGATGACACCGCTTTCATGGGAGTACTGGATACCATTTTTCGAGAAAGAAGGGTTCGAGGTCCACGCTCCGGGCTGGCCGGGGGTGGACGGCCGAACGCATGAAGAGATCCGTGCGAATCCGAAGCCGATATCCCTACATCGAATAGAAGACATTGTGGACCACTACGAGACATACATCAGGAAGCTTTCAGAACCTCCCATCATCATTGGCCATTCTTTCGGCGGCTTGTTCGCCCAGATACTGTTATCGCGAGGGCTTGGGGTAGTTGGAGTTGCTGTGTGTCCCGCGCAGCCAGCGGGGATCATTTACATTTCACCGAGCACCATAAGGACGGCGATGCCCATTTTCACTCACCCGTTGCACTCTGACGCCACAACACCGATATCCGAAAGCCACTTTCGCTATTGCTTTGGCAACCTCGTTACAGCTGAGGAAAGCAAGAAGTTGTGGGAGCGATATTGCATTCCAGCAGATTCTCGGGTCCTCTGGCAATTGACGACGAATGTTACAGCCGGAGAGGCTGCCCCCCACTATGTACAATTCGACAAGCCTGACAGGGCACCTTTATTGCTCATAGGAGCCTCGAAGGATCACATCGTGACGGCAAGGACCGTCAGGAAAGAGTTCAAGGCATACAAAGGACCTGCGCCGGTGAAATACAAGGAGTTCAAGGCAATGAGCCATGCACTGGTTTTTCAAGAAGGGTGGGAAACAGTCGCTAGTTATGTTTTGGAGTACATTGATAAGCATATTCATTGATAGCGTTAGAGTCATGGCTTTCCAGGTGGCTCAAAGAGTTAGACATCATGATAAGTCAACATACCCACTTCCTGGCCCCCCCCCCCCCCCCCCCCCCCCTGTTTCTGGCACCCACAAAAACGCGAAAATCCACCACAACACAATGCCCACCCCCAACCTCCTTCTATCACAACATTTTCAATTCGCGTCCAAATGGGCTCATCTTTTACACATAACTTCTTCTATATCTAATACCTCAATATAACGAAGATCAGCTTCGTCAGGCTCTCGAGGACATCTCAAACGGCAAGAGTCAAAAGAGAGCCTCATTAGAGTATGGGATACCACGATCAACCCTCCAACTACGTCTCCAAGGTGGTCAGATCAGGAAACAGGCATTTGCTGACCTGCAGAGGCTATCTCCTAACCAAGAGAGCAAGCTGGCACAATAGGTTCGTATTCAGGCTTCGCTGGGCCTCGCACCAACGCACCAACAGTTAAAGGAATTCGCCGAACGAGTCCTGCTTGCTGCTAGGGATACCAGACCACTGGGAAAAGGCTGGATCCATGCCTTTATTAAAAGGAACCCTATCATTAAGGTTCAGAGAAGTCGTTCTATCGATCCTAGACGCGTTAATGGGGCATCCACTGAGGTCATTAGGAACTGGTTTAAGTTCCTTGCTATCCCTGAGATTAAGGACATCAAACCAGCCAACAGGTATAATATGGATGAGACTGGCATCCTCGAAGGCCAGGGAGCTAATGGGTTAGTGTTGGGCATGGCTGAGACGACGTCTGTTCGCAAGAAACAGCCTGGGTCGAGGGCATGGGTGTCTATCATTGAGTGTATCTCAGCCCTGGGCACGGCACTTCAAGGGGAAGACAATCCAACAGCAGTGGTTTCCCGGGCGGAAATTATCGCCTACCCATCCAGTATATTGCACGAAGAACCGCCGTACCTCGGCGCTATGGCCGATTACCGGGACCGTGGACGATCCGGGACCACTACCGCCCCCGATAGGCCTGGCCGAAGCCTATTGGTACGCCCTGGTCAGAGACCCGGGTGCCTTTGAGAAGTTCGAGCGTGTGACGCGCTACTATGAGGCTCACTCTCTGCAAAGATAGCGAGCCCGAGATCCCGCGCCTCACAACTCTCTCACACACCCACCGACGCCTTGAGGCCCCGGCCTTACCACACCCCTCTCTCTTCCTTCCTCCTTTATCTTCTATATAAGAAAATATAAGAAAACAGAAAAATGCTCGCGTAGGCAAATATGCCTCCGAGGGCCGGTTACTTGTTGCGGCAACGCCGTCTGTGGACGGCGTAGGGCTGCTAGAGACCCATTCGCTTCTGCCGAGTCAGGGACCCCCTGCTGGCGTGCTTTTTGGAACTGAACGGACCCTGGGGATTAGATACTAAACTCCACTGCTCTAGGCACGAGAAGAAAAGTGTACATTATAGACTGCCTGACTTGTCGTACGCTATAATGGCGGCACGGCACATCATATGCCCAAAGGGCGCTCTGGTTGATCGGAGCTTAGTTACATAGATAGCTGGGCACCTGTCCCTGATGATGTAAAACACCACTACTACTACTACTACTACTACTGCAGTGGTTTCCATTACATCTGGATCCATACGATGGGTGGGAGTTCACAGCAACAGATAATGGCTGGACTACTGACTTAACTGCCATTGAGTGGTTGGAGAAGGTGTTTATCCCCCAGACTATCCCTGAGACTGAGGGGGAGGCTCGACTGCTTATTGTGGATGGGCATGGGAGTCATACGACGACAGACTTCATGGGGAATTGCTATATGAACAACATCGATTTACTGTTCTTACCACCTCACTCCTCTCACGTCCTCCAACCTCTTGACCAGTCTGTCTTCAGCCCAGTTAAGGCAGCCTATCGGAAGGAGCTCGGTTACCTATCTCAATAGAACGATTCTACCATTGTAGGCAAAAGGAACTTCCTAGACTATTACCAGAAGGCTCGGCTTGCTGGTCTATCAGTCTCAAATATTAAAAGTAGTTAGAAATGGACTGGTCTACACCCTGTGGCTATGGTTAAGCCCCTGATGAACCCCCTACTACTACCCACCCCTCCTACCAAACATACCACCCCCAAACCAGCCAGCCAGGGCAGAAAGAGATGCCACAATGGTCAACCAACTACCCCAGTTGAGTCATAGGATTCTGCCACCTCTGCAGTGGCCTGGTCGACACCCAGGAAGCTAGCAGAGCTCAGCGGTCAACTACACTTATACACTCAACTCGACAATAATACCAGCACCCAACGGCTGCTGTTTAGGAAGGTGAAAAAGGCTTCACAGAGCAGGCCTGGCAACTGGCAACTGCCCACCAGCAACTGGCCCTTCTGAGGGCTCAAGTTACCAACGCTGCAGTGAGGAAGAGGAAGGTTGTTCAAGTTGATCCTAATACGAAGTTCGCGAACATCAGGGATATCCACCGAGCTCAAATCGAAGCGGGTGAAAAGGAGGTTATCACGGCTGAATCCAGCGAATCTGATTGCCCTAGTGAGGCTGGCAGTTGTATTGTAGTGGGTGAGGTTGAGGATCAATAGTTAATAGTAATGAGGAGGTTGGGTTGTGATCCCATCGTTTTTGTGGTGCCAGAAACAGGGGGGGGGGCCAGGAAGTGGGTATGTTGACTTAGAGCATTCATAGATCAGTTGGTTAAGATTTTGACTGGACAGCAGTCATCACCCTATTACATCCTACATGCCTCTTTCGGTCGCTACGAATCGCTTTTTGGACCATTAAGAGGCTTATCATAGTCCTAAATATGTGCTTCTGGCATGTAAATCTCTTTAGTACAGCATTTATGTGCTTTTGCATGAATGCAGGGAAAAGATCCGTTGTTCTTGACTATTTGCTTCGAGACACTGAGCCAACGCACGACCTCTAAACCCCCGTGCTACAGCAGCGCGTGCCACGGCCCAAGTGGAACTCAACTACATAATCCGCCACGGAGTGCTGGGCATTTCTAAGCAAGCATAATCTTAGACTCCGTGTCCGTGGCAGGCTCCGTTTCGACCCCAACCGATCTTGGAGTATTCACAGCCGAGCATGAGATGCCATTGGTCGGGCTCTTTCCAAAGTCTCCAACACCAGTCGCTTTTTGCAAATGCTCCGATGGCTTCCATCCCAAACCCCTGGTCCTGGGCCGTTACGCCGAGGGGCAAAACACTGCGACCTACCAAACAAATGCTAACCTCCATTCTTATGAACCCACAGTGACAGTGAGGATGGAATGGAGGTGCTTACTTATGAGGGGCAGGGCGCCCTCTTGAAGTTGACAGCTCGTTAAGATCAAGTCAGTGGTCATCTTTATCACGCACATCTTTATCGTCTCATCTGACACTCGAAACTTTGTTCTAAGACTCGACAAGCCCTCAGTCCAAATCATGTCGTCCAAGCTCTTTCAGCCGCTGAAGGTCGGCCAGGCCCAGTTGTCTCACCGCGTGGTGATGGCGCCCCTCACCCGATTCCGCTTCGACGCAGACCACATCCCGCTCGACATCGCCCTTGAGTACTACACCCAGCGCGCCGCCGTCCCCGGGACCCTCATCATCGCCGAGGCCGTGCTTATCTCTCCGGAGCACGGCGGCTTCCCCAACGCGCCGGGCATCTGGAACGAGCGCCAGATTGCCGGTTGGAAGAAGATCACGGATGCGGTACACGAAAAGGGCAGCAACATCTATGCGCAGCTTATCGCACCCGGTCGCGCTGCCGTCGTCCCCGTCCTGGAGAAAGAGGGCGGCCATCCTCTCCTAAGTTCCAGCGCCGTCCCGATTAGCCCCGAGTCTCCCGTCCCCCGTGAGATGACGGCTGAGGAGATTGCCGCTGCTATCAAGGACTTTGCGCAGGCTGGGAAGAACGCAATCGCGGCTGGCTTTGACGGCATCGAGGTCCACGGCGCGAACGGCTACCTTGTTGACCAGTTCCTTCAAGATACTTGCAACCAGCGCACGGATCAATGGGGTGGAAGCGTCGAGAATCGGGCCAAATTTCCCGTGGATGTTGCTGCTGCGCTGGTCGAAGCGATTGGCGGCGATAAGGTCGGATTCCGTATCAGCCCTTACAGCACTTTCCAGGCCATGGGGATGCAGGATTCCGTACCTCAATTCTCTTATCTCGCGCAGAAGTTAAAGGAGCTTAAGCTTGCCTATCTGCACGTCATTGAGTCCCGCGTCAACAACTGGGAGGATGTTGAGAAGATCGAGAGCATTGAGTTCCTCTTGGAGATTTGGAATAATGTTTCGCCCGTTCTTGTCGCAGGCGGATTTTCCCCTGAGCTGGCTCAAAAGGCTGTTGACGAGGAATATGCTAAGTGGGATGTTGCTGTGGTCTTCGGCCGTCATTTCCTGGCAAACCCGGACCTGCCATTCCGCATCAAGCACAGCCTGCCACTGAACAAGTACGACCGCGACACATTTTACACGCCTTCCATTCCGCAAGGTTACACAGACTATCCTTTTCACCCTGCTTTCAAGCCGGGCAAGCCATTGGCATAGAGGAGTTTTATAAAGACATGGCGATTATGAAATTAGATAGATTCAATGAGGATCATAGATATTGAGACATTCAGCTATCTCCTGATGTCTTTTGTGTCTTGAATTGCAATCTTGTTTGGGTATCTAATGATGGAGAGTAAAAGTGCACCCTCGTCTCCGGTGCTTCTGAAAGCGACGCAATACAGTTGATGGCACTGACCCTTCATTGCAAAGTCTTTGGTGTCAACAAGTAACACCAATGGTAGACATCGGGGTCGGTAGCCTTCAATTTAGGCGTAGGAATTTTCGCAATGACGTCCACGTGAAAGGGGAGGTTCTCGACATCGAATCGGCAGAAAGAATAACTCAACGAAATCCAGAAGCCCCCGTCGGCCAAGTGTCGTCTCACCCCGTTTGCCATTCTTAACAACGGCTCTTCACCTCCGCAAGAGATTGCGTCCGCCGTACATTTGTCGATGATGAAATCGTACTTATCAGTAAGCTGGAGCTGCGTGGCATCTGCAACGAGATAGCGCATCTTCACGTCACCGAATACTTGCTTTTCCAGCATCCGGCCGCGATCAATGGCCCGAGGCTCAAAATCGATGTTGGTAATATCCTGGAATCCTCTTTCCCGGATATGGTTCTGCAGGTCGCTTGTTCCGAAGCCCAGCTGCAGGATGCGCGCCGAGTCGTCCAAATTGGTGAGACATGGGTCCACGATCGACATGAGGGTCGCAGAAGAGGTCAACCATTCAAAGTTGGTTTCGGATGCGAAGCGCTCGCCCCAGTAGCTTTGTTTGTCGAAGTCTGCGGGCATAATTTGTCTTTTGGGAGGTAGATTTTCGTTGGAAGCCGAAGGTTGGTTGGTAAGTGATACAGCAAATCCAAAAAGACTGAAGGTATTCAGAAGCAAACATCGGAGTATTCTTACCCTTATCGACAGATCCGGGCAAAGAATTTTAACAAGCCCACATTTACGTAACATTCGAAGCCCCATCTGACATCATACTATTGGAACACAATGCCGAGTGGCTCCATTGCTTGAACAGTGCGCGGAACTCGAGTAATGTTGTCTATTGACGCCTCTCTCAAGTTATCCACTTGCTTTAGTTACTGCCGGTTCGGTTCCCGATGTTCACTGCTAGGAAACATCCAATCTCCAAACATCCGGGTAACGACTCAAAACGAAACCAAAAGAGTCGATGGAACAGATGCCTCATCACTATTTCACATTTAGACGACGTCCCATATCCTCCAATGCATCTCTGATGTTCCCGTCCAGATCAAAGTTCCACAACTCCTCAGCCTGCGAATAGACTTCCTCACGAAGCTTATCAAAGTCTTTTCCATGTTTCGTTCGGAGATCGTACAGTTCCCCTGCTCTTCGACTCTCCCGAATCAGCCACTCACCTCGCTCTCGGCGGCTGGCATCGAATGCAGCAAACGCAGCCACAACGCCAGTGCTGTCTCGTACCTTTTCGTCAGCCAATAGTGATGCCATGACTGCTGCGTCTTCAATGCATATTCCCGCTCCAGCACCTTGATGCGGCGTAGATGCATGTGCTGCATCGCCAAGAAGGCAGATGCGGCCCTTGGCGAATGTAGGGATCGGGTAATCACCTAGATCGAACAGAGCCCACTGGAAAGGATGTTAACTCATCGCATATGTAAGTGAAGATGTGTTTATGACAGACATACCCTATCGAGCACTTTTAGTAGTCGAATAGCCTTCTGCATTCGTGGACTAAAGGCAGCGCTGCCGCCAAATCCAACCTAATAAACCGACTTTCAAATAAAGCAATCAATTGAGGCTATTCTCAACAGTCAAATGACCAATCCTAGAACCCTCCGATTTGATAGATGGGATTGGTTTGACTATATTTCTTAGTAATTAGCTATATAACTAATAAAACGCCACTAACTCTACCAGTCCTTAGGGGCCAACTAGCTACTCTATCAGGTATCAAGTGGCTTGCTAAAGAGCGGCCAAGACGCCAATATAGACGATGGTGGAAACAAGAGGCAACTCCCCGCTATACCCAACTAGGGCTCAAGGCTACCCTTGCTTGCCCTCCTGAACTTGGCCTCCCTAGGGCTGCCCTTCATCACCTCCTCGCGGCACGGTCAGGCCACTGGGACTTTAAACAATATCACCAACGCTTTAACCACACAGAAGCACTACTCACCTGCTCCTGTGGGTGGGTTAAGGAGGCAGACCATCTAGTCTACTGCCGAAAGACCCTACTGAGGAGGCAACAGTGGCCCACCCTCTACCCCTACAGCCGCCAGGAGCCCGTAGGACCTATAGGGTCCCTCGATCGCTACTTCAAGGGGCTAATCACTGACTCTGAAGGCTTCCAGGTCTTCCTCTGCGTGACAGACTTCTTCCAGAAGATCTGCCCGCGGTACTAGGAGATAGGTCATAACCTATCCTTCAAACGACAAACTACCTCTATTAAGAAACCAGATGGTTATAACGGAACTAGGGCACCAGTGGGAACTAGGGATGGACAGAACACATAGTAGCTCACGAGCAAGATTTGGAGGACGTCAGGATACGGCGTGTACTATATAGTATATAGCTAGAGCCTGCGACCCTTCACGCCACATACCCTTCGGGAGGTCTGCCGCAAGGGCGGCTGCGCCCTTGCCGCCATGGCGTTAAATAGAACAACAACAACAACAACTATATAGCCCTATAGAAGAAGATCAAGAAGAACGACTCCGATATCGCCATGATATAATAGATATTTAATAATGCTATAGAGCGACTTAAGAACAAGACCAAGGAAGCGGACTACCTTACGGAGAAGGTTAATACTCTCTACGGTGCCGCTAATATCATCGTTATGCTGCATGACGGACGAGAGAAGCTTAGGCTCAACTTATTTTAAGCTTTTGACGGAACCCTAGGATAACTGAAGGGATTCCTTATGCAAGTTAGAGCCTACTAACGCTTCTACGGAATAAATTTTAAGGACGAAGCCAAGAAGGTTATCCATACCGCCTCCTTTTTAAAGGGAAAAGCCCTCGCATGGTTTGAACCATATCTTACCGACTTTATAGTAACTCACGACTAGGACACTCTCAAGCCAGAGACCTAAAGTATCTTCGAAGGACTACACGGATTCGAAAGTGCACTTCTATCTCTATTCCAAGAACCAGATGAAGAACGATAATACGAACGAGAGCTCTCAAACCTTCGATAGAAAGGATTAGCCTCGTATTACGCCGTAGAATTTAAACGAATCTACGCCCGACTTAACTACTCTAATAACGCTAAGATCTTCATGTTCTATAAAGGGCTCAAGGAGGAAGTCAAGGACGAACTATCTTAACAAGACAGACCTAACGACTTCTTAAAATACGTCGAACTAGCTATCAAGCTTAATAATCGACTTTACGAACGACGAAGGGAAAGGAAACAAGTCCCGCAAGCAAACACTAGGAAACGCTATTAACCGCGCTTCCAAGGACAGAACCGCCCTAAAAATAACCATTAGCAGAACCGATAAACCACGGCCTATAGATACCATAATAGACCGATGGACCTCAGCATGGCCAAACGAGAACAACCGTACCAGAAGGAAGTCTTCAGGTACTACAACTACGACAAGCCAGGACACATATCCCGCAACTATCAACAACCCAAAAGGATCCAGCAGCGACCTGTACCCGAGAAACAGATCAGGATCGCTACCAAGGAAACTCCTCACAAGCAACTCTCTTGGACAGTATACTAGGACGACAACTACCTTACCTATCAAGACAGTAAGGAAAACACGGGATAGTACCCTAAGGAACCCGCCAGCATCAAGACCCTCGCTATGACAAGCAGGCAAGAGGTCACGCAACGACCAAAGACCCTGGAGGATCATAACAAGGAATATATTCAGACATTATCCACGGCCTACGAAGCCGTCAGGACATAACCTAGCAGCCATCCGAGACGAGCTCAAACACTCGTAGCAATCGGAAGAAGACTCTAGAAAAGAATAATTACGAAGGACAAGAAATCCCTACTTCAACTAAAAGAAGAGATCCCAGCCAGGGAACTCAAAGACCTCGACCGCGAATACGGAATCGAAATCATCAAGGGAAAGAACCTTGATTTCGGAATGAACGAGAACGGAAGAATCGACTTCCGAATAGATAGCCAAGAACCGGCTTTTGGTTCTAGCTTATATATATTTGACAAAGGTGAAAATTTACCCTACGATTCGGACGAACCTCGTAACGTCGCTCGACGACGTGCTTAGACGGAGATCGATTATAAGGCACCGCCTAGCGTTAACAACACCAGTTCTGGAGAGGACCTCGACGAATCTCGGTGCAACCATATTCACCTATATAACGACGATCAGACGGTCGAACTTTATAGGACTTCTGACCGTAAGAAGAACCTAGTAACGCCTTATACGCCTAAGGATCACCCCCTACTCGACCCCAAGGACCCCTTTCATAAGTAACTCTTCTAGGCAGAATGCCTGGACGACAGGTGCCTTTGGCACCTCTCACCTAAAAGAGACTCTCGATTCTACTTACGAAGAATCAATAATAAGCTAATTAAGGATGTTTATGTAGATGACCAACTCACGAGCTGGACACTACTATCCTTCGAAGATAATAACTGGGTAACCTTTGGACCTGATCTAAATTTCCCTATAGAATGCCTAAATAGCGAACACGTAGAATGGGACGACTGTAGACACGACTAGTGCTAAATCTACTACGTACCCAAGGCAAAGTCTTGGAGAGAACATCAAGAACGAATCGAATAAGACGTCAGACTGAGAAAGAGAATGACAAAAAAACTAGAAACGCCAATCGATAAGAGACACCGAAAGGCGGAGAGCAAGGACAAGCGCCTATGCTTAATAATATATCTTAACAATAAACATCTGAGAGTGAGACTCCAGATAAACGGACACGATATGTGCGCGATTATCGATAGCGGTGCTCAACGAACTTTTATATCACTAAAGATAGTGAACAGGTTAGACCTTCCATGGGTATAGAAGGAAGAACCTTATACCCTATAGAATGTAGAAGGAGAAAGAGTTGGGTATGACGAAGGACTTGTCACTCGCGAGACCGTATACCTTACGACATACGTCAATAATTATCTAGAATAACTCTAGTACGACATCACGGAGATCGGAAATATCAACGTCATCCTAGGAATCTCGTGGTTATGAAAGCATAATTTACGGATAGATTGGGTGAATGGCCATATCCAATGGATAGATTTAGTCACTAAACGACCTAAGAAATAGGGTTCAAACGAGTCTTACGCAACACCTGACGAATAGACGAAATATATTGCCTACGTCAGATACGTAGAGCCTACTAGGTTGTTAGCACCCGGCACGGACGATCAGGGATCGAACCCACTCCAGACTATACCCGAGGAGTACCGGAAGTATAGCAAACTATTCGTTTCCAAGGAAGTAACAGGACTAATAGAACATAGTAGCTAGGATATAGAGATCGAACTTAAAGAAGGAACGTAACCAAAGTTCTACCTACTATACCCTATAAACTAACAAGAGTAGGAAGAACTCAACGAATATATCGACGAAAAGCTCGTAAAAGGGCACATTAGACCCTCATTATTACCCGCTAGAGCACCACTCCTTTTCGTCCTAAAGAAGGGGAAGAAGAAACTGAGACCTATAATCGACTATAGAGGACTTAACGTAATTACTAAAAAGAATTGCTACCCCCTACCCCTCATCACAGAGCTCAGAGATCTATTATACGGAGCCCAATAGTTTACCAAGATAGATCTCAAGGAAATATTTAACTAGATTCGAATTAAGGAAGGAGACAAATGGAAAATAGCATTCCGAATACGTAGAGGACTCTTCGAGTACCTCGTCATGCCCTTTGGACTCACTAATGCACCCGCCACGTTCCAGACAATGGCAAACCATGTCCTTAGAGAATATATAGATATCTTCGTCGTTATTTACATCGACAACGTCCTCATCTTCTCCCCAAACATAGAGATGCATAAAGAATACGTCTATAAGGTATTCCAGAAACTACAGGATGCGAAACTCTTTGCTGAACCTGATAAATGCGATTTCTATACGCAACGAGTCGACTTCCTCGGATATACAATCATACCCAGAAAAATCCATATACAAGAATCGAAGGTAGAAACAGTCAAAGACTGGCCTACACCTCAGAACGTCAAGAACGTTCAAGAATTCTTAGGATTCGTCAATTTCTATCGACGATTCCTCAAAAACTATACCAATATAATTAGACCTCTCAATAACCTGACACGAAAGGATACGCTATTCGTATAGGATGACAAATGCGAGGAAGTATTCGTCAAAGTCAAGAACATAGTGGTTTCCGAACTAACCACTATGATCCCAGATCTAAGGACACTATTCGAAGTCGAGACCGATACCTTAGACTTCGCTATAGGAGCAGTTCTAGGATAACGAGACGAGTAAGGAAAACTTTACCCTTACGCATTCTACTCCAAAGCATTCTACGGAGCAGAATTGAATTGGCAAATCTATAATAAGGAACTAATGGCTATAATCGAAGCCTTTTGAGAATAGAAGCCATAGCTATTAGGAACCAAGTATGAAGTCACGGTCTATACAGACTATAAGAATCTTATAAACTTTACGATAAATAAGAACCTAAACAAACGACAAGTTAGATAGAGCGAATTCCTCTCCGAATTTAACTTCCGAATCATCTATAGAAAAGGTTCAGAGAACAGCAGAGCCGACGCTCTCAGCAGAAGACCTGACCACGAAGTTAAGGTCCCCGAGGAAACACAGGTTATCCTCAAACACGACGACGATAACAACCTTATACCTACTACGAAGCTCCTTACGATAGCTAGGAAGGTCAATACCAGCCCGACTGGAAGAATGACCCCTGAGCTCATTATGGAAATTCATAGCGCTAAGGCATACGGTCACCAAGGCGTCACAAAAACATGGAAACGGATTCGACAGTACTACGATAAATCCGCTATACGAGCAGAAGTCACTGAGGCAATCAAGGATTGCAACATCTATAAGAAAAGCAAGAACAGCCCCTATAAGCCCTATGGAGAGCTATAACCGCTTCCGATACCACCTAAAGCATAGCACTCAATCTCATGGGACTTTATCGTCAAACTACCAAAGTCCAGAGAGCCACTTACGAACGTACTGTACGACAGTATCTTAGTCATCGTCGATCGACTTACCAAGTTCACCTACTTCGTACCATATAAAAAAGCAAGCAATATAGAGGAACTGGCATATACCTTCCTTAAGACTATTGTTGCTAACCACGGTCTACCCAAGGAAATTGTCTCTGATAGAGATAAGCTGTTCACCGCTAAGTTTTGGAGATCCCTGATCTCGCAACTTAGTGTAGACTATAAGCTGTCAACCTCTTTCCACCCGTAGACCGACGGACAGACAGAAAGGATTAATCAAATCCTCGAAATATAACTTCGTTTTTATGTGAACTACGACTAGAATAATTGGGTATCGCTACTACCAATGGCCCAATTCGTATATAATAGCGCAGTTGGCGAAAGTACGAGAGAATCCCCGTTCTATCTTAACTACGGATTCTAGCTAATAGCGTACAGAGAAGTACGATAGGGACTATAGGCCGTAAAAGCCGTGGCCGACGTGATAAAACTTAGAGAGCTCTAGAAGAAGGCCTCTTAGGACCTTGAGTTTGTACGGCAGTGTATGAAGAAAAACGCCGATAGATTAAGGATTGGAGGACTAACCTTGGAAGAGAGGGATAGCGCCTATCTCCTTCGACGTAACATTAAGACGAAAAGACTAAGCGACAAATTAGATTATAAAAAGCTTGGACCCTTCGAAATCGTTAAGAAAGTCTCACCAGTCAATTACGAACTGAGACTCCCAGACACAATGAAGTGTTACCCGGTATTCTATATCTTACTCCTCGAGCTAGCACCACGAGGTTCGCATACGAACGATTATATCGTTGTAGAACTAAACTAACTAGAATATGAAGTCGAACGAATTATCGACCACAGGGTCAGGAACGAGACACGAGAATTCCTGATCAAATGGAAAAACTATAGACACGAGGAAAATATATAAGAACCTATTACGAACCTCCAGAACTCTCGGGAACTGCTCCAGGAGTACCGAAATCAAAGTTAAAATCGGACCTCCTAACTATCACCGCGTCCTAATCAACCATACCAAACGCGTCAATAAACTGAGCCTCCCGAACAGAGGACGATTTATCAGGGATAACGACTGGCGAACCCTCGTCGGTTACCTCCGAGGCAACGCGACCTTTCTTAAACACCATCCTCTTCTCTTTCCGAACACGCTCCAAACGAGCAAGAACTTCATTCATATCCGCCTGAGCCCTTTGTAAAGCCTTTATATGCTTATGAAAAAGCTCCTCAGACTTCTCCTCTTTATCGTCTAGACGACGAGATTCATTTAATATTTTTTTAACTATCCGAAATCAATAGAGGACCCAAAGGGAGAAAAGAAAAGAAAACCTATGAGTATAAATCGTATCTTTTGACGCATTATATTCCTTTGACGTTTTACCCGAATAAACGTACTCCCCATAGATAGCGGAATTTATTAAAATCTTATAACGAAGACCGCGAGAGCGATAACGATAATAAGGTATGACCTTGGTACCTTAGTTAGCGATCTTTAAGGAACGATATAAGCGACGCAGATAAGAAACCGATAGTGTGTCGGTAGAAACTTCTTTACCTATGTTATTAGCATAAGAAATAACAAACTTAACGAACCCTAACCTGGGTTATGACTACTTATTTATAGGTCTACGGGACTAGATCTTTGAGAGGGAGAGCTGATGTTACGACCTAATATGCATAACCAAGAATAGGGCCTGCCCCGTAGGCTTGCGGCGGTTATAATATACTATATATGTAGGAGATAAGGGATACTAGGTACCCTCTTACGGAACGGAAGAACTATGGTATAAGTCACGTAATAATAAGATAAGATATAAGCGGCTATAGTAGGGCTATGAGCGACTATAGTAGGGCCATAAGCGCTTATGCTAAGTAATGAGCGCTCATGCCAAACAATGAGCGCTCACCCGATCAGAGGAACTGATCATTGACAAGGGATATGTTCAGGACCAGGACTTGTATATAGGATGGACTCGAGCCGGGCTCTAGGACAGACTTCCCATAGCTTCTTCAGCAATTAACTTCGTATCAGGATTAACATCCGCTTTCAGCTATCACCTTGACAAGACTACGATTGATCACCGAAGCCTTACCTTACCTTACGATTGACAGACATAGTTTCCCTGAAGCTATCCCCGACTACGAATACTGTTACCAGTTCCGCAGCCTCAACTTCTGCAAACTACCCCTACGACTAGCTGGCCGTAACACTTACCCTCGATATATTTTCTATCCCTATTATAGCTACTAACTACGAGAGAGCTTTTAGTACTGCAAAGCTGACCCTGACGTCTCAACGGTACTTAATATAGCCTTAGATAATAGGCCAGTTATAGCTAATGAAGAACTGGCTAAAGGGGAAGATCCTGCCTATTAGGGTGTTACGCCCGCCGCAACTTGTCACTGTGGGCGCGTAGCTATATAATGCAGAACAAGGGACAATGATGCCGGAGTCATCATTATCGAAGCTTTTGCTTTGTGCCACAGTTGGTTGCCTTGTCCTGCTCGTAACATAGGGGAGACGTTAGATTATTTATACCAGGATCGTAATATTAGTTAGTATAAATAGCTTTACTTATTACCTAATTAGGTAATATAATAACAATAAGAAGGGTCACGTGCCCTTATATTTGGCTTAGTTGATTGGCCAATTACTCAACGTAACCAATCCTTGGGAAAAAGTGGTCAAATTAGTCAAATCGAGGCTCGATTGGATTTATTGGAACGAGCGGCAGCGCTGGCGTTCAGCCGGCCTCGATGCTCATGTCAACGTCATGGCGCAACATTTTTCAGGGGGCAATAGACGCAAACTCTCCCTCGGCATCGCCCTTACAGGAAACCCGTCGGTGATTCTGCTTGACGAGCCATCTTCAGGCCTGGACGCCGCCGCGAAGCGCATCATGTGGCGAACGCTCAGCACTATTGTGCCAGGCCGTTCTATCCTTTTGACAACGCACAGCATGGAAGAGGCCGATGCGCTTGCGAATCGGGCTGGCATCATTGCACAGCGTATGTTGGCCCTTGGTGAAGTTGAGCAGCTTCAGAGCCGCTTCGGGGACTCCTTATATGTACATCTGGTCAGTCGCACTGCTCCACACTCGACGCCGGAAGAGATGGATCGTATGCTAGTATGGGTTCTACAGCGCTTTCCCTCCGCTCGAGTGGAACCTGAGACATATCACGGTCAGTTGCGATTCTCAATCGCGGCGTCGGACGTGCTGCAAAAATCTCAGCAGAGTCTTCAGGGCAGAGGCGCGAATCAGAGTGGGGAGAACCGCCAACTGAGTGCGATTGGGCAACTCATCGTGATGTTGGAGGAGAACAAGAATATTTTGGGCATCGAGCATCAAAGCGTCAGTCGGACCACGCTCAACGACGTGTTTCTCTCCATTGTCGGGCAACATGATGTGCAGGAGGAAGGGTACGGAACGGCGGCGACTGAGAGTGGGAAGAAGAAGATCAATTGGCGAAAGGTTTTACTTGGGTTCTAGCCAATCATTATTCTTTCATGATGCACATGTTGCCTTCTAAAATCTATCCCATCGAGTGCTGTTGGGCTACAGATACATTGCTCCACTCTGTTACCCACTCTTAACCCATCACATCAGAAATACATGACAGTACGTCATTTACCCCTAGGAATCCCTGGCTTCCCTTCACCACCAAAATCGCCTATCTACACATGCCAATTCGTCACGATGGCCTCGAGCGACGATAGTGACTCTGAAGGGTCTGTACATTCCTGTATCAACGTTGCGATACTTCCTGAAGACCTCGCAAGCGCCTGTACAGCTGACTGTACGCCCGAGAAGTGTGATAGCGCGACTGTACGCCCACATGAACCACCTTCGCTGGAATGAGGCATACTTGTTAATAGCTTCTTTCTCCAGCTCTAGGGCGAGCCGGAATGGGCTCGGGCCAACTCTCAGTACGAATGGCGAAGGACCCTTTCCACCCAGCTAATTCAGCGCTTTGGGCCATTAGTTCATGGGAGGCAACGGGCCCGGCCCCAGAGGGCCACTGATACAAGAGAGAATTCTATTCCATGGCAACAACATACGAGGGTATCACGGAAGCCCTCTGCTTGCTTGTCTTGTGACAACAAACGAATAGCATTAGGCGAAGTCACACGGAACTTGCGAAGAGATAGGAGAAAGAAGACGAGGTCAGGATGCAAGCAGTGTGGGGGGGTTGCGATTTGTAACTCTGATGGTTGCTGGTACCTCTATCACACTCAAAATACATAGGCAACCGAAGTACCTTTCAAATAGGGCCATTGATTGGTCGAGAAAACTCTTGGCTGCCCCTGAGTGGTCAGGATCCCTTCTGTGAATGTATCTGTAGCCCAACAGCACTCGATGGGATAGAGATCATTTGGAGAGCCCGTGATCTTTCCAGACCGTTTCGAAATGCAGTATCGCATTGTTCTCGGTTCAACTCAAGACACTAGACCAACAGTGGATGTCTGGCCCATTTTGCTCCGCGCGTGACTGTGAAGGAGCCAACGTTCCGGATAGATGACAGTATCGATGGTCGCCTTTCTCCTGACTGGGAATGCAGGCCATCTCGATCCTGTGATATTCCAACTATGGTGATGCAAGAGCTTCCTCATCCACCACCACTTCCTCATATGCACCGGGGTTATTATCTCGGCGTGCTCCACCTCAAACCAGAACTGCTCATGATAGTTTCGTTCTATCTTGCCACATACAAGAACCTCAATGCCCGTACGCAAAGCTACTTTGCGGACATATTCTTCCGGCTCATTGCCGCAACCCACCATATTGTACCTTACTATACGCGTTGTGAGAGTTGCTGGAAAGCCCCGAGCCGAGTTACCGAGGAGACTTCTTGAAGGCTCTTTGCTCCACTGTAATTAGTTGACATCTTTCTGACGTCAAGGTCTTAACAATAATGCAGGGAGTCGAGACTCATCACGAACCCACTTTACAGATATGCTGAGGATAGACTCCTTGACAATGACCAACATATCAATCGAGCAGATTGGCCACATTCCCAGTGACTCCTGCATGTAAAATTGGGCCATTAGATTTGTTCGATTGGAACAGTTCGATGGCCTGCAGAGATTGTGAGAAATACTTTGGTGTGCTTAGGGAGAGGCCGAGTTGGCGCCTGATCGAGATTCAATTAAACCGAGCCTGGACTTCAGCTGAGAGGCGATCACTCAAATGGCCCGCCGTATAGACTATCGGCCGACTGGACATAACCAACGTTGACTCAAGGAACGCATGTAACAGGACACATAAATGACGAATGATTACCCATCCGGACTAACTTGTCCGCTGTTCATCTCCACCGTTTATGCTGGTGAGGTCACAGAACTGTGGGTAGCTCTGTCAATCATAGTCCACAACCACACTGCCGGAGGTTTTACAACGAAAGGCGACTTGGCTCATAACTACAAAACAACCGTTTCAACAACCAAGTAAGTTTTCAATCACACAGTTGGAGATTTCTACTCTTTGAAAGACTACTACAAAAATAGTGCGGGCTTCGAGATGCACATCGATACCGACGTCGACAACGGCGGTCGCCGAGAGCCCGGCGCCGCCGCGCAAGCCTCCCGAGAGGACCAGTCAAGAAGCGTTCTGAATAGCCTCGACACTCAAAGGGCAGATCTTGTCGGGAATTGGATGAAAAGTCGCTTACCTGAGCATGAGAACCTTCCATCGCAGTCAGTCAGCTGGTGGGACCCGGGGTTGGCAACAGTAAGTGCAGCTTACCTTAGACTCAGCCACGGAAACTTTATCAGCGTCAAGACTGATCTTGCTCTTGCATAGTTACGAAAGCATATATCCATAATGTGGTGCAGAAATAGTAAGTCGTGTCAGAGCTCTGCTCGCTGATTGGTTGTCAAAACTCACCATTTTCAGCTTTCATCATCTGTTTCTCGATGTTCCTCATTCTTTGTCTCTACTGGGGCATCGTATTTCGTATTGAAGAGAACCTCACCTCTCTCGTCTGTTTTGTTGTCGACTTTGATGGCAAATCCGCTCCCTACAGCGACATCACGCCACTTGTAGGTCCGACAGTCATCAATTTAGCCAACGAGACACTATGGAGCCCCATACCTTCAATCGGATATCAAATACGCGACGCAAACGAGTTCGGATTCGACCCAATGAAAGTTCGCGAAGCGGTCTATCACTTTAAAGCATGGTCTGCAATCATCATCAATCCGAACGCAACAGCTCTTTTGCAAGAGGCAGTCTCAATCGGCAACTCTTCATACGACCCGACAGGCGCAGTCCAAATCATCACCATGTCTGGCCGGGACTCGTTTATGACGTACAGCTACATCTTGCCAAGCCTGACCTCGTTCACGTCAAGTTTGACGGAAACGTTTGGCAAGACATGGGGTGATATGATCATGGCCAATGAGTCCCTGACAAAGGAGACTCTGCGGCAGGCTGCAAGCGCCGTCAATCCCGGGGTGTCACCTTTGATGCTGGACCTCCGACCGTTTGGACCGCCGGCGGCAATTCCCGCAGTAACCTTTGGGCTAAGCTTTCTCATTGCCCATCTCGGCTTCACCTATTACCTCGCCGATGACATGGTAAGTCCAAGCTTTCAATGCTTTGATGCAAAACTAAACCGAATACTTAGAAATGCATTGTGCCTGAGGGACATCCTCCCGTGCACTACTGGCACTACGTCATACGCAGATACTTGTCGCTTATGGCCGCCTATTTCTTTCTCTCGCTCGTTTACTGTCTAATCTCACTTGTCTTTCAAGTCCCCTTCTCCAATCCGCCAGCTTCGGCGGTAGAGGTGGCCAAGAATCCCAACGCGTACGGAAAAGCTTCATTCATCGTCTTCTGGCTGTTGAACTTTTTTGGTATGGCGGCACTTGGAATGGCCTGTGAGAATATGGCAATGGTCATCGGTCCACGATGGGTCGGGTTGTGGCTAACGTTTTGGACTCTCACTAACACCTTGACCGGATTTTGGCCTCCTGATATTGCGCCTGGATTCTACCGGTGGGCGTACGCATGGCCTTACCATCATGTGATTGAAGGCAGCCGACAGATCTTGTTTGACCTGCACTCGCGAATCGGCCTCAACTTTGGCGTCTTGTTTGCGTGGGTGTCGGTTAACACAATCTTGTTCGTGCCAGCATGTTACATCTTGAGATGGAAAGATGAAAAAGAGATTCGTCGCAAGGAGACAAAACTCCCACACTTTCACTTGCACAGATATGACTTTGAGAAACAGATTCCCAAGCAGCCGGGAGTTGAACCACCGAGACGGAAGAGGGGATTTCTTCGAGCATTGTGAGCTTAGAACCTGGCCCGTAATCTGGACTAGAGTTGCATCTCCCAGAGTTACCTCCGCAATGAGCAAGCTCAACATGCAGAAGATTGAACACAGCTACATTTGACGTTATCAGCTTAGACATGTCATAGCATAACGAAGCGAATTATGGCATTATTCCTCTCCTTGCCCATGAACCCATGGGCCATATTCAGGACCCTTCTGTGAACCTACCTACGCTTAGACGCAATTGGACGGCCGTTCGTTTTGACGTGCATTTGTATCCGACTTTGGAACCGATGATGCGATTGACTCTCTCGGCGCATGTTTCACTCGAAGCATCCTTAGCGGAGCACCATTGGCCGTGCACGAACATCTGACGACCCTATTCCACCATCTAGAGAGGTCTTCGTTCGCCTTGGCAACAAACAAGTGCGATGGTACATGAACACCTTAGTGCTTATTGTGTGCACATAATTATTGGTAACTCTTGGGGACTTTGGTTCTGATCCTCTAAGGCAGTTAAAGTTGAAGGTTGCATGGGGGCTGCGTGAGTGCGGCGTGGGTATGCTGCTAACCACGATCTAGGTAAGTTGCACTCGTAACAACCCTTCCGAGAAGTCTGGCCTAAGCCTTTGTGGGTGCATGCCCAACAGCAACGCCTGCAGTTACACGACATACTTTAATGACTTGACTTTATCATTGTGCTCTGTCATCTTGTGACGGTCTTGACGTCAAAGTAGCGAAACCCGTTGTCAGCAACCGACTCGGTTCCGAAGGGTCCAGATGAAAAGTAGCTGAGCCACGCGGTCGGTGAAAACATCGACTGTAACAGGGAACACACCAATTCGCAAAAGGTAACCAAATTTCCTTTTCGGCTTGCGACGTGGGGAAAGGCCTTTTGCCTCAGAATTCAGATGGTTGAGTGAAGTTAGACCCATGGTTGCGAAAGCGGACTTACTAGACGGGTGTGACAGACTCCAAACCATATTCAGCTCAAACCACAGCGAAATGCCAACCCTCGGTTCCACCGCCGCCCACGTCGATGCGACTCAATCTGAGTCGAGCTGTGAAGAAGACCAAAAACTCAAGAGGCCCAAGTGTTCTTCCTCCCGTACCCCGCATTCTTGGGCCGAACGTGCCATCCTTGACAGGCAACTGGTTCTGGGTCATTGGATGAAGGGCACCCCGGACAGGGCTGGGCTTTAATGCAATAGACATCTGCCGAAGAAAGTCTGATGGTGATTAACTGTCCGTGCAAACTATTCAAACTTGCTTCCCGCTCTCTAGTGGCTTTGGATAGATAATAATAGGGGCCGGCCTACCTTAACCCCTCATTCAAGCTACACTAAATGGGCTTGGCCGTTTTCAACGTCGCATCCACGGGCTGCTTGGCAAATTTTCCAGCCCTCCACGTTGCATTTTCCGAAGGTCTGCGTTCAAAGGATTCCGAGCATCGTCTCAGCCAGCTGTCAAGATGGTGCTCTCCACAATAGACGAGATACCGATCGAATTTGATAAGAAACGTAAGCTTCCCTCCTTTCCCCTCTTCAGTTGCTGGCGCTAGAGCATTTCTCAATGCCATGACGGACCTAACTTTTGATGATGTCTAAAACAGAGTACAACGAGCCGACGACCGTCGACGTCAAGTCCGAGTCTATCCAGTATGCGGACGAGCCCGTACAGCTGGAGTGGACGGAAGCGGAGGAACAGGTCATCAGGCGCAAGCTCGACTGGCACACTGTCCCACTAGTGACAACCTTGTATCTTCTCTGCGTATGTGATTTTTCCTTTCCGTGGAACATCAACCGCCTGTCACGTCACTACTTACCAACCGACTTCGGAACAGTTCTTGGATCGAGCGAACATTGGAAATGCCAGGATCCAGGGCATGGCCAAGGATATCAACCTTGAAGGGTACCGATTCAACTGGGCGCTGTCTATATTTTACATCATCTACCTCCTCGTCGAAGTGCCGAGCAACATCGTTCTCAAGCGCGTTGGACCACGATTCTACCTGCCATTTCTCGTCGTTGGCTTCGGACTTGTCTCACTTTGTACGGCTTTCGTTCGCTCATATGAAGGACTCATTGTGGCCCGCGCCTTTCTAGGAATCTTCGAAGGCGGCGCCATGCCGGGTTTTTCATTCTTCCTGAGCAGCTTTTACAAGAGAGAGGAGCTTTTGTTGCGCCTGGGAATCTTCATTTCAGCAGCATCATTAGCCGGCGCGTTTGGCGGTCTGCTCGCCACTGGTCTCTCTCGCATTCCAGAGTGGGGGTTCGACAGCGCACCTATCCATACATGGAGAAATATCTTCTTCTTCGAGGGATTCGTCACAATCCTCTTCGGAGGGTTTGCGCCTCTCTGGATGCCGACGAATCCTGCAACGGCTTACTTCCTCGACGAACGACAACGAGCGATTGCGGTAGAACGTCTGCAGCGCCAGCACAAGGCCGATGCTGACCAGAAAGTCACTCTTTCCGACATGAAGCGAGCCGTGTTCTGCATCCACAACTACACGTGCGCATTCGGTTTCTTCCTAATCAACATCACCGTTCAGGGAATTTCGGTATTTATGCCGACTATTCTTGCCGACTTGGGCTGGACAGCAACTAGAGCGCAGTTGTACTCAGTACCACCTTACGTTGTGGCTGCTATCACTGCCATCATCATCGCGTGGTTCAGCGATCGAACACGTCAACGCGGCATCTACCTCGCTGTGTTTTCGATGATTGCCGTGATCGGATTCGCGATTTTGCGATTCGCGACCGATGCTAACATTAGATATATGGGTGTAAGCATTCCCTGTCGCTTTGTTTGCCTATTAGGTTTGCTAATAGTTTCAGGTCTTCTTCGTCACAGCAGGTGCTTTCCCAGGTGGCCCAGGGTTTTGTAAGTCTGCACCTTTGTTGCAATGCAATTCTTATGCTAATACTATTGCAGTGAGTTGGGCGATGAACAGTAAGTCTAGTGCCAACGAATATTTGGCGATGACCTTCGGTCGACGTAGGGAAAGTGGAACAAGCTGACACACTCGACAACAGACTCGGCAGGCCCTTCGGTTCGCGCAGTAACGAGTGCCTACGTTGTTTCCATTGGTACTATGGGTGGAATCGTTGCGACGTAAGTAAATGTCTTACAAACCTATCGGGCGGTTATGACATCGTAGCCCTTGACTCTTGTTTGCAACAATTATCTCCATGTCTATAGTTTTACTGATGGTTACGACAGGTGGACCTATACGTTCAAAGACGCTCCGAAATATTACACTGGACACACCATCAATCTTGTGGGACAGAGTCTAACCGTTCTACTCGCGATATTCGGCATATTTTATTGCTTGTATGAGAACAAAACAAGAGCCGCTGGAAAAAGGGATCACCGCCTGGATGGCAGGACAGAAGCTGAACAGAGCCAACTGGGTTACAGGCATCCGTCATTCCGCTACATGTCATAAGGCAACAAGCCTAGTACTTTAGCACGCCTGAGGGTTTAATCAAAACTTGAGTGGTACTACAAAACTGCACATGTGCATAGCTAGCTTACTTATCCTAGTAGCTGCACGTGATAGATTATTCAGGTAACACTGCATCGTCCTAATTGGGTAAACCCATCTGATCCTTTATTTAGGTAAATGATTGCCCCTGCATTCGATCTGACCAGTCCTGTTCAGCTTCAAAAAGACCGGAATTTATGTGCGCCATATGCTTTGATTGGCTTGAATCCAATCCTGTTAAGTAAAATGCGGCTCCTGAATACGCGGACGGAAGAACTACGAGTATTCAATCACTCTCGCATACCATATGCTATCCTATCCCATACTTGGGGTCCGGGGGAAATCACACTCCAGGATCTACTAGCCGGAAAAGCGCCTAGTCTGAAGGGCTACAAGAAGCTCATCGGGGCATGTAATCAGGCATTGTCGGATGGGTTTGATTACATAGTAAGTAGACCCTTGCAACCTGTATGTGACGTCCATGGCGTGGAGCCCTCGCAACAACTAGAAAGCTCTCATGAACTGACTTCTCAGTGGATCGACACTTGTTGCATAGACAAACAAGCTCTTCTGAGTTGACGGAAGCCATCAACTCTATGTGGGTCTGGTACCAGAACTCACGTGTCTGTTATGCGTACCTCGAAGACGTCCCCGAGCAAGATGTTGACGTTCTTGGTGGCTACTCTAAGACCTTCATGGACTGTCGGTGGTTTACGCGTGGTTGGACGCTTCAAGAGCTCATTGCCCCCTCTACAGTCGTATTCTACTCAGATGACTGGTACGAAATTGGTACTCGCGATCAGATGCGAGAGCCTCTGGGCAAGATAACCGGCATCGACCATAAGTTCTTCGAGTACGGAATTTTAGGTCGGTATAGCATCGCTCAGAGAATGTCTTGGGCTGCAAAGAGAAAGACAACCAGAATCGAAGGCCAGGCCTATTGTTTGCTTGGACTATTCGGGGTCAGCATGCCCCTACTGTACGGCGAGGGTGAAATGGCGTTCATTCGACTTCAAGAAGAGATCATGAAGCGGACGGATGACCAGTCAATATTTGCCTGGTTATTACCTGGACCTTCAGACAGACTTTCTCGAAACACTGGTTCCCTCGCCAAGTCACCATCCTATTTCGATCAGTCTAACGGCGTCACCAGAATTGATGCCGACCATCGCGTGGCACCGTATTCGTTCACCAACAAAGGCATCCAGATCGAGATGCCGATACTCGACCCGAGCAGCTCAAAATATGGCTTCTCATTTATTCCCGGAGATAATAATGAGCAGATTAGTTCGGCCGCAGGAATCTCTTTTAGGTTCTCACCAACAAGCACGATAGCGATACTCAACTGTCGCAGAGCGGGTCGTCATATCGGTCTCTACCTGGAGAGAACGAGCGATCTCGAACCATTCTACAGGTGCAGTCACAAGCTAGGCTTTGTCTCTGTCCCAGATGATTGGGTTAAGGAGGCGAAGCTTGAGACTATTCTTGTCAGGGCTGAAGATCCGGGAGACATGGAGTCACTTTGGGGTAAGGATTCCGATGCGCAGCACATTGTGGTGAAGTTGCCACAAGAACAGAATCATGGGTACGACACTGTCAAGGCATTCCCAGCGGACAGATGGGCTAGCAGTGGCCCGTGGAGCCACTCAATCATGCTCTCTTACGACATTGAGACTAGTGGTAAAGATGAAGTCCCTTATCTACACGTCCAAAATCTAGTAGCTGAGACCGGCTTCTGTCTATTCTTCAAATTCAAAGCTCCAGGTCCACATAATGCGTGTCTTCTGATGGACGTGGCTGCCGGCGAAACTCCGACTATCCCACAGTCGTCATCTTTCATCGTTGCTGGTCTTCCAGCGGAGAGTCGCCTGAAAGGGACAGAGAAATGGGAGAAGGTCACGGCCGAGCTGACCTCTTCACGGTTTGCTAAGGTTTGGAAGATAGCGATGGAGAAGATTCGGGACACTTCAGATGCATGGGTGTGATAGCTCGGAAAGTTGTCGGTGCAAAATATAAAGCTATGTTTGTCCCACCTTAGCTCAGTGTCTAGACACGTGACTGGCCTGACTGGTTATGAACTCAAAACGCCTTAGTATTGACGACTGGCTTCCTCTGATGACGTGGGATTTTGTATTGTGTATAGTAGAGATAGCCTCCATCGAGATAGGCTGCATCTATTGGTCTTAATTTTGCTCGAGTATGGCCTTTCGACTACGGCCGGGATCGAGGTTCCGTAACCGAATCGAGAGATGAGATATGAATCCCAAGCTAAAGGTGCAATGTGCAAAACCCTTCGAGATACGGCGCTAGATAAGCAAGAGCGAAGACCGATAAATCCGTGGGAGTTTACTCACAAATACTACTAACCTACCTTCGACAGGGGTACTGTTCTTCCTAGCGCAACTCCATGAACTCTGATGTCATGTTGGGGCTAAATCGACAGCTCAATGTACTGGAACGCGATCGACATGGCTTGGACCAATAAAACGGCTAAGCGACCTACGTAAAACGACAAAATTGTTAACAGGTACTTGATCATCTCATTGAATCATTTCCACCACGCATCATCGACTTGGGCGCCGGCGGATTTGATGTAGAATTTGACAACGTTAAAGATATGTACATAAGTCAAGACGCTGACAGCGGAAAAGGCGTATCCCAATGGCCGCTTCGGTATTTTCACTGAGTGTGTCTCAAGCCACTGCAGCCATCTGACCGTCAACCAGGGGAAATGCTTTTCTGTCTGCAGAAAGGAAGTTAATTCGCCCATCCGAGAATAATGGCTAGGTCTCCGTCGCCGCCCTCACCGGCCCGTACCGAAGTCGATCACTCAAAGAATGACAGCCAAGACAACGAGGAAAACGGCGTCCATCATCGGCACCAGAAACCTCACCACTCCGTTGGGTTCTGGCACCCATCGATGAGAAAGGTTCGCGCCCACGTCATTCGGTTATGGATCCAGACAATCACCATTCTGTTCCTTTTCATCCTCGCGGTCTTGTCAATGTACTGGGCCGTTCTTTTCCGCACTGAGGAAAACCTCAGATCAATCACCGTTCATGTGGTCGACTTTGATGGACAGGTTGCCCCGTACAAATCCGTACAACCCATTGTTGGGCCGACAGTCGTACAAACCGTGCAGAAGTCATTAGACAAGCCGGGCCCGTCACTGGGATGGACGATCTTACCGCCTTCACACTTCAACAACGACCCGACAGCTGTGAGGATGGCCGTGTACGACTGGGACAGCTGGGCGGCTGTAATCATACACCCCAATGCCACGGCGGCTCTGCAAGAGGCCGTCTCCACTGGGGATGCAAACTACGATCCAGCAGGCTCTGTTCAGATCATCATACAAACCGCGCGAGATTCGACGACGTACCAGAGCGATATTTCACCCTTCATCACCCAATTCACGGAGCAATTCACTCAACAGTTTGGAAAGCAATGGGGCCGGACCGTCATGTCCAACACGTCTCTAAGTCGAGAGAACCTCGCGAAAGCTTCTTCTGCCGTCAATCCTGGAATCGCGCCCTTGATGATTGATCTACGCCCCTTCCAGCCTGCTACTGCTACACCTGCAGTGAGCATTGGTCTTATCTATCTAATCATCATGGCGTTTTTCTCCTTTTCCTTCTTTTTGCCAATTCACTCAGTAAGTTGCCAGAATCGACGCATCATACGAAGCATGTACATCTGCTAACCCCCGTAGAAATACATTCAGCCTCAGGGCCATCCACCCTTACACTTCTGGCAGCTCATCATATGGAGGTGGCTAGCCACAATCGTCGCCTACTTCGTTATCTCTCTCAGCTACAGCTTGATATCCCTCGCCTTCCAAATTCCCTTCAGCGCACCACCCGCCTCGCCAACGGAACCAGCCCCTCCGACTGGCGCCACAGCTTATGGCCACGGCACCTTCCCGGTCTACTGGATGCTCAACTTTGTAGGCATGTCAGCCTTAGGCCTCGCCTGCGAGAACGTGGCAATGATTATTGGGCAGCCTTGGACGGCTCTATGGCTCATCTTCTGGGTCATATCAAACGTATCGACTTCCTTCTATGCTATGGACTTGGCACCAGGGTTCTACCACTGGGGGTACGCTTGGCCACTTCGCCAGGTTGTAGAATGCAGCCGTCAGCTTCTCTTCGACTTGCATTCTAAGATCGGACTGAACTTTGGTGTGCTCTTTGTCTGGACAGTGGTCAACACTGTGCTCTTTCCTTTTTGCTGCTACTTTATGCGATGGAAGATGGAACACGACAATAGGATAGCAGAAAAGGAGAAGGATCGGTATGTGGTTGAGACCGAAGACGGGGAGAAGGAGTTTAAGAAGCCGGAGAGGCAAAAACCGCCCATTAGAAAGCGCGGCTTTATGAGGGGTCTTTGATAGTCAGAAGCTTCGATGCCTAGACTGTTTTGATAGATTCTTGTTCGAAGACATCCCATAGAATAATGGACCACTCGAACAGGCATGTAATCCTTACATCTGGTACCTTGTTCTCGTGGCTCACAGCGAGTGCTGCACTCCGGAGACCGGTCTGCTGCTGATCGGATTTCCCTTCAAGCTGTCTACCTGTTATCCACCGCTGAGATTCCAGGACAAATGTATTGCTAGTGTCGCGATTGTCAAGATTTTGGAACCTGATGTGTCTTTCTTATAAATGTTCCTACTTCGCCTTATGCAGGAAAATGGTTGCGAACAACGTGCGTTGAGCTTGGATTGAAGCCTTCGTGACAACGCTGTGGGCGGGGCTTATTTAGCGTTGTGGCCACTGTAATTGTTCTGCAGGAGTATAGACTAATGCTGAAACCATGTTGCGGCAACAGTCGTAAGGTGAAGTCTTCAGTGGAGTTGGCTTCAGTGACCTTACAGGCTGCGACGCACCGCGTCCGTTGCGTTCGAGTAGGGCAGTACCGGGGACTGGTGGTGACGTCTTGCATAGGAGAATTTCCACGTACCAATGATTGACACCATGTCAATATGCAAACATCATGTCAAAAGTCTGACATCGTAATTAATACCCTTCAGGGGGTCCCACAGGGGGGTACAGGGCCAGGCTTAGGGGGTGTTAGTGGTGTCGATGGGGCTCGACGAAGCGAGCGGCGTCAACCTGTGCAGTGACCTACACCGAACACAATGGAAGGATAGGTGAAGCAAAAGACTGTATGCTATCGCTGAGGAATAAAGAGTTAGGTATACACAAAATGCCGATTACCGAGGCATGCTCCAAAGCCCGTAAAAATTACCACCAGTACGCCGAAATGCCCAAGTTTCCTGACTCGACTCAAATGTTGGTTGCTCACAAGTTGGCGTGGGGCTTGTCAAAGGGATCGCTCTTCATCGCTTCCTCGACCTCCTTGTACGCGTCGTATCCGTACAGCCAGGGCTGCACCTCGGGGCACGTCCACCTGCTGGGGAACGCTCCCTTCAGCTCTTTTCCGAGTTGCGACAGGAAGATCTGATCTCTAGCCTCTTGCTCGGGGCCATCGTTCATGTGGAAATCGTGGCGCTAAGAATTGTTAGTACCTGTCGGACGATCGATATCCTGAGATCTGGTGATAAAGACTGACCTGCTTGAATGTTTCCCTGACGATAGACTCGCCACGAGCTTTGCGCAACTTTTCGTATGACTTCAAGGCGGCAGGTAATTGTGATTTAGACTTAATGTGACCGAGCAGCAGTCCGAGGACTGCACCATCCTCCACAGCTGAGTTGGCACCCTGGGCGAGGTAGGGTAGCATGGGGTGGCATGCATCACCGCTTGGCAAGCGTTAGTAAGGGTTGAGATCTCAAATAAGGAGCTTGAATACTCACACAAACACGAAGTTGGACTTCTCGTTGACCCAAGAAGTCATCTCCTCTCCTAAGAAATTCGTTAGCTCATGCACTGATGCATCTAACCACAAACACTTACTGTGCATCAGCTTCCACTTCTCAACACTGTCAACCGAGCTGAGGAACTTCTTCAATATCGGGTCCCAGTCATCGAAACGGCTCTTCATCTCTTCGATCGATCCTGCCTGACGGCTCACACCCTTGGGAAGATCATCGGGCGTAAGCAGCACCAGGTTGTACATCTTCTCCGCTCTCATAGAGTACCCAACGCAGTGCGCACCGGGTCCAACCCAGAAGTGGACCTGAGGCTTCAGAATCCACTCCCTCAGCTCCGGATCCGTAACCTCATCAAGGTTGAGAACCACTCGGTAGGCCAAATCACCCGTTGCTAGGGGAGGGTCGTCCTTCTTCAGGTAGCACGCACGCGACCGCGACCAGAGTCCATCAGCAGCAACAATGAGATCCGCCTTGGCCTTGATCCCAGACTGTGTCGTGAGCTCAGAGATGTCGAAGTCGATGTTCTCGACCTTCTCGCCGAGATTGAAGGTGACGCCGAGTTCCTTGGCACGCTCATAGAGTGAAAGCTGCAGATCGACGCGGTGCAGGTCAATGAATGGTGCCTGGTACTTTGCGCGGATGTTCTTATTGAAGTTCTCCTCCAATGCAAGGACTTTTCCGGAGTAGCGATGCACCACCAAATCCGTCGGCTCAGATGCCGATTTCCACAGTCTGTCTGGAAGACCCCATTTCTGGAGAATGCGTGTAGAGTTGGGCGTTACTTGCAGTCCCGCGCCGACCTGAAGAGCAACATTAGTAACTTCATTCGTGGCTCTTGGGTTTTGAGATGGGGGTCACCTCAAGGAGCTCTTTCGCGGACTCGAAGACGGTGACCTTGTGTCCCGACAAAGCGGCTGCTACTGCGGTGGCTAATCCACTCAGTCCGGCGCCGACCACAATGATCTCCAGTTGGACTGGTGATCTGATGTGCGCTGTGACCTTCAAATTCATCGTTAGCATTGACGCGGAAAAGCCGTCTCATGAATGAGATTGAACTCACCGCCATGTTTCCGTTGCTGCTGAGTGAGGTTGCGTTTGCGCTGGGTGAGAACCACGAGTTGATCCAACGGAACATTTTAAGATTGCTTGGCGATGAGATGCAGGTCGGGCAAAGATACAGGACCAAAATCTGAAAGACGAGTCGCGATGGCAGGAATCCCTTACCCTCAAATCCTCAAATCTTCAAGAGGTGGTTGCAGCTGGGTTCAGCAGTTCAACCCATGTTCTTTACTTTCGCGGACATAGGGGCGCCGGCAAGTCCCTAATGCAACCCCCGGAGATCCCCCACATAAGCCGGAAGCACGGGATGCGTCCCACGGGGTACTACTAATTAGGTGGACGCCAGTGGCTGAAGGTGGTGGTCACAGGTGGACGGACTGCTCGGGATATCCGAGACCGTGCGGGTTATCCGGAAGAATTGAGTCCCAGACGGCGCCGGTTCGAGGATGAAGGTAAAGGTCACGGGGTGGCAACCGAAAATGGATTGAGATTGGTGGTACTGGTCAAATTGGAGGCGAAATCGGCAAAGCCGGCATGGCAACCAGCCTGTCTCCAACTCTGGTTCAGAAGTGATGGAACAGTCAGCTTCCAGACCGAGTTGTGGGTTTACTTTCGGGTGCGACTTCGGCGGAGCTCGAGCCGCTATCTGCCGAATATATGGGAGTTGTCAGCGGCCATCGGGAGAAAGGTGCGGCACATCATCGTAGACCAACATCACGTGCTTACGCGGCTCATTCCATCGGAAGACATTCAGATTTACATTCCTTACTCAATCATCTCACAATAAGCCCTTGCGATTGATCATCATAATCTTCAACGTCATCACTTGCCTTATCCCATCACCCCTCATTCTCATTACAACCCCGCACCATGGCGCCCAAGGGTCCCTTCAAGCTTGTCACGGTCAACACCGCACCTGAGCGGGCGAAGAGACTGGTCGGCCGCATGACCGAGGCGCTCAAGGACCAGTACACGATCGATTATGTCGCCAACTGCGAAAGTAAGTCAAATAAGTCATTGACAATGTAAAGTCTGTAAGCTAATGTTATTGATAGCGATCGACGAGGTCGAGATCAAAGTGAAGGAGCACAAGCCGGACGTCTTGGTATGAGTAACCCCAGCCGAATGAGATCTCTTCAGCTAATAAATCCGCGTAGTTCTGTGCATCAATGTGGACAGCGGAGGAGGCAGAGCAGATCCAGGCTACCGCCAGGTCAATCGTCCCGAACATCAAGACCCACGCCATTCCCCATGGGTTGCAGGTTGAGAGAGGGCCCGATGCAATTGTTGAGCACCTCCTTGAAAAGGTGCCTCAATTGCTCGAGAGCTAGTTTATCTACAGCATGAAGATGGAATGACATAAGTAACCTAAAACATGCCAAATATGAAGTTCTGATGCCATATTATGTGAGAATCGCAGTGAACGTTCTTCGTGAGTGAAGTGCATCTGGGTTGATGAGCCGATTAAGAAATTCACGGATTGAATCTCACAAAGTAAAAGTGTGAAACGTGCATCTGCATGTTTGATCCATCACCCCAAAATCTCAAATTGTCATCATGAGTAGGAACACTCAATGCACATGGTCGTCCAAAATTCAGGGGGTGGGGAGTGCATTCTGGGGTCATGATGAGAGCTTGAATTCTTGTAAACCAATACCTGTAACTCATGCATCGTTTGGTCTAATTCATTAAAACAGCTCATCGCCTGTGTCTTTATCACTTAGTGATCTAGCTACGCCTCCGTGCATTTGATTCCGTCTCATATCACATCCTCCTGTAGGCCTCACATTTACTGTCCAACCTCGTTTTGGAAGGTGTTGACCAGCGTGCCGATATGGGGAAGAATTTCGACGTGGAACTCATCGGCGTCCTTCAGGGTAACCTTTGGTTTCCGGCCCAGGCCGACTCCAGCAGGAGTTCCAGTAATAATCACTGTTCCAGCGGGTAAGGTCGTACTTTGAGACAGGAAGCTGATGAGCTTCGGGATGTTGAAGATGAGATCGCTGTATGGCCAGTCAGTATTGATATGGAACCACGATTAAGAGTGAACTTACTCAATTGGCGAGTCCTGAAGAACGTCGCCGTTCTTTAAGCCGCGCATCTTCAGCTTGGTTGGGTCCGGGATGAGATCCTTAGAAACCAAAGTTGGGCCTATTGGAGAAAATCAAGTTAGTGTCGTGATCCCGTCTTCATCCATATCACGGAACAGCTCACCCAAGGGGCAGGATCCATCGAATCCCTTAGCGAAGCACCATTGAGACTGGTTCAGCTGGTACGTCCGGGAAGAAACATCGTTGCAGGCAGTGTAACCCAAGACGTAGTCCAGAGCATTGGCTTCAGAGACGTTCTTGGCTGTCTTTCCCAGCACGACAGCCAGCTCAGACTCGTAGTCACCGCAGTCATCCGCCTGAGTTAGCAGGGGAAGCACCGTAGGCGCGGGCCATGGGTCTCCGAGGGCAGTGCTTGGCTTCCTGTGTGTGAGGTTAGCTCTGAGTTCATGGCGATTAACACCAACCCGGGCGATCTTACAGGAACACAGTCGGGAACTCAGGCAGGGCCAAACCAGTCTCCTTTGCGTGTTGAACATACTGTTTGTGGTTAGCTTCATGTCTCTGGCCAGAATAGTAGAGAAACATCATTGGCTACTCACGTTCAAGCCAATGCATCGGATCGTTCCGACTTCCTCGGCAGAGACGGGCGAGAGGACGCGGTCAATGACGGCCCGCTCTTCGGTCTTGGAACCCGGCTTGAGAACGCTGGATCCGGACCACACCACAACCTTGACTTCCTCGCCTTTGCGCACAGCAAGGCCAACATCAACAGACTCTGATTCAGGCTCGCCGATGAGAATCTTGTTGGCATCAGAACGGGGGACAAACCGCACGAAGCCTTGGGTTTGTCAGCGGCAGGGCTCTCATGTGAACATCCGTTCGTGCGAGGTGGACGACTTACGGGTGAAGGGCGTTTGTGTTTGTGAAGCCATGGTGTATGTGTTGTCTGGTGCGTTCCTCAAAGTCAGGTGTGCAGTGGTATCGTAAGATTCGAGCTCAAGTCAGTCGTGGAGTGGCAGTTCAGATGATATTCACCAGCAGGAGAGTAGAAGAAAGGGCCGTTCCCGCATCGTGAAATCCGACTGGAGCAAGCCCGCTGCCCCGCTGGGGTTCTTCCCCGCACAATTGCCGATGGTTGGGGTTGGTCGGCTCGGAGGTCCGGGAAGTTCGAGAGTTCGCGCCCAGATCTGACGCCGCGTCATGCTAATCGTAAGTCCATCCGGCATGATTGTTCAATGGCCCGCTGACAAATCGACGCCTACGGAAAAGCCGGGCAACTTAAAGGCGCTTGTGGGGTGTTTAGAAAAGGTTTGACCAGAGTGGACGTCTTGTGATAAGAGCTGCCCGTTGTCGGTCTCGGAGCTATTATTACTTGCTTTCCCTGTCACGGAGTCGGGTGGAAGCGTTCCAGCCTTGACAACACATACAACCAGAGACTTTGCACGAGGAACACCAACCATAGAAGCTCTCAAGCTGCTAGGAGACTGACGGTTATTGCTGCAACGATTGCACCCCGAAAGTCACAGATATCATCATACGCGGGCGAACAACAGCATACCATGTCCGGGGCACAGGAACAGGCGCCTCATGGCGCCGAGTACCGTCAGCATCTTCCAGACATCAGCACTCCTCGCTTCACGACGATGCGAAAACAGGATGCTCACGAATATGCCAAGGTGTTCAAGGAGAGCGGTAACCCGCCGTGGATACATGCCCTCTACCTTCATTGGCGTAGCCTCTTCAAAGAGCCATACACTGGCATTACAACAGATGGTGAGATCTGCCGTGACCACCAAAACCACTAAGTTTCCCGCCAAGAAACCATAACTGACACGGGTTTAGGCACGGTAAACCGGGACTTATTCAAAATCGCCGACGAGGGCGTGCCGATTCAGAAAATTGTCGATGCCACAAACGCGGTCCTGTCACAGCTAGATGACAAGCAGAAGACTACCCTCTCGTACCACGTTGATTCCCCGGAATGGCGGTCATGGTCGAACCCCGAATTTCTCCTCAGCGACAAGGGTTTACGGCTGGATGAGTTAAATCCGCAAATCCGCGACAGCATCCTCAAAGTCCTCGAGACGACGCTGTCACCCGAGGGATACGCAAAGGCGCTCAGCGCCATGCGCGTGAACGGCTTTTTGGGCCAATTGTTGCAGTCACCCACCATCTGCAACGAATTCTCATACAACTTTGTCCTCTTCGGACTGCCTTCGGCAACGAGGCCATGGGGCTTCTCATTTTACGGCCACCACCTGTGCCTGAACATTTTCTTGTACCAGGGCCAGATTGTAGCGTCACCGTGGTTTACCGGTGCCGAGCCGAACCTGATTGATGACGGCCCACACAAGGGCACCCGCATCCTCAACACTGAGGAGCGGCTAGGCTTGCAGCTGATGCAATCACTGCCAGCAGACCTGCAGCAAAAGGCGCAGACGTACAAGCTTCTCAAAGATCCCGCCATGCCGAAAGGACGTTGGAATCACGACGACCAGCGACATCTCTGCGGCGCATACCGAGACAACCGAATCGTGCCGTATGAGGGCATCTTGGTGTCGGACATGACATCCGAGCAGCAGCAGCTCGTTCTCGGTATACTAGAGCAATACCTCATCTATCTTCCTCAGAAGTCGAGGGAGATACGGGTCAACCACATCAAGTCTTTCTTCCAGGATACGTACTTTAGCTGGATTGGCGGCTACGGCGACCAGGACCCATTTTACTACCGCATCCAGAGTCCTGTAATCCTCATTGAGTTTGACCACCACTCAGGAGTCTTCTTGACGAACAAGGAGCCCGCCAAGTTCCACATTCACACTCTTCTGCGGACGCCGAACGCCGGTGACTACGGTATGGCGCTGCGGCCATTGATCCCCGGCATTGAGCAAGATTTTCTATGGGAAGGCTAGGCATGCTGAGGTCTCCAGGATTTGAGTTGAGGTCACATAGTCGATTGTATGTACTTTTAAGAAGTAGTGTCGGTCACAACGCAGTCCATTTTGACCATAGTCTGCCACCTCTCGCCCCCTTGGCCTCGAACCCTGACCTTACTGGCGTTCCGACGTCAATTCCGAACCTCTCATCCACAACTGGAGCATCCAATAAGCTGCCAATGCGTGTGTGTGTGTGTTATATTTAACGCCGTGGCGGCAAGGGCGCAGCCGCCCTTGCGGCCGACCTCGCGAAGGGTATCCCATCGAGTGCCAATTGGCAACAGGTACATTATGCCCAGTTTTGACCCACTTTTGCCCCCTCACCGCGGGAATACATGACGGTACGTCATCAACCCCTATATTTTCCCAGCTGCGTTCACCACCACAACTAACATTTCTACAGATGGGCAACTGTCGCGATGTCCTCAAGCGACTCTGATGCGTCTGATTCGTCAGCGCTTTCACATATCACCGTCGCAGTACTTCCCGAAGACCTTGATAGCGCCTGTACAGCTCAATGTAGGCCCGAGAGGTGTGATAACGCAACTGTACGCCCACACGAATCGCCTCCGCTAGAAAGGGGCACACCGGGCCAATTCAACCCCCTCGACCTGCCCTACCGCGCCGCAACAGTACGGGGTCTATCTACTACCCCTTTAGAGCTTTTTCAGCAGTATGTGCCTTTGAGGCTGGTTGAATCGTGGGTACAGTGGACCAATGAAGCCGCAGTACGAGGCCCTGTTCAACAACACTCACGATCCCACAGAAAAAAGACGAGGTCAGGGTGCCTGCAGTGTGGAGTAGCGCTTTGTAACTCGGATGATTGCTGGTACCTCTTTCATAGTCAGAGTATATAGACAACAGAAGTATCCATAATCTAGGCTTTTTGGTTGGCTAGAAGAAGTCTTGGCTGTCTCCTGAGTGGTCAGTTCCCCTCAAGGGCATGTACCTGTTGCCAATTGGCACTCGATGGGATACGACAAATAGTGGTAGCGATTATCACTCGTCTGTTGGTGATCCTATTGCTTGTTCTTCTTGTTGTTCTTCTTACATTGTAGGCAGGAGTCGGTCGAAGTAGGCAGTGACGGCCTGTGTGGTTGCCCCACCTTTATCCGGCCGTGATGACTAAGCCAGTTGTCCCACTTCGCCCAGGGCAGGTGCCAGCCAGCCCATGGTACCTGCCTATTACTCCTTATCAGCCTTTGCTGTTCCAACAGTAGCCCTTCCTTAGCACCTGAGCTGGAAATTGCCGGCCGGGGAAGAAAACATTTTGGTGTCTGGACGCCCCCAAATGTATGAGATCTCACTGAGTGATGAGATGAACTATTCTCGTTGAATCCCCATGTGAGGATGTCAAATGAAATGCTTTCCTCCCACTCACTCGCGTCTCAACGAGTGTTACTGGCTGCGATGGCGATGGGGCGATGGAAGAAGAAGAGTAAGGGACAAAGTGAATTCCTCAGCGATACCCCGAAGGCTACGCGGATTCCACGCGCCAACTTCTGCCGTTTTCCCGCAGTTCCCGCAGGCTAACGCCTCACCTTCTTCTTTGAGTTGCGCCGCGTCAACAACAACGTTCAAGGACGAAGTCAATTACGACGAGATACGCAACCGTTGACTCGTCGGTAGAAAATCTTGGCGCATATAACGCTATTAGTCGCAATCCCTAAAGCTTACATCAACGTCAACACACAGTCCACTGATCTATTGACTCGGCTTCCAAGAGACGCGATGCAACTTCCGCCGCACCCCCTGTACTCCCTAGAACTCACACCGCGCTTCGATGCGGACGGCGCGAGCAGCCTGTCGGTGCTCCTCCGCCTGCAGTTACCGGCTGCCAAAGCCCAGGAGCCCGTTTTTGTGTTCGATACCTTTTACGGCAACGTCCCCGGCCATCCGTTCAAAGAAGAAGACATCAACGTGACAGATGATGCCGGCCCCCTAGAGCTCCGATTCCACGACCTCCCTGCCGAGGGCCGGGACAAGAAACAGCACTGGTGCTTTACCAGAGAACCCCGCGGCGACATCCTCCTCCGCTTCGACGTCTTCCCGCGCAAAGTAGACGTCAAGACTCCGCTCGGCGCCCGCATCGACCTTCGTCGCGATCAGGGCGGCCTGCACGGCGCCGGCCGATGGTTTCTGCCCCAGCTTATCAATGATCAGCTTTTTACCGTTCTGGTAAGGTGGAACCTTCCGGCCGACGCGCCGGCGTCCACGCGATGCGTGTGGAGCTACGGCGAAGGCGCCAAGCCGATGGTCCGCGTCGATCGCTCCGAAGTCGTTCGGAACACCATGTTCATGGTCGGCCCCGTCAAGAGCTCTTCTGGGTCGTCGTCGTCTGCGTGTTACTGGTTCGGTGACCTTCCGCCTAATCTCGACCGGTTGAAGGGATACAACAGTGCCATGTTTCCGAAGATGGCGGAGTTCTTTGGGTCATCAGGTGGGACGTATCGCATGTTTATGCGGAAATCCATCGTCGGCTTTGGGGGGACCGGATTTGATGCAAGTTACATGTTAGAGTACGATGACAGGAGTAGCCATGTGCCGGATGACCGTCTCATCCTGTTGTTCACGCATGAAATGGTGCACAGCTTTGCCGCGATTGATTCAGGCGAGGCGAATGAGAATGACTGGTTTGAAGAAGGTATCCTCTGCGCCAATACCATTGTCTTGGGTCCAGAAACTGACAAAATGCAGGACTTGCCGAGTTGTATTCTTCATACCTCCCCTACCGCTTTGGCTTCCGCGGGAAGGACTTCTTGATCAACTCCATCAACGGTCATCTGCAAGGCTACTTCACCAGCCCTCGAATCCACATGGACATACGCGATGCGGCCGCGGCCATGTTCAACGATTGGTACGCAGAATGGATTTCCTACAAGCGCGGCTTCACGTACCTTCTTTTCATAGATCTGTACCTGCGACGACACACTCGCTCGAACGACTTTACCACAGCAGGGCCCCTTGACTCCATCGTTCTCGACTTGTGCAAAAGGCACAAGCAAAGAGAGGCTGTGGGCGCCCGTGACTGGCTTACGGCCCTGAAGACAGCTCTTGCGGGCGACGATTTCCCGATCGAACAGCATTACCAAGACATGCTTCGGGGGCGGACGGTCATGAACTTTGACGGGCTTTTCTTGGGCGAGCCATCAAATAGGTTGAAGACAGGGCAGCTTCCTATTATGGAGTTCGGGTTTGATAGCCGCAGCACGAGCTCTCGTGTTGTTACCGGGCTGATTCCAGGATCGACTGCGGATAAAGCGGGGTTGTGGGAAGGAGCTCAAATCGTGAGCATGTCTCGAGCCAGTGACTGCATCGATGATATCCAAGAGACTTACAAGGTGGTTGTTCAAGAGGGAAAGGGCACTCGTCTGATAGAGTATGTGCCTCGGGCGAAGAAGACTGCTTTGGCCTGGCAATTGGAGGAAAGCGACTGAAGTGTTTGCTGAAATCGGGTTGTAACTACTATCTAATTCTGAAGTACGTGCAGTGAAGTCTGTACGAAACAAAGAAGAAAAGGTAGGGTATAGCGCTCTGGTGTTGATTCTGCTGTTGATTGGAAAGGGGAGAAAATACAAGGGGCAATGGGGTATTCTGTCTGTGATGACAATGACAAGAACCAGAATGTGACCTAATCCACCACTGGAAACCATCTATCGTCAACCTCGAGTATGACTAGATCCTTGCAACTTTCGTGTTGAACTCTCAGTTGAACGAACCTTCCCCGGCTCTGACTGCAACGGAAATCAATCCTCCAAGAACCGAAACCATTCCGCCGATAACTCTCTGGGTCGTGGGGGACATCTTGTACTGCATGACCAGCGCATGCTGAGGTAGAGCGATGCGGCCACCCTCCTGATCAATGTCCACGAAGACATCGTCGTAGAGATGGAATAGATGTGTGTAAAACCCCTGATCCATCGACTCGGGCTCGCGTACTGCCTCGGTAAAGGCTTTGTTGGGAGTGGCGTGTCGGATCAAGGCCTTCCAGGGGGGAAGTGCCGTAAGGTTGGGAACTTCGATCTGCTGGTCGTTAGCAACTATGAAGATTTTAAACTCCGCTCGCAACAGGCAAGAACTTACGGGACGAAGTCTGGCGATTGACACAGTCGGGTTGAGGAAAATGATGTTTTTCTTGAGGAAGCGCTTGGTTCTGCTGGTGTCCGCCTCAAGCGCGCCCTTGATAGCTTTCACGAGCGCTTGCGTATCTTCGTAGTCGGCCGTTGCCAAGATGGCGGCACTCGGAGGCGAAGAGGTGGATGACTTAGCGAGAACGAGGACGGAGGTGCTAGCCATTGTTTTAGAATTATTTGATCTTGCTGGAGTATGGAGTTGTATCTGGTGTGTAGACGGTCTATTTCATCAACGTTCTCACAGAGAAACTCCAGAGACTTTATAATAATCCATCGACCGGAGACGATGGTAGCAAGAGCATACTAACCGGGGAAAGGATGACGATATCTACGCATTTCTGTGGAAAAGTCCACGGGGGCGGGTTGGTGGACATAGGTATATACTGAATCGAGGACAAGGAGTCTAGACAGCATGAATAAGTCCGCGATTCTGGGTACCTAAGGAAACATCACACGACGCCGATGCCGGGGACAAGATGATTTGTAACCGCAACTTACGTCACGACGCCCGGTAATGAGTAGATCAAGTTGTGCAGGAAAAGGAGAGCGCGAACGCGCGCATCAAGTCCAGCACAAGGGGGTGTTCCAAGCTGGACCAGACTGTGTTCCTAGGACTGTCAGTATGTCCACGGCTTGCGCCTACCAAGCTTCCCTCGGTGCTAGAACGTTGCACGTGAGCAAAAGCCATCACGCTGCCAGAGTCGGTCCAGTCAAACTGAGGAGTAGGGTGTTGAGCCTCTCGGTAGTATCGAACGATGAACGGCAGCCAAGATCCGGGATCGGTGAGTCCCGATGTGCTGGTGACAACCCGTGCGCTGTTGAATTGGTGGTGACTGAATCATTGCTTCGGACCGGCTTGCGTCGGGGTAACGGGCGCTGGATAGCCGGACACCGCCGGGACTGTGGTGCTGTAAGGTACCCTATCTTGGAGGCTCTGGATACAATCTGGCGATACGTGCGTACTCATCTTCCCCACAGTTGAAGTTTGGTCAGCGGAGAGAATGGCCCAAGTCGAGGCTGAACGCGAAGTCTTCAAGCTGTTGTGGTAGAGAGGCGGTGCAGAAACGAGGGAGATCTGTCAGTGACGTAGGCACTGTCTTCTGCTCACTAATTAGCTCCAAATGAATATCTCCACGACCAATGAGTGAGAACAACCCCTTGGCTAGCCCCAACCAACACTTTGTCCACGGCCAATGGTGACAGTTGCTCAAGTTGTCAAATGCAAGGTACAGAACACGCTCCGGTACAGACGCTGCTCAGGTACGAAGTAGCTAAGCTCTGCAGTAGGGCAGCTTGTCAAAGGGGAAAGCTCGTGGACATACGGATTCTTACTGATAAAACGTTCGTGGAGAAAGAATGATTGCCAAGGAGCGTCTGGCCACCACCCACCGGGTTGATAACGTCCCCCGCACCAACCCCAAAGCACCGTTGTGCTGGAGTGACAACGGCAGCCCAGCCTGCTAAGACCTCCTTCTTCCCGCGCTTAACTTCGAGTTCTAAAAGAATTCATCCGTTCCTCTTCTCCCATTATATACCCAAACATCCAAAATTCCTGGCGAACCATACCGCCCATCGCACAGAGTGAACTCTCAGCTGCAACATGTCTGCCGAAGACCATGAACAAGGCAGCAGAGACCAGGTGAGTTGGTGGATGCCTTTCAGATGCCTTCCTGTTTCCTACATGCAGCTGTTTCTGTGCCTTTCGCAACACAAGCTTTCCCTGCCCATCGTCCCCCCATCTTTCTCCACACCGTCGCTGAAGCTTGCGGCACTCCTGTTCATCACGGCCCCATCCCATGGGATCGGGACTCTGTGGACGCAGGGGTGCTCCATTTATTCAGGGCAGAGTATCCGTAATACGGCCGTCATTCCACGAAGCATCGATGCTAATGCCGCTCTTCGCAGTTGATTCCCCACGGAGAAGCTTCCGCCCCATTCGAGAGATTGGACGATCGACAGACGCGAGTTCAGGAAACGCTGAATCAAATATCCCGCCTCATTCCTAGCCAGTCTCCAACTCAGCCCCCGCATTTTGATGAAGGGGAAATTGAAGAACCTCCCACCAGCGGTCGTATCGCCGGTCATGCCGCCGGCCCCGGCGCCTCCACACCGCCGTCCACGGCGCAGAGGACTTCGGTTAGCGCCGGTCAACTGACTCTCACAACTCCCCCGACCGCTGTCTCCAACACTGATGCAACACGAGATGCCGGGCAGGCCAACTTCTTGGTCTGTGTAGTGTTTTTGATGTTTGGTGCAACAGCAGCTCCTGCTTGTCGTAAAGAATTCAACCGCGCTTGCGACCTAAAGTAAGTTGACATTTCCATGTCAATTATGTGGCTTTTACTTGTACTGAAAGAGGCCAACAGACTACACACATGGCGGTTCCACGTCCACATCGACGATCAACGCCATATTAAGGCCACCGATATCCAGCGCTGCAAAGAACACGAAGCCACGGCCAATCAACAACCCGGGCCGAGACCCAAAGGGCTGAAGCCTGATCAAGCGAAACAGACGGCGCTATTTCTAAGAAAAAACCCCCTCGATCGATTCTCCATTGAGGACTGGTATCGCTTTGTCGACATCATCGCAATTCTTAACGACAAGCGTCCTCGGCCAGAGGAACGACACAGGAACCACCGCATTGCATGTATCTCGAAGTTATGGAGATCACGATATGGGCATAGCCTTCCCGACTACGGGTTGCATGGCAAGTTCCGGCTACAACTTTCCCCCCATGTTGTACTATGTAGTCCCCTTACTGACAGCTGTCTGCTAGTGGAGGTCAGCAAAGAAAACTGGGCTCTTATTGCGAGAAGCGTACGAAGAGCCATGGATATCGTGAAGAATCCCGAGGAAGAATGTCCCAAGTCTTTCATAAAGTCCGAAGAAAGTTTCACGGACCATAGCAGTAATGTAACTGTACAAACGGAGCAAGTCGATTTTGGTGGAACATGGGTCCCAGAAGTAGGCCCAGAAGGTATGGAATTCATTCGCAACATGTCGAAGGAAGAGATGGATTACTGCATCACCCTATGGGGTCCACCACCAGGAGACGCAGGTCCGGCGAGTGGACAACCTCGTGAGGAATGCAACTGAGGAGATCTAGAATATAAAGATTGTGAAGATAGAGGATTTACGACTTCCCCGTTTACTCATATTGGGATAGCATGCATAACAAGCGGGGGGTGGATCTGAGCAAGGCAGGGTATTAGAGACGGATGATTGACTGGGCGTTGGAATGGGCCTGATTTCATTGCATGTAAACGGTTATAGAGGCAGCATGGATGGATTCACACTCGGCAATTAATCGGATCACACAACCTTCATGCGCCGTGGTGCTGTGAGCACCACCGGAGTAAGATAGTCGAGATTACATACGCGAAGAAAGGATGAAAGTGAATTTTATCTTCGTTGATGAGCAGAGAGCTACATGTATTAAGCCTGTGGAACTTGGTCCTCCAATTGCGCAGTCCTACTCTATGGTGATAGAGCTTGGGCTCGCCCCTAGCATTTTTGTGTTCAATTCCTCAGCTTCACAAGACACGACTTCGGCTTCGCGAATATCCCCTCAATAAGCCCATCCTCCTCCAACTCAGCAGGCAGCCCCATAAAGTCCAGGTTCCAGACCAACAGCGTGATAATCAGTTTCAACTCCATATACGCCAGTCTCTTGCCCCAGCAACCTCGCGGGCCATGACTGAAAGTCATAAACGGACCAGCTTTGTTATTGAACACGACTTCGCCGTTCTCGTCAGGCTGCAGCCAGCGTTCCGGGTGGAGTTGCTCCGGGGGATATTCGGTCTCGGCCCAGTCTCCGACTCCTTCATTGGCGACCTTTTGTGATGTCTCGCTACGCTTGGCTTCGTCGACTTTGGCACCGGCCTCTGAGACCGTCTGTCCCGTCAACAGGAAGACGACGGGTGTTCCCTTGGGGACACAGTACCCAAACATGTCCATATCAACAAGCGCCTCCTTCATGATGGCTCCAGCGGGACTGCTCAGGCGTAGAGTATCTTCAATGAAAGCGTCGAGGTAGTGAACGTGGGTCTTGGTAATGTCGTCGACTGTAGGCTCCCGCTTCTCAGAAACCGCATCTGGGTATGCAAGTCGCAACGCCTCGCGCAACTTGGCCTGTATGTTCTGGTGAGCTCCGAGGTACTTCACCGTGAAGCAGAGCGTGCTGTGGGTTGAGTCTTGGCCGCCGACTAGATAGCCCCAGATCATGTCGGTCATCCGCGCCGAGTCAAAAACGGGCTTTCGGCCTGCGGCGTTGGCTGCTGAGATTTCGCGCGAGACGATGTAGTCAACTGCTGAGGCAAATTCCTCCTTTGAAGTACTGCGTGTCTGTTTCTCGACGGAGCGGTGAATGTGAGATTGGAGAATGGTCTTTTTCGAGTGGAATGCCTTGCGGATAGTCGGCCGATTGTCATCGTAGAGAAAGAAGAGCTTGGGGATAAGTGCACGGAAAGCACCGTTGACTCGTTCGCCCAGTATGGTCAGAGCGTTTAGAAGTTCTGGCTGCTTGACTTTCGGGAACTCCGCAAGTTGTGAGGGATCAGATGGGCGTGTTTCGGATGCGCTTGGTGAGGGAAGAGACCGAAGTCGTTCCAAAGTGTAGCTGTCTTCCACAGAAGTGCCAAAGGCCGCAGCGTTCATGATATCGTAGGTGAAGGCTTCCAGATCGGCGTCCGCTTCGAAAGGCCGGCCATTGGCGATGGTAGCTTTGGCTTTCCACATCTCTATGAATTTGTGAACCATCTTATGTGAAGCTGGTGCCGACACCTGATTTCTGTCAGTACCGCAATTCCCCTCGGCAGTCTGGTTTTGAAAGTAAATGTACCCCATGTAAGAAGCTCGGTGTCATGAGATCCTTGGTGAGAAACTTGGTGTCCTTGAAAGATGGATGTGAATCTTCCATGGAGATGAAGTGTCCCGGAATCACACTATTCCACGTTATGTTATTGGTAACCCCGCGGCCGAGATCTTTGCTCCGCTTCGCCATCAAGTCGCGAGCCTCGCGGTAATCAGCAATGACGACGTGCGGCCTACCGAAAGGTCCGGCAAAGAATTGGGCAATGGGCGTGTCGTGCTTGGCGAGCAGCTGCGTGAAGAACTTGAGCCAGTATTCGCCCGCATTTTCAAGTTCGATGATGTACGGCGCATCTCCGAGAATTCTTTTAGAAGAGTCGAGGTTGTACGGTGGACCCCAAGGAATCGGCTTGGGTAAGAGTCGAAGGTAGAAGAAACGAAGGGATATGGCAATAGCAGCTATGATAGCTGCATATAAGGCGAATCCCGCCATAGCGTTGGTATCGAGATGCTTTCACAATGGTGAGTCTGAGTAAAGCTGAGCGGACAAGGTATGAATAGTTAAAAGATGAGATACAACTCAGCGGTACGACAGACTTCTACAACAACGCTGCATCGCGAGTGTTTTGTATCTTCAAGATTAACGTGCATGAGGCCGCGCGGAGTCCGCCAGGTAAGCTTCGGATGAAAGTTGGTGCTCTTGACACCTTTCCTACCGAAGCAAGGGAGTGAACACTAACACTGCAGAACTGCGGCACAGCGGTCGCCGCGGCACCCGATTCGGTCTCGGCGCTGGCGGGGTATCCACTCGTGGCATCACCGGCCCCCTGTGCTGGCTACCACGGCCGGGAGGGGCACGAGGGGGAAGTTTCGAGTGTCATGCTAGAGTCCCGATTGAGGGCTTTGTTCCTGGTCATTTCAATCCTCTTTTTGGTGATTGGTAGCTGTGCACAAGCACCCTAGAACCTTGCGCGTTTCTTCGAAGGTCGAGTTGCGACATGTTGAATATGTGCAGTGGGAATTTGGCTAGTCATCGTGAACCAGCAGTCTGAAGTAGTGATAAATGGCCAAAAGATTCAGATGATACACTTCGAAATATACTTCTGAGAGTTGATATCAAGCGATTTTTGGTTGCTTAGTGCAATCACTGCCGGCTTGCGTTGCTGCTTCTACACAAATGCCAATCAATTCATCTCCAAAAATTGGTGGAATGGCCAGACCCGTTTCCATAGCCGCTCCAAACCATGCGGCTCCCGACCAGCCCGTCGATCAACCACGGAGTAACACAATTGCTTTCCTATGCCCTCGAGACTCAAAGGTAAAGCTTGGCATATGTAATCACTCCGGGTGGCTATGGTGCAATTTGAGTACAGCCCCGGCCGTTACGGGACCGTAGATGACAACTGCCGGGCGGACTGTTGGCATTATGCATCAATCCGCTCCTATACATACTTGCCTTCCGTTAGGTGGAAGCCGGACATTCAGGAATATCAATGTCCTTCAGTCCGTAAATCGTACCAAAGTCTTGAAAAAGATCAGATGCGTGGATGATGGTCACAGTTACACACGGCTAGGCCGAGACTTTTTTGAGTTGGTGTTACAGTCTCACAGACTCCGAACGGACGGAAGCGGAATTTTAGGTATGATGTTACGCACGAAAGAACAAGGTTTCATTTGCGCAATCTTAGAGATGTCGTTATGGATGCGAGAAAGTCGTAGACTAGAAGACCTTTGCAGGGAAAAGTTCGCATCATTGGAGTCTTGACGTGAGACATAGTCGACGATGCAAACCTTGATCTGAGTCTAAAGTCTTTAACGCAATCCGTCCGGGAATCAATCGCACCGGAAAGGTGATGCCAATAAGGATTAGGACTCAATCATCTTCCGCAATCCGTTAACACTCTCACTCCATCTCCGTAGCTCGACCCCTTCCATCACGGCCCCTCCATAGCGGCATCTCCCGCAGGATCACGCATCGATGAGTCAGTCATCGTGTCTACGATATGCCGAAGTCGACTCCTTCCAACGCCCGCTTCGTCTTTGTTCGTGCCCCGGCCCGCGGCGTGGCGATCCCGGATCTAAACGTTCGCCACATGGCTGTGCTCGAGTAGCCTACAGCGTGGAAGAGGACAAAGTCATAGAAGGTGTGGTTCAGCGGAGTTTGGCTTGACGAATCTCAAATCTGGAAGATTGCGGAGATGGAGAGCACACGTGGATGAATCTCGATTTTGTCTCACTTTCGACAACGCGCTGCATTCATCTTTCGATGGAAGATTTTGGTGCTTGGCAGTGACTTTGGCATTGTTGTTGGCTTTTTTGATTATAGTAAATTACAAATTGGTATGGGAAACTCAGGCAAACCGGGATATCATCGCAGGAAAAACGAAAGAGAAGACAACCAATGCCATGCCATGCTTCGTGTCGTCCAAGGTTATACCACGACCTTCATGGTGCGAAAGTACTTCTTTACCCGTGATGACAAAATTGACGATGACTGGAATGTCTCAACCGTCTCCCTAGAGTCTTCAGAGTCCAACGAGTACCTCCTCTCCTTGACGAACTTGGGCCACGTGTTGGTGAGGACAAGGTACTTGATGCTCGACTCCGCGTCGTCAAAGACCCCAGCGTTGAATGCCTCCGGGATTTCGCCCCAGTACTGCACCCGGTCTGCAATGGGGTCCCCGCTGCCATCTCGTGATACGCAGCTCATCTCAGAGCCACCCGCTGTTGACTCGGGCCCACCCCAGCTGTTATCCTCAAATGGCACCACAGGATCGCTGAAGCGTTCCGTCCGGTCGCCGTATAGTATCGTCGCTGCGCCTTCGAAGACGCCTTCCAAGCGCTTCAGGTCCTGAGATGCGATGTTGATCTGGAATTCGGCGTGGTAGGGGCTGATGAACTCGGTGTAGATGCGCAGGGCACGGTTGAATCGCTCCCGTGTAATCTCGGCTGATCGATGTGATGATCCGGGGCTTTGGGGGATTGATGACTTCCATTCGGCAACGGCTGATAGGAAGGCAATGTTCTCGCCGGAGAAGTCTCTGAGGGCAGAGAACTTGCGGAGTGGCTCAGGATTCTTGTCCAAGACGTACTCGAGGGCGCCCATCGTGTAAACGCTTTCCGCTTGACTGGTGTCCTTCTCGAGCTGTGCAAGGGATTTCCAATCAACGGAGGACTGGCTGCCAATCTTAGTCGATCCAGTGATGACAGAGTCTCTTCCGGTGCGAGCCTTGTTCTTGGCTTCCCAAACAGCGATAGACTCGAGTGTTTCTTGTCTGAGGGTCTTGTGTTTGAATACTTGCCAACAGGGAATGAAGATGGCGAATATTTCGATGAAGGTGATGGAGAGGCAGATCCTAGAAACAGTTCAACATCAAGCTCAAGAAGAAATGTCCATGCGTGCTTCATATAACTTACCACTGCGGGGGGATAAAGTAGGCATTGACGGAAGCCATCGCTGGGACGTACAAGGCAACAAGCCACATAGGGGTAGCGTGAAGGCTGAACTCGTTAGTGTTGGCTCGGGGGATTTGTCACGGAGAAGCGGCAAAACGATAAGCTGATTTGCAACTCACCTTGCGATGGAGCATGCAATGGTCTGCAGCCGCCACCCTTGTGTGTCCTTGATTCCACGTGATTTCCAGAGAATCACCGGTGCGACCAGCCAAGCCCATAGGAACTGCCAAAATACGGAAGGCCACCATTCCCAACCTCTACCCATCTCGACTTTTTGCTGCGCGGGAGTTCCCGTCACTTCAGTGCCGGGAACACCGAACGATGGGTGATATTTGCGGGAAACAAGGTACATCACTACAGTTAGAAGAAGCTGATGATGAAGCACGTTAGCCATGTGTCAACTGTCAAACATGCACCGCCATCCGAGCCTGCATCAACTCACTTGGACAAGCATGCCCGTGCACACGACGGCTAGCATCTTGGTGGTGTAATCGAGCTTCCGGAACTTCCCCGTCAGGGTCTTGTCCTGCCCGCTACTGGTGTCCATCTGGGGGCTGGACTGTGCGAGTGGCTTATCTGCATATTTCCGCTGCGCCTTGGCGATGTGGAGGAACCGGCTGTTGGAAGCGTGGAAAAGAGCAATGCCGAAGGGGAGGTAGAGGCCCATCACCCAGAACTCGGCGCCATCGGGGACGAACTGGCCGATGGCAAGCCCGATCTGCACCGAGAGCCAGTAAAGGTGGAGCATGGTGACGGCACCAAACGACAAAGCCAGACCGCGGATCCTTAGAAAAGGCATTTTGCGGTTGACAAAGAGGAATGCCATGCCGCAGAGCAATATCACTGTCCAAAACCCACCCCAAGCGAGCCAGAAGACCGCAACTGGTGCAGTGTTGAACGCAGGCGCCGCTGCTGCGGCAGTTGGTGTAGGTGTGGCATCTGCGGCCCTCGACTCCATGATGAAGGATCTCTAAGTTGCTGACCGAAGATCTGATGGTATTGTGTAAAGCTGCCGGCTGGCGAGCAGAAAAGGAGCGTGAAGAATAGGGCTAGAAATTCTGCATGTTCAAAATCCGAGGATAGACTTGGCTATATGCTGGAATGCAGATGGGGCTGGAAAACAAGGTTCCAGGAGGAATGCGAAAGTGCTTCCCTAGTCACCCGTGATTCACCAGCCAGGAATCACTCTTGAAGGCTGTAGGCGCTCCCATCGTGCTTTTTCGAGGTAAGCCAAGCGCGGTGGTGAAGCCGGCGCACCGTCGTGCTGATCCCTGTATACGTCGACAATAGCGCTGGCCCTCGAATGTCGATCACATCTTGAAAGTCTTTTCAATGCAGGGAGAATTTGAAGACGAGTTGCACGCCGGGTTCTGTCAGTTCCTGGTCTGAAAGGAAATGGCTAGCCTTCATGGCCCGAGCTGGGGGCCGTTGAACTGAGACTGCCACGCAAGGGAGCGCGGCTGCATCCTCTCACAGGCGCCGCCCTCGGTAGAAGTGGGAGGGTGCAAACAATAGTCGCGGTTCAAGACGACGGCTTCCAGTGTGGATCATCGGTGCCTTAAGCTTTTACTTGCAAAAGCAGGTCGCTGGCGCTAGTGTCAAGGGACATCTCTCTTCCGGACGCTAACTAGGAACCGGACTCTCGTAGAGCTGAGCCATGATGGAGAACGTTTGGTTTGGCCGTCGTTGTGGCCCTCGTGGGGTTCATGTTGCCTGGTGATTCAGCCAGTAGCCAGTAGCCAGTCAGCTGACCAGCGTAAGATCCGCAAGATGAAGCGTCATAGCAGATCTCTAAGCGATTCATTAGGGCCTTGGATAGTGCGAAAAGTCATGAGTCGCTGAATCGGACCTGTCAATAGGAAATATTGCTTTATCTGAGATAACGCGGGCGCACGGTTCTCTTGCTCGAGAGGCTGTCACTGCTGAACAAGAATGAGACATTGACTGTAGAGATGACTTGGTGTGGCAGGGCTCTGACCAGCTGCGAAAGTCTGGCCCATGGCCTGAATCCCACGATGTGTGCTGAGTCTGTCGGGGAACGAGCGCAGGGAGAAGTCGTGAGACACTCAACCAACGTAGAAGCTTCTGTTTTCTGATTTCTGATACTGTGCAAGCGAGGGCCTCCGGCCGACCGACCTACCTTGGAGGCAGGGAGTAATCGATCTCTTCTGACACTGGTGGCTGCTCTGAATCCTTTCCACAAACCTCCACAAGTGGCTCTGGATCACTCTCCCCTTGAACAGCCGGTTTGAAGTTTGATGTGATGTTGCTTTTTGTCGGGCGTGACTATTCACTTGCTTGCAACGTTGGCGCCATGATTGCCCCTCTCCCCTTCCACCCGCTGAGAAGAGGGTGCTGCAAGTGAGCCATGGCCCATCGTGAGAGCGCGAGGCGTTGAGCCGTTTTCCGGCCCCGTTGGATAAATTGCAACGGCACGCCTTCGGACCAACGCAAGCCTTGCGCGTTCGAAGAAAGAATTGTGGTCCACGATAGACGCACAGAAGTAAATATCCCAGATCTTGGATGCTTGTCCTCGAAGAGGCGTTCAAAAAGACAATGGATCTATCGGGAAAGCGAGATCACTCCTGTCGATCCGTGAGGAATCCAACGCATGGATTGGAAAGTCTCATCTGGTCCCTCTCTAGGTCCCTTACTTCATTGGATCATGAAGACTACAAGCGTTGTAGGCTAAGAAAGCCGTGGCGTCCTCATCGCACGCTAGCTAGCTTGGACATGAACCTGCAGGTCCCCGGAGCCAAATGTTCGCCGGCTTTTGCCACTTGTACCTTCTAGCTTTTACAATGGTCGTGTTCAACGTTGCCTGTCAACGTGTCTGTCAATACGGCGGAGGGATTCAATGAGAAAACTGCCCAGAAGGAAGAAACGAGTCGCCGTCTGGGGTAGGTAGCAGGTTTGACTCGTGGGAGACAAAGGCGGGGTGGAGAGGCCGGCTCCTCCACGCCCGGCAGAGCTATTGAGATCATGTAATATTAAGGGTATCATCTAGTTCGGTTTGTCATTACGGCTCATCCAAAACAAAGCTTCTTCTGCCGTGGGTCGTCACTCGGCGGTCTTGCTGGTGGCCTGCCGCGTTTCTTTTCTCCACCGACCTTGGTCTTCTTTGCGTCCGGCGTGGTTGACCTCGAGGGCGGCGCAGGGGGGATGTCCTCGTGCACGGCTTCGCGAATGGTCTGTCTCGAGAGGCATAGATCGATGTGCTCGTTGAACTGCCGTTCATCAGGCGCTTGTGGGCGATTGCAGATTGGACAATCCCACATCTCATCGTTGACAGGTGCATAGTCCGGCACAGGATTGGGCAGAATTTCCTTGCCATGTCTTCTAGCCGGGCTTGGTCTGTTGTCAATGTTCGTGCCTTCGGTCTCGTGGTCCACTGCTTCGGTTTCTTCACGGTTGTCAAGACCCAAAAGCTCCTCTTCAGGCCACTGCTCCCAACCATCGTCGTCTAGTTCACCACTAGCTCCAGAGTGCACAGGCTTGAGGGCCTTCTCGGGTGATGCGGCTGAGTCAGGCCTTCGTGATCGGAAACCAAAAAATGCCATCGTGTCTGGCTTCTTCGTGCTCACAAGATGTGTGCATCGTAGACCCATGAGGCGCAGCATCATGCCGGGCATCTCCTCCTCCAGCTTCGACAAGATGGGGACGGAGAAGTGATAAAGCTCGTCGGCCAGACATATTGCTCTCGGCAACACAATTTGTCGCGTAAAGACCTCGTACGTGTGAAGCTTCACCTTTAGAACCAACGTGCGACCCTTGACTTCTGCCCTCTTCATGTCCTTCTCCAACTCCTCTGCAGTCCACTTCAGCTTTTCTCTGAATTGCTGGGGATCGGACATGTCCTTGAACGTGCTCTCGGTGCCGACGCTCTTCCTCTCGTACTCCTCAGCTGGCTGGATCTTGGTGCGTCCCAGGCCGAGATGGATATTGATCAGGAATTCGTAGGCCTTATCGCCAAAGAGCGGTCGGAGGAACTGGCGATAAGGGTAAATATCCGCGCAAGTCTTGATGCCAATCTCGGCCAATTGTCGTTCGAGCACACGGCCAATGCCGTTGACCTTTCGAGGCGGAAGTTTTGCCATAAAACGCAAGATCTCGCCCCGATCATTTGGCAGAACAAACTGACCGTTTGGCTTGTTCATGTTCGAACAGATCTTTGCAAGCTTCGCATTTGCCGCGATACCCGCCGATACTGTGATTTTGGTTCTCTCGTGGACCTCTCGTCGCATCTGTTCCACGGCCTCGGCCGGCCCGATCCCCTTATTCGTGCAGTATTCTGTGATGTTCAAGTATGCTTCATCAATACTCGCACTCTCGAATCGAGGGTCGTATTCGACTAGAATCTCCCGGACTTCGTGTGCCTTGGCTGTATACTTCTCAAAATTGAGCTTGAGAAGAACTAGTTCAGGACACAGCTTCTTGGCGACAAACCCAGCCATACCACTCCGGCAGCCATATTTTCGCGCAACGTAATTACACGTCGTCAGAACGCCGCTTCCAACTGCAAAGGGGATGTCTTTGAGCTCGGGCCGGTCTAGCAGTTCCACGGCAGCGTAGAACGCATCGCAGTCGACGTGCACGATGTATTGAGTCAGATCTCGGGACATCTCCAGTTGTGTGATGAGCTGGTCGGCAAGGCGAAGCTCTCGACTGAGGTCCTGCTTCTCGATGTAGCGTTTCTTTTCGAGGATTTGTTCGATCTTCTTCGTTAACGTCTTGTCGCGCTCTTCCTCACGGTTGAAGAACTTGGATCCCTTCGAGGCATTGTAAATGATCTCGGATACCTGGTAGACCACCATTAGCGAGACGTCGCCCCGCCCATGGGCAGGTTGGAGACATACCTTGGATTGGTCGACAGTATCCTGCCCAGATTTTGTAAGAGATGGGCCCAATAGGGAGTATTTGAGGGTTTCGTGCTCCGAAGCCCCATGAACATCTTCTGGCACCTCGTCGAGGGGCCGTGGGGACGTCGTCGATGCCGTCATCGTTGCTTGATGGACAGCGTTGGAAGGGAAGCGTATGGAAATGCCGGAGCAAGTATCGAGAAAGTCATATCTTATTCCTCAGTGCCGCACGTATTGGTTAAGGGTGTTGCTGGCGGCGGTAGTCTTATGCAACGTTGGTGAGAATGGATGCCCCTCCTCTGCCGCTTGATGCTTGCGCAGTGGCGACGCGCCTGTCTCGTTGCATTGTCAGCAAACTGGCGCGAGGTCACGTGCTCGAGACGAGCGGTTATAATCCTTATCGGTTTGATGTATGGGCTGATGGAGAAATATCATATTAAACACTATTGCTATTATGCACTACGTAGTATGGCCCACAACGCCGCTTCCGCCGACTGCAATCGCAGCGCGGCCTCTTTTTGTCCATTCCAAGTCTCCTCGACCTAATGTCATCAATTCTTTACTACCCTACGTTGAGCACGTGAAACTCTCAGCCTTTGCCTGATCACCGCCACTGGTGAACTTTTGAGTTGATGGATACGGGCAAATCGGCCTCTGCCTCAGGACCTCCTCGGTGGTCGGGTCAGTCGCGTTCTTCCACGTTGTCGCGATGAGCGAGTCCGGTGCGGCACCGCCGTCAACCCACTGCTGGAGCGCTAGAAGGGCATCGTGTGTCGCATCGGAGTAGCCCGGCACCGAGTAGTTCCCACCGCCGAGGAGCTGCTCGGCCTGTCCCGGTCCGGCGATGTACCAAGGCGCGTCGACGGTCGTCGTCTTGTGTCCCAGTCCTGGGAGGAAGAAGAGACGGAACCAAGCGCGGACGGCCTCGATGTCGCCGCCGGACTGCGCGACAACCTTGTCGTAGTAGACTTGAGACGCCTTAGCTGGCACGTCGGCATCAGACAGGCCGTGGTACATGATGATCTTGCCACCGAGGCTGGAGAACTTGGTCAGGTTGAAGGTGTTGACATCAAGTTCACCAGGGTTCGTTTCGTTGGCGTAGTCGGGGACAGTCTCGTTGTAGCTCGACCACACCCACTCCGCGTCGTTGAAGAGGAAGTACTTCATGTAGCCGACGGCCACCTCATTCGGCTCCGAACCGTTACCGCCACCCAGCAGCGAACCCCATCCGTATTCGGAGGAGGGGCTGACGCCTGGGAAGACAGTCTCGTCGTTGACCTTGTAGTCGGCGTATAGTGCCTGGGCAACGGTGACCTGCTCAGCAGAAAGGCAAGCTGTCGCGTCGACGCCATCTTTACCGCAGGTGAAGAGGTCATAGTTGATAGTGCAATTGCTGGGGTCGCTGACGATGCTGTCCTCGACTCCATCAGCCGCATCGCACTGCTTCCTGACGGCATCACCAATCACTGTGTACTTCTCGGCAGGAATGTGTTTCGCATTTTCGGTGGGCAGGTTGGTGATGCCAATCGCAATCCTCCAGCTTTGCAGATGGCTCTGCCACCAAGCCGGGGCACCGATCAAGAGCGCCGAAAAGTCGCGAGGGTACATCTCAGCAGCCTTGAGACCTTGCCGACCGCCATCTGACGTGCCAGAGAAGTAGGAAGCTGTAGGGGCCAGGCCGTAGTACTTCTCGACGACTCTCTGAGCCAGCGCGAGGGAGTTATGCAGTGCCCTGTGTCCGTAGTCCAGCTTGGCACCGTTGTTGCCCAGCGCCCAAGTGAGATTGCCCTGGGTAGAGTTGTGTCCAGCATCGGTCGCAAGTGTGACGAAGCCGTACTTGACGCCGACGGCCATGGCCGGGGCGTTGACACCTCCTGAAAAGCCATCATTGCCTACGGTGAGGATCTTATTGTTCCAGTCGTCTGGCAGGAAGATGGCAAACTTGTACTCGTTTCCCTCTGAGGTCTTCGCAATGAAGCTCACAGCGCAGAGACTGGGTAGGTTCGTGACGTTACCCGGAAAGGCGACGTTTCCCTCTTCGGAGAAGCCGTTGCCGGCATCGACCGACTCCACGGTTGAGATGGAGGCGTTGGCGTTGATCCAGTAGCTGATCAGCCTCGGGGTGCATGATGTCGAGTTTGTAGCAGCAACCTGCCGCAACGCGGCTAGCGCAAGTGTGAGGGAAGCAGTCCACTTCATCTTGAATCTGTTGTCGAGGAATTCTTGAGACGATGGAGCATTGGGGTCTCTGGCTTCTGCGGGCAGTACCCGCTATTTAAAATCCGCAACATTGGAATGAGTGATTTTGAGGATTTGTTGACCATGTTTTCATTTTGCCACATTTCATCACATCAAAAGCAGCCTCTATTTACATCTACACATCTGTTTGCGGCCGGCGTCTGGGGCTCTCGGTGCTCATCTGACGATGCGAGTTGACATTCCTACACGACCAATGAACTCTCAACTCCTGAGACATCGTCCTTCCGCTCTCGGCTCTGCCCAATGAGTGATCCTGATTATTGCCCGAAATGATGCGCATCATGCCATGCGTTCGTCCGCTCACGGCTATCTTAGCGCTAACATTGACTAGATTAACGTTGTTGCTAGTACGAGCTACCAAAGGCCCGGATCGAGGGCATGTTCGTCAAAATGCGTCTTGGCGCGAGCAGTGTAGTGAGGTCTGCTTCCTTCCCGCTTTGAATGGTTCAATGTCTGGATCATGAAGCAGAAAAAAGAACATGACTGATATTTGGCGGATGTAGTAGCTAACAAATCGTTGCTATGTAGTTCTAGAGAGTGTGGGGGTAAGGACGTGGACGACGGAACGACCCTCGCCTTGAACTGCGTTAAGGAAAAAGGATGCCATATTTGCTCGCAGGGAAGGTCGATCAAGGAATGAACAGCAGTGCGGGCCCGGCCAGATTGGAGAACGAAGTAGGAAACAAAATCCCGTGAAGTAACAAAAGACGCATGAAGCCCACCACCGTCAGTCTCTATCTCCATGCGGTGCCTTTTCACTGCTTTTTGTTGATTCGCATGCTCCCCTTTTGAGGTGACGCGTAACGTAGTCCGGCCTTACGAACTTTTCTGGGCAATTAGGACAAGAGTACCCTCCATCAACCCTCCCATGGGTAGTATTTCGGTGACGCTTGAGCTCTCTGCTGTTTGAAAATCCTTTGGGGCAGAGGTCAGGGACGGCTCTAGGCATGTGTACCAGGCATTTATATGGCTTGGTGTGGTTTTTCAGATGCTTGCTGGACCAACGTCAGCTCTGTTTTTAGCCGTGACCGAAGGGCTGGGACTTCACGACCTACTTGAGCTGGTACTTCTTAGGGAACCCCATCATACAGAAGTTGCATCCATACTTGGTTTCCTCCAATATCCGTACAGCCAAGTCCATTGCTTCCTGATCTTGCAACATCCACCCTTCTGGAACCTGTGAGGGTCGCAGGCTGAGACACTGAGTCCCGGGTTGCGACCGTCCACTTTCAGGAGCCTAATGTCCTGGAGGTGAGGTTCCCAAAGTGTGATCGACCGGCATAGGAGGGCTTTGGTAGTGAGCACTTGCTCCATCAGGCAGCGTGATGTTCAGCTGATGGCCCTTGTCTTGAGAATGCGATTCAATGGAATCTATAGAGCCCTCATCTCTGATATGGAACCCGCCCGGGTCGTCTTCTTCGAAGAGTTCATACTCGTGATGGGCATTTTGGTCGTGGTTGTACATTATGCCAAGATCAGGTTCATCCAATACTTCTAGAACTGTGGAACGTGGTTAGCTGGGCCCCTCTCTCGATGTAGGTAATATCAAACGACCAGGAAACGAAGTCTTACAGCTCTGTACACCCCTCAGGGAGAAAGAGATGATACGATTTCGAAGAAAGAGGATTCTTGCATACATATTCGTCAGCCCGCTTTCCCCAACAGCCCTCCCGCCCAAGATCCCCGAACTTGTTGTGTTACACACCTAAACTGAGGTAATTTGAAGGATGGCACCCCCGGTTCGAACTGACCAGTCACTACTTGGACTGTAAGTGATGTGACAATATTTGATTGGTATTGGTGAGAAGGTTAATGGGTCGCCGAAGATGAAGATTCACAGGCTGCATCGACGTAGATATGTCACCATCACCCGGTTTGTCGCAGAGACAGTGCTGATGCGTTAAACCCGTCTGGGACGATGACCTGAGAGAACATCGAGAGTAGGACGTGCAGCTGTAGTAGTCGTCACACAAAGGGCGAGTCGCACATAATATAATGCCGAGAAAATATTCTAGCATTTCTTTTTCTACTTCCATGGAGGGGGAAGCTTGCCCTGTTGAGCCAACCAGTCGTCCACGCAAGACATCGCGCACCAAACAACAGTAAGCAGTCTACCAGTATCTCCCTTGATACCCATAGGAACATGGCACGGAGTGATGAACTCAGAATGCCCGGTTAGGAACGCTCTGCATATGCCTGACAAGAATGACTTCAGTCTCGGGCGCAGACTTTCAGTCTTGCAGGTCCAACGGAAGTGTTGGCAAATCCTGATGCCAGCCTCTGATAATGTTGGCCACGTCCCAATTCGCTGATGATCGCCGTCCATTTCCGCCTTGAAAAGCCATCGAGTGGCCCCCAGCATTAGCTGCCCAATAGAGTCTTTGCCAAAACATTGAGAGCCAATCATGAAGCCGATGAAGTCATGCGATTTTCGATGCGGTGTTGGTCAGGGACAGACAAGGCGAGCTCAAGTGTGGCCGGCAGACGTGCTGAGTGGTAGAAGGGGCAGCACACATCTCACGTTGGTGATCTCGTCCCGCACCACCCTTGCATTAACACTCAGGCATGGCGCATCAATACCTGGCCGCTATTGGATGTGTTCGTGCCTCCAGTGCACTCATGCTTCCAATTGTATCTGCCTTAGTGGACCTTCTCTATTACTAGGCAGCCTGGACTTGGCGAATTTCTGGCGGACTAGATTCCCATACACCAGAGCACTTATGCTTTCTGGAGTTCCTTTCCCAAGCGTAAGATTGAAACAAGACTTGCAGAAAGGCTCAAAGATACACGCTGGTTGCTCCGCTCATTGCCACAACTGGACCTCGCCGGACTTCCTCGACGATGGCAAGAGACAAAGTGATCTCGGTGACCCCGGCGGTTTGCCTTAGGGAACAACGTAAGAGACTCTCTATTGACTTGTAAATGGTGCACTGATACACACATTCGAAAGGAACTGTGAATGTGGAGGGCCTTGGTGTCCTCACTGTCAGACTCCGAGACAGGTTGATTTGGTTGTACGAGGCTTTGGTTCTGCTATGTGGCCTAACAGAGGCCTGTAAGAGATTGCAGAACGGCCAATATCGCCAAATTGCTGAAAACAGCGAGCCTGGGGAAGTTCTCGCACAACTCTGGAGTTCTTCATCAATAAATTGGCTCAGGCCAGTGATAACCGGCCGTTCGGGCACACGATCACAGCCCTTGCAATCATCCAAAAGCCTGACAAGATGCAATACATTTTTGCATCCAACCAACGAAGCTCGGGGGATGCTGAGTCTGAAGTGAGGATTATACAACAGCTACTTGATAGGATGGGTCTACAAAAACCTGTCGACGTTAGAGACGATGATAGATCTCCACTCTTTCGTGAACTTCTTTGCAGCATACTTCTTTTCCATACGCAGCGGATCACCCTCTACAAATCTCGACTCCAACAACGGCTGAACCAATGCATTGAAGACTTGAAAGCCAAGTCGTTTGAAGCGGGTATTTTCCCCACCGATCAAGTAAAAGGCGTTTACGGTAATCATTCACCTGGTCAGCTAATATGATTCTTGTGCAGGGGACCCTCTGCTTGATGAACTCGAATATCTCAAGACTTTCACTCGAGCTGAGGAGCCCTCGAATGATAACGAAGAGTGTGAGTTTGGCCCAGATCCTCTTTTATGTCTGAGATAACAATGCTAAAACGGCCCTCAATGTTGGTGTGATAGTCGCTCTCAACTCTGAATACTTGATTCTGGCTGCAAACGGCTTCCTCAAGAGTCCGATGTACGAATCAGTCATTGAAAGAACCAGAGAAGGACGTTTTAATGAGTCTGAGCGCTGGTGTGAGCTACAGCATTTCATCGGACGGCTTTCTTCGTATCACGTTGCTGTTCGAGGTATCATCTCCAGTCGGAGACGGCTTCACCCGGACCTATTCGAAAACTTCGAAATTCTCTGGTTACCGTCGAGTTCACCCATGAAGAATCCAATAAATACGCTCCAGAGCCACATGACGGTGAAGACGCAACAAAAGAGGCGTTCAGCAGAGAGTATTATTAGACGAATGATGTCGAACACAGCGGACCGTGATGCGACTCTCGAACAGGCCAACACACTTCAAGTCTGTGGCTTGAATGAGTCTATCAGTCGACAGTGTCAGAGGACATCTTTTCATCCCATTGTTCATTGCGAGATCTTGTTATTGCATTATCTTTGTCGAGAATATTGCGGAGATCTCCACCACATCCCGTTCTTCGATGACGCCAGATACATTGGCTGCAGCAAACCCACTTGCCGGCTGTGCGAGTATTACTTTGCTGCTCATAATAGCGACATCCGGGTTCGGTCCGGTCACAAGAATGTCTACTCAAATTGGACTGTCCCGAATCTCTTTGTTGACAATTCCATTGAAGCCAACGAAAGAGACAATCTGCTAGACAGGGTCATCAGCAAGATCCGAGAGGATGCACTTCGTGCTTTGAGAGAGAGAACATCTGATGGCAAGAGACACGACTCCAACACGCACTCTTCTTACCCAACGTTTCAATCGCCGGAAGCCAACGCCCAGACAAACATGGGAGGAGGACTGGCGTTGGCATTAGCAGACTTGTCTCTCGGTGGAGCAGCCAACACCCTTCAACTCGCCTCACGAGACAAACGGAGCATCTTTGCGGAAGCTGTGGGAAACGAGGCGGATGAGGAAGATGTTTGGGAATGTTCTGACATGGACATTGCTGAGCACTCTGGCGGTGTGTCACTCTAAATTTCAGTACGAATTGCAAAGGTTGATTTTCATCTTGCCCTGCCTGATTTTCTTACCTCGCAGGCTTTACTGTTTGTTCTTGTGGCTTGGGCACTGAGTGAAGGAGGTAGTTTGTTCGTAAGGAGGTCACGTTATCCAACATGAAGCAGTTCCACGTCGTCTGAGAACGATACATCTTCCACATCCAGTACATTTTCAAAAGCGATCGTGTGATTTCTATCAACAGTTCAAGGCGTAATACCCGTGTTGACAACATCTATTAACTACCTATAGTCATCAACAAAATGCGGGGACGAGTAATAAGTTGTACCGAGCGGAGAGCCAGTTTCTTCCGTACAGTAATACTTAATGTTCACTTCGGTTGGGCGATCTATTTCGTGTTCCATTAAAATTCTGTGAGTACCTTCGCGTGAAATCTTCACTGATAAAAGCATTAAAACAAATCTATGGATCCGCAGGTTATGTCTAGATGGTTCACAGGATAAATGTCTTTTGAGTGTTACTTTGCCTTGCCTTTCGATAGAACAGCACAATCGATGGAATGCTAGCGTTATTTCCACAAAAGACAAAACATGCACCAAAAATGCCCCCGAATCCAAAGAATTTATCGGCGGGAGAGGTAGTATCATATAACCCTGCGTAGCTCGGTCTCGGTTCCTAGGTGGTAATGCAGAGTCAAACACATGCGCAACTAGACCACCATCATCTCTCACTTCCCGGAGCCGGTTTCCAATCCCTCACTGCAGCGGGTCACCAGTGACTCTTTTCACTCTACCCTCTCGGAGCCGGCATCTAATCAACAGCCATCGCAAATCGGCAGTAATCTCCTCCGGTTGAAAGATCCCAACTTCAGCCTCGTGGTGTTGCCAGAGAAGCACGTTCAATAAACTTCGGCAGCCCACCCGGCTGGTAATGCAAACAATCGATGACCGAGCTTGGCTTTCCGCAACAGGAGCCACTCTACTGATCGCACTCGCCATCACCATCTTCCTTTGCTCTAGGTCGTATAAAGAAACTGCACAGACTTCCGTCTCCAACCAAGCCCGCAGACTCTCCTGCCAGTTCCCCGAATTGGCAGGCTGTCAAGGCGACTGTGACCCGCGACAGCGTTTCATCCCATCTACGACGTTGATCGGAGCTCCGTGATTCCCTGAAACGGGAGTTCCTCGTGGCCAGAACCTGACCCGGGCGTTTGGATCAGCTCCAGATCGTTTATGTGGGCCTTGTTCGTATGACGGGATCTTCGCGATTGTCTACCTGCTGAGGACGGATGCTCCGGCGTCGCAAGATCTGAAGCGCTTAGAGCAAGCTCTACCAAATGCGTCCACTCCAACCGGCTGCCGGTGAGACCCAGGTCCTTGGGACGTCGTCCGGCGTAGGAAACATCCCAACATTTTAAAGGTTCGTTACATTGTCATAAAAGACCTTGATGCCCCTAACAGATGCAGACGTGAACCAAGTGGCTTGCTTATCCGGTCTGGCACCTGTCTATCTCTTCTGTTTAATTCTGATCTCGTTTCACTCTTTTCTCTCTCGCTCTGGTCAGCGAAGGTCGTGAGGATGAGGGCCTTTTTCGTTGTGGGCTCATTGGTGCTCAGCACTGTGGCTGCGGCACCAGCAAATGATATCCAAAAGAGAGACCTCCAAACAATTCAGGGAGCTTTCGTATCCGTCTCAGTGGCATCATCGAACTTGGATACAGCTATTAGAGTAAGTCGACTTTGATGGTTGGGCATTAGCTGATCTGCACTTTCCAACCAGAAGTCCGCTTTACTAACATAATACCAGGCTTTGACACCTGACCCCAACAGCGCTTCCGCTCTCGGCCCGGCGATGATGGGACTGGAGGGTGCACTTTCACAAGCTCGTGCTGATGTTGCGCCGACCTCGCCGATTGGAATCTCAGACGGTATCGCTCTTCAAAACGCCGCCGATACTTTGACGAAGAGCGTGAAGATCATGGTCATGTCAGCAATGCTCCAACGTCAGACGCTCGACCAGTTGAACATGACACCGATGCTTCTCCAATCCTTCATGAACCAAAACATGTTGTCGGCTGCCCTAGGTCAGGCCGTTCTTTCTAAGCTTCCTGCGGAGGGTCTTCAAAGTGCCATGGCCGCGTTTGCCGGGGCTGGCGGCTCAGTTGGAATGGGCATTGTGTCGCTCGCCAACCCTCCTTTGGCGATGCCTCCTGGTATGGGCCCTCCCATGGGCGGTGTACCTCCGGCAGCTGTGCCAGCCACTGGTGCCCCTCAGACGGCTTCTCCAGGAAATTCCTCTCAGTCTGGCTCTCCCCAGAAGGGTTCTCCTCAGATGAGCTCTCCTCAGACCGGATCTCTGCAGACAAGTCAGCCTCAAACCAGCTCGCCGCAAACCGGATCTCAGCCCGCGAGCGGCTCACAGGGACAGGGACAGGGACAAGCAGGCAGCGCAGCGAGTAGCGTGTCGGTGAGCCAGGTTCTGGAGGGTAATGTTGTGGCACTTTCCTGAACATGACCAATTTGTAATCGAGCTGGTGCCAAGCCTCGTTCAGAACACAATGTAACGTGTCAGAGTTGGGAAGAGATTTGAAGTGGGACGAGATCAAATACTTGGTGCCGTCGAGGAATTCAGCAAGCACAATCACTCATTTCGCTCCTTCACAGAGTCTTTACATCGTGAATTTGATATTTATTAGACATTCGCATAGCATAACACATATACCTAAATAAAGCTTGATCTGGCTGGACTAGACGCGCTATAATTCGCGTGCAATTCATCATTAACTTATGTGACCCCGGGATTTTGGAGTCGAGTTGGATGTACCCTGGATGTAACAATCACACGGAAAGTTGCGAGTGCAAGGAATTTGGTTCGATATTGAGATAAAAGGATTTATAAATGTTCATCAGTGTAGTTATGCCCGCCGCAGATACATTAATGTTTCATTAAATCTTCGACTGTCGTGTCAAAGATGTCAAAGTAAGAATGGGAAGTTGTGGCTTTACAGAACATTCAACTCGTCAAGCAACCCTCCCTTAATCAAACAAATTCCACCAACTAAAGGATAGGAAATGGAACCCCTCGATTCTCGATTCTATGCATCCCGGGAGTCCGTGACATCGCACAGCCTCAAGTGGTAATATGTCTCATTGAACGAAAGCAATTCTATTTCCGCCCCTAGCATGAACTCAGTTTGCACATGACTGTTTCGTGTGTCCTTCTCCCCGCCTAGCCCTGCGAAATCTCCGAAACGCCATTGGCCGTCTAATAACAGTGCTGCCTACACCAATGGTCTGGATTCAACCTCAAAAACAACAAGCAATTAACATTTCTTTGGGATATAACTGACTCCATTACTGTGGCAAAGCCGATTCTGCAGCAACCAGCAATACGGTCAATTGGAAAAGCTGGTTTGTAGCGATGGACACGGACGTTGGCGATGGTACAAGGGTGGAGGTAATGAAGGAGGAACTCGTGGTTGATCCAGTGACTGAAGTGACACCATTTGTGGTGGAAACATCTGTCAGAATAGTTGGTGATGGAATATGCGATGGAGAAGAAAGGTGAGTTGATGATGATGATGCCAATATTGAATTAATTGACAAGTTGCTTGTCGCGGGCGCCGGACCTGAGGTTGACGCCGGCGTTGTTGGTGATAGTACGTTTGCTAAATCCGTTGCAATGGAGGACGATGTGGGGTCCGAAGTTGGGGCCAAGCTCGAGGGAGTAGTGATTTGGCCTTCTTGAACAGAAGAGGGTTCGGATGCCGTGCTTGTAGCCAAATTTGAAAACGAGGCTTGTGTGATTGAAGAAGCTGAATTTGAGACAAAATCGAGATTGCTTGTCAACTGGTTGGAAGATGACACCGAGATTGACGGAAAAGTGGTGTTCGGACCCAATTCTGTTAGAGATGTTCTCTCACTAGTTGAAGACGAGGGTAGTATTGAAGAACTGCCAGTAAATTGAGTTGTGCTTGTTGAAACCGCATCACTTGTACTAGCTAGGGACGTTGTACTCAGAGAAGTAGTGATGTCCGTTAATGAAGGACTGCTACTTGACGGTAGACTTGTGGGAAGATCTGATGATGTACCGCTCGAAGTGGATGTGAAGGCTGTTGTCGAGTCAGAAGAAGTCAAAGTGACAACCGTGCTCGTACTAGATACTAGTAGCGATCCAGGTATGGAGCTGTTGCTTAATGTTGGGATATCTGCAGATGAGAGAGAAGTGGTTGGTAGGAGAGAAGTCTCTGAAAGAGAACTGGTGGATGATAGAGAGCTCGTAAATGACACTGAGCTCGCGGACGAAACAGGACTGCTCGAGGATAAGGATGAAGTCAATAACGTTGTTACTGTCGAATTTGAGCTCGTAGGATACGTCGAAGAGCTTGAAAGGCTCGTTGAGAGAGCTGTTGTAGAAATCAAACTGCTTGACAGCAGTGTCGTTGAAAAAGTGAAAATCGTTGAGCTCGAGGTCAAAGAAGAGGTTGAAGAGGACAGCGAGTTTGTTGAGACAATTAAAGTTGATAAAGTGTTCGAGGTAGTGGTACCCGTCGCCGACGTAGACGGCGTGAGTGAAAGTGAAGAGGTTAAGGAACTAGTCGTGTTTGCGAATGGCCCGCCGGTTGATGTCGAAAAGGTCTGTGTGCTGCTGCTCACTCCGAGGCTGGTCATTGTTGACGATGAGGATGTCGTAGATTCGGAAGAAGTAGAAGAAGATGACAGAATTGAGGTAGATGAGGTCAGTAAGGGAGTTGACGAGCCTGAATTAGAGGCCAAAGAGGAGGTTGAAGTTATTGAGGAACTTGACAAGGATAATGACGAGGAGGAGGTTGAAAATGAGGTCAAAGAGATCAGAGAAGAGGTCAAGGACAATGTTGAAGATGTGTCTGTGGTGGACTCTAGAGTTGAAGAAGAAGTCGAAGAGGAAGTCAAGGATGAGGACGAATCAGAGACTGAAGAGGATGTTGTTGGGGAAGTTGAAGAGGAACTTGAGGAGGAAGTTGAGGTTGTGTCTGTGGTGGAATCTGAAATTGATGAAGACGTCGAAGAAGAACTCAAACTGGTCGAAGATGAGTTCGACAAGAAGGTGAAGGACAAAGTTTCAGTGCTGGACTCTGAACTTGAAGACGTTGTCGACGACGTGCTTGATTCAGTCGACTCTGTAGTAGTGGGAGCAGGTGGAACCTCCCGAAAGCCATAATACATGCTGTAGTGGTCTAACCCATCTGCAAAACCACCACAGAGGGCGTTGGTATTCCCGCTGCAGACAATACTACACTTGGATTCGGGGTCAAAATAACCAACCGGGTTATTGATCCCTGCCTGGCTACAAAGACAAGTGGTCCCCTTCAAAGCAGCGAATCTGCGGATCAAGGTTGAGCATTGATTTTGGCAGCTCACAGGCTCCACGCTGGTGTTATCTTGAATCGTTTCGAATTGTGTCATGTCTGTGAGGATGTAGCATCCCAAGTAAGCCATCACGCCAGAGACGGGGAGGTTTACTTGGGCATAACTCAGCTTCGCGAGAAGCGGCAATGCGATAACCCATATCGTAGCTGGATTCATCGAAAGTCTGAATGCACTCAATGATTGTGGGGTGATGAGAAAGACCTGAAATTCTCAAAGACTTGCAAGGAAATTGGTGAGCCGGGAGAGACAGTGCCAAAGAAGTGAGAGTGAGAAGCAATAATTCGAATACAATTAGAGACGCGACAACCACTCCACGCGCGTGAAAGGCTGCGTATTTTAAGGCTCCTGTCTTTATCTTGTCCCCCATCCCCATCCCTTATCCCTATTTCTTGCACAACCCGTTCAGAACTCCCGATGAAACATGACCTGAGCGGTCTTGAGCTGGAGGCGCAGGGCGAAGGCTCACGCAGAGTCTGCTCATCACCAGTCCATGACGATGACACGAAGATTGGAGAGCAGAGATTGGCTTCAAGAACTCTTGGAAGGGAGTAAGTTCGAGGTTGGGAAGCTCGTTGGTCATCCCCTAGATTCTTTTGACGGGAAGCGGACCGCTGTAAGACACAGCCACTGGACACGGTGTAACGGATCGTGTCACCCACACCTCGCATAATGTCGAATCCAATCAAGGGCTGGAAAAAGAAAAATTATCAGTCAAAAATTCGAGCAATCAAGATGAGCCGATGACCGTTCAGCCCGAAAGAAGGGAAACACGATCACCCGACGGTTCGCCCGAGGAGGTGTACTCGTGGCACGGCACGCCTGGCTATCCGTCGCTTGTGGCTTCCGAGACACCCTCCTATCCTTCAAAACCCCTAAGTACTAGTTAACCAGCGCAAACATGCATTCTTCGACATGGTTTCTACATGTAGTCACCCTAAATTGGATTTTATTTGAAGCTCAATCAAGCTTTCTGTATACCATCTAGCCTTTCCACATTAGCTCGCTGATCACATGATATCGCTGTCTTCATTGAATATGATGTGTCGTATCCCATCGAGTGCGGATTAGAGTCAAAAACGCCAAGGGCGGGGTAGAGCCAATAGGGGCTTGCGAGGCCACTGGAGTCAACCAATGAATAACTAGGATTTCCAGTACCTCTATTCCCTATTGATTTTGGGTATGCCAGAGGTACCAGCAATCCGCCCTAGTATCCCATCGAGTGCTGCAAGGCGACAGTACATTGGCTCCACATAACGGGCCCCCTTTTACCCCGCACCGCATCTGGTACATCCACTGCTTGAGTTGCCCCTATGATTTCCACTCCGGTACATCTACCAAATCCATCATTACCAATACTCAATTAATGGATTCTGACGATTCTGACGGATCTGGCCGTTCCACGGGCTCGGCGAAGTCGTGTATCTTTGCCCTGCTGCCCGAGGACCTCGCCGCCGCCTGCACTGCCGACTGTACGCCGGAGCAATGTGATAATGCCACTGTTCGGCCCCGCGAGCCTCCGGAGGTTGAGCCCGGTATCCCTGGGAAGTACACGAGGATGGGCTGCCTCGAGTGCGATGTAGCTCTCTGTAACTCAGAAGATTGCTGGTACCGATTTCATACGCAGAATCTCTAGTAATTGGAAGTATCTATTATCAATTACGTTGGTTGGTTGGAAAAAGGGGCCCGAAGTGGCCCGATTGGCTGCTCCCCCGCATCTCAATGTACTGTCGCCTTGCAGCACTCGATGGGATATAAAGCTACGTCGCAATCTAAGCAGCCTTTCCGAGTAAACCTACGTTACTACTTAAAGCTATTTCTAATTATATTATTAAGAGCCTAATAAGATCTTAGTACTATGTTACGAGCTGGACAAGGCAACCAACTGTGGCACAAAGCAAAAGCTTCGATAATGATGACTCCGGCATCATTGTCCCTTGTTCTGCATTATATAGCTACGCGCCCACAGTGACAAGTTGCGGCGGGCGTAACATACTACTATATTATTATAATAGGAATAACTAACTAGTTATAGTGAATAACTAAGCCTTCTTAAATCCTTAGTTAATAATATTACTATGTTACGGCCAGCTAATCGTAGGGGTAGTTTGCAGAAGTTGAGGCTGCGGAACTGGTAACAGTAATCGTAGTCGGGGATAGATTCAGGGAAGCTATGTCTGTCAATCGTAAGGGTGGGTAAGGCTTCGGTGATCAATCGTAGTCTTGTCAAGGTAGTAGCTGAAAGCGGATGTTAATCCTGATACGAAGTTAATTGCTGAAGAGCTATGGAAGTCTGTCCTAGAGTCCAGCTCAAGTCCATCCTTATATACAAGTCCTGATCCTGAACATGTCCCTTGTCCCTTGGGTCGTCTTGGGTCATTCTGATCCAGAATGATCGTTTAGCCCCCAAGTCGTGTTGGATCATATTGATCCCAAATGATCCTTATCTTATCATCACGTGACTTGTACCATAGTTCTTCCGTTCCGTTGGGGTGACTCCTGTGTCTGCACATATGGCGCTACCAGACGTTAAATACATCATCATCATCATCATCAGCACATATGGCGTACGCCGATGACGTCGCTATCTTGGCAAGCTCAACATCACTAGAGAACAACTGTGACATCCTAACCAAGGAATGGAAAGAAACCTTAGGATGGGGCGCGACGGAAGGAATCACTTTTGACCTCGATAAGTCCGAACTGATCCACTTCACTAAGAGACGAAAAGACGGAAACCCATCAATCACAGTAGGTTTGCCGGATGGGAGGCATCATACAGTTCAGGCTATCAAAGAAGGCTCTTCTCTACGCTGGCTCGGCGTTTACTTCGACCGTAAACTCACATTCAAGAGTCACGTAAGAAACCTCTCTGCAAAAGCATGCCAAGTAGTCAATGGACTACGGGGACTAGGGAACACTGTCTGGGGCGCGCCTGCGTACTTACTTCGTCGAGCGATCACCTCTTGTGTATTACCCACTCAGTACTATGCATCTGAAGCATGGTGGCCCGGCAAGAGCCGGATAAAGAATGGACGTACTATCTCAAACGGGGTTGGTAGTCTGCTACACCAACTGGACGCGACGCAAACCAAAGCCATCAGAGCGATGGTCCCCGTATACAGAACTACGCCTGTACCGATCCTACAGCGCGAGGCGGCTCTACCCCCAGCAGAGGTGATACTGGACGCGAAGCTCCACACAGCGTCCACCAGAATCCATCGTCTGGACGAGCGACACCCTCTCCGAACGAGACTCAGGGACAAATCAGGACCAGACTCACGGCTACGACGAATGGCAAGCCTCGTAAGCAAAGATACCGAATACATCGATCCGTTAGAACTCCCCCCTTGGGAGCAACTAGCGGACTGGCAGACAGCCCTCGCCAGGGTCGGCTACGAATCTAATAAGACCAAAGAAGAACAGGCCCTCTCCTTTGCAGGCAGGATGGCAACTTTCTCCAAGCGGGACATTGTTGTCTACACTGACGGGTCCCAGATGTCGGACGGCAGCAGCACCTCCGCCGGAGCAGGCTGGGTAGGGTACCAAGCTACACGGCAGATCTTCCGCGGATCCGAACCACTCGGCTCCCAAACTGAGGTGTATGACGCGGAGGCACATGCTGCGTATCACGGCCTGATGGAAGCCACCCGGGCTCCTACGGCTCGTATGGCAGATAACGTCCACATCTGCCTCGACAACCTCGCAGTCGCGGCTAGACTATACTCCCAAAGCACAGGAAGCAGCCAGGCTAGATTTAGGGCCTTCAATAGGCTCTCTTCCTCCTGGACTCGGAGACAAAGAGAGAGCTGGACAACCCCCGGCAGGGTTTATGTTTGGTGGTGCCCTGGGCACACGGGAGTACCAGGAAATGAAGAAGCGGATGCTCTAGCCAAGGAAGCCTGCAAACTAATCCCAAAATCACAACCGCAGCCCTCATTAGCGCACCTAGAAAGGCAAGCTAAAGCAGCTGCCTTCCAAGCCTTTGCCAGAAAATGGCTGTCCCAATGCCCTCGGCAATATGCCGACCTCGAGATAATTCTTCACCCCAAGCCGCCCGAACTCCGCCTCCCTCGGCACTTACTAGGAAGGCTATACGCAGCAAGATCCCATCATGGAGACTTTGCAGCATACCACGAGAGATTCGCTCATCAAGATGCGTTGCTCAACTGCAGCTGTGGGAAACCCAAGACACCAGTCCATTTCTACTTCTGCAAGCGTGGACGCAAGGCTACACCGCGCTACCTCCGCCAACGTATGGCCAAAGCAAGTATTGATTTCTTGTTAGGTTCTGCTAAGGGAGCCTCTCTTCTATGCGAATGGATAGAGGAGACCAATTTCTTTTCCGAAATTTGCCCGAGTCATTGAACAGGAACGTTAGGTGAAGACGGTAGCCTGTAATATAGTTTAGATTAGTATAGACCATGTCGGCATAGCGCCCGGCACGTCCTTTTGTTACCAGACGTTAAATACATCATCATCATCATCATGCACATATGGCGTGTCGTAGCCGCCGTAAGCCTGCGGGGCAGGCCCTGGTCTTGGTCATACATGCTGGGTCGTAACATAGATCTATTGAATAGATCTTCCTGTTGACAGAGTTCTGGGTTTATATAAACGTGGACTTGTGGTTCCTACTTCGCATCACCCCTCGCCAGAATACGGTGAGATCAGGTCGATTACTAACCGAAAGGCGATGAAAGTGAATTTCCTTGACCGAGCTCTGTGGTTGCTGCGCTGTGGCAAGCGTCATAGACTGAGCCGGGCTGCCAAATGACAAACTTAGTTCCTTCGTCAAAGGCCGGAATACACGGGATCAGAGATTGCGAGACTACTTGTCTCCGCTCGAGTCAGGAATTCAAGGTAATTAGCATTAAGGCAATTATAGTACTCTCAATATACGAAACTCAATCAAGCGGGAAGCAAAGCTTGTGTTGCATTCATTTTATGCCATGGTAACTGAGCAAAACGGTAGCTAGTAGTTTGCTGAGGCTCTCGTAGGCTTAGACTGGTACAAAATAATCTAGTGCGCCTCTCTTATCATAAATCATGTACCAACGGAGTAAAGGTTGAACATAGGAGGAAGCCATGCGGAGGCCTAGTTACAATGTGATCACTAGAACTTTATGTTAATCATGAGGCGAATCGGCATCTCCGAGCTACCAATGGGTCTTGAATCGCGGGACTGCACGTGCGATATCTGGTGGAGACATATGAAATTAGCAGTCAGCTAGAGAAACGTTGAAAATCGTTGAAATGCAGAGGCGTACGGAGTACTTCGTACTCCGTAGGAGCCCGACACCGACCTAACTCAAGAGACAGGGCGCTTGTGACTTTGAGCGGTGCCGGCCCGCGTCTCCGTTCTTGGCGAGGACCTGGTTTGCGTGCGTCCTGCAGCATACCGAGAACGACGGGGGCAAAGGTCTCGGCGAGGTAGCTGTTTTCGATTATATGGCTTCACGGAGGTTCTTTGATTTAAGGTCCGTCAGAAACCAGCGCATCGGCCGTGAAACAAATGAAATACCTCGCCATTTCGGACCCGGCTGTCGTTGCGGACTTCGATACCTTTTGGCCCGCCCACGGAATTGACCCCGAGAAGGAAGACTAGGTAGTATGCAAGCGGAATGACTGTGGAAAGACCGGACTCGGACGAGGAGGACTGGGAGTGCAACATGCTGAGGAACGACAATCCTTTCCGGTCAGGTGCTGTATCAATGTGTGCTGACTATACCGAGACGAAGCATCAATGTCTTGCCTCTCTCACTTTGAGGAGAGAAGGCTACAGTGGGAGACGGCTCGAGGTCAACGTTGAAGTGAATGATGACTGAGCTACCTCACATAGGGTGATGCTGCCCAGATTCAGAGATTAGGCCATTTGCGACAGGAGCTGGTTATGTGTTTTGGACATTTGTAGGAAGAGGTTTGTGTGACCGCTGATTATGCATACGGGCCGTATTTTGTCCATCATTGCTATTACTTGCTGAGGTATACGAGACATGCTTGGTCCATGCACCCCGCAAACCCGGAGCTTCCGGGGGGTCTCGGCTAGCTTCCCGGCCACCCACAGGGTCCATAGGCTTTTTGCCCCGCACCGTGAGCTTCCTTCTGGATTACAGAATCAGAACTGAGGTCACGTCTGCATCCAGTCGAAACTCATATCCTTCACAAAGGATACGGAGATTTCGATCGTGCTGTCGCCAATAAGACTATGGACAGATCCCGTCGGTCATTGAGGGACCGTGCGAACATTGTATGTGTTGAATGTCACTCACGCAAAGTAAGCAACTACTACCTGTTTTCCAATTTCGACAAAGAGCTGAGCTAACTTAGCATACGGACAGGTGAAATACGATTTACAGGCAAGCCAAGACAAGACATGTCGGAATTGTCGACGTGCTCAAATTTCCTGCGTGTACGTTCGCTCCTTCATGTTATGCTCTTGCAATAGAGATGCTAACCAGCCGGGATCAGTCTCCGCAATGGAGTCCGGAAGAGGCGCCCGCGGGGCACTGATCTGGGCGGGACCGACATCAGAACGCCATCTGTTCCGTTGCCAATCGCGGAACAAATGATCAGCCCGAGAGAGAGTCCAAGAGAAGAGGCAGTCTCCAGCGAGATATTGTATGGAGACCTAGCAGCTTAATTGACAAAGGCTCCATCATGTACGACCCAGTAAAAACACCGCCGGCTATTGTGCTAGACAACGTTGCCACTGGAAACATTGGTAAAAACGATGCGAGGTGCTTCTTCAGCAAGCAGTGTGTTTAGCTGGTAGTCTCATGAGACACGGCAAGGACAGCGTCGATCTCGCGAGTTCGCAGTATGAAAAAGTCAAGACGCTGGCTCACGTTGGCTTTGAGCTTGATCAATTGACGGTACTTAAAGCTTTGTGCCTTATGTCATGCTGGAGTCCTTCTTCCCCCTACCTCGTCACCCTTGATGGACCATGGCACTGGACAGGTATGGCTTCGTGTATGGCGCTTCAATTGGGTCTTCAGAAACAGTCGTCATACATCAATCGTCAGAGTGCTGGTTGCTTACGGCGAATATTCTGGCACCTTCAGGTGAGTATCATGACTTTGCTCTCCCTCAAACACAGGCCAAGAAATCGGTTCCTTTCATCTTCAGAGCAAGTCTGACACCCTGAACGCAGACGAGTGAAATTCTTATGACAGCTTGCTGGGGGCGACCCCTCCTCCTCAGACCCGAAGACACTAATGTACCACCGCTCGTAGAGGAAGACTTTACGGTGCATAACTTTGAAGCAACTGCCACAACCTGGATGACGAAGCTCATTCAGATCGTTGGGGATATCACGACTCTGAAATTCAGGAAAGGTGGCCCAACATCGGCAGAAGTGGAAGCCGTCGTCGCATCGCTCTACGGCTGGCTGACTAACCTGCCTAGAGACTTACGGCTGTTTAGTCCTGATGGGATCAAAAAGCCATTCAATCAACAACGCGCCGAGATTTTCATCTTCTACTTCGTCGCCATTGTCCTCATTCAGACGGTTACCAGAAGTAGTTCGTCGTTGTGGAGAACTTCGCCGGCGTCGGTCCTCGCTGCATCCTGTGCTGCGCGGCTTTACGACGAAATTCAATGCAGAGAGCGCGTCGTCCATCTAATTCACTATCATGCATTCCTTGTCTTGGTCGTCGGCGTCGTTTTGATATCTCATCAACCTCAATCGCAAGAGAAAGAGAGCGTACTCAGCAGAGATCTTGATGTTATCCACTGCATCCTGGAGGGTATGAACGCCAAGTATGGAGGGGCTCGCGCTATTTTGGTCAAGTTCAAAGACGCGTCACGAGACTTTGGAGGTGAGCGGGTTGATGAATCGTCCTCTTTGAGAAGCGAGACAGCAGGCTCCCATGCTTTATCAACAGCAAGGATTGTACAGGACCACATGGTCAACCTATTTGCTTTCCCATCAGAAATGTGCGAGAACATGGACATTCTGTCACAAATCAACGACACCAGAGACGGAGGCATCTTTCAAGATGACGCTTTTGGAGGCCTGGGGGAGGACTTTGACGACATTACCTAATTCATGGATGTACTTGGCATGGACTTCACAAATTTCGATGGGTGTAGTCAACCAACAAATTATCGACATCGTCGTTTCGCCTTCTAAACGTGGCACAACAGTCTGGTCTGACATGGCTCATGGCTCCAGATTGAGCGCCAGCTCAAATGAAGTAACTGCTCCTCGGACGCGGGTCGTTCACCAACCAACAGGATGTATCCTATCACATGATTCCAATATGGGCATGTATTGGACACAGGGATTCCGGAGATCCACCAGAGCACTGTATCCGGGCTCGGGCGATAATGCAGGAGCTATTGCTGGTTGTTGATAGGACCTAAGAGAATATCTGCCCCCTTCTGATGCATCTTGCACCAAGAAAGGCGAAATATGCACTTTCTAGTAACATCGAATCCAAGAGCGGGAAGGCGAAGTGTTCGCCGAAGATGATTTACAAGTTAAAAGTGGAAAAGATCGATTTGCATTAAGCCTGCAGCTTCTCAACTTTACATTTCACAAATTGCGAAGTCTCCTTGAAGGGGATATTGTTTATCGTTTGAAATCTGATAAAACATGGCCAGCCATAGAGAGTCAGACGGTGGCTGTCTCTCGGCACTTTCTTCGTGCTTGAAGAGAAGAGGCAAAACGCGCCCAGAAACTAAGGTACCCAGTCTCCAATCCCAGCAGCCGCTCTAGTTTCTCTGGCAAAGTGCCAAAGCAGGCCATTGAGACAGATGCCTATAGCTGATCAGAAGTCTGCTCCGACAATCCCCCAAGCAGAAGCTTCTGGTCCACCATCAGCCGGATCGCCTATGTCGTTATCTGCGATAGATGGAGACAAGTCGACTTCATCAGTTTCTACCTCTGTACCTCTGAACGGGAAACAGCCATAGAAGAAAGCCCTGCGACAACGCTTGATATTTGGAAAGAAACATACGCTAAGGTGAAACAGAAGACTCGAGACTGGCTTGACAGCATCCCACCAGTCACTAACACTAACGACCCGATCCCTGAGTTCCATTGGTGGAGTTGGTTCGCTCCAGGGAGGATAAACATAAAGACGAGGCTTTGAAACCAGGCCAAATAGACTGTAATCTTAAGTAGAATGGCCGTCGCATGCCGAGTTACGCCAAAAAGCCATGTGTCTTCAACCGCTGCCTGTTGCATCGACGACAACACGACACAGTCATTTCTTTTTATCTTATGATTCATTAATCAGTCAAGAACCATTGACGTTGGCTAGTTTTCCTGCCTCGTCATCCTCGACCACGGTTTGGGGGTGAGTTTTGTTCGGCACAAGGTTGGCACATTTAATGACCAATCTAAGGTATGTAGACTGGGTACGTTGCCCCGATGTCAAGAATATACATTTCTCTACTTTTCGACTAGAAATGATAGGAACATTGTACTTCTACCCTGGAATTGTTAAATGTGATCGGACAGAGCTTGAGCTTGGAGTAAAGCGGAAGAATAGTGCCCGGTGGCACGGTGAAAAGATGTGGTTTATGTTCCGAGACTCTGCGTTTGCCCAATCCCGTGAAGGATTGATGTTATCCATACACGATTTTGCGGGGCTTTGAGTACCGAGCGCTAGGTGCCGAGTGCCGAGAGTCGAGGACCGTCTGCCGACGCCTTTTCCCCACAACCTGAAGTTGAAGGCCCAGTACTTCTCGGCAAATTGTTTGGGGTAATTAATTTATCGACGTCGTAGACGATTGGAGTTGACTATGTCTACGCTGAGCAGCCGGCGCCGAATCCGGGGCATCATCGTGCTAGCAGCCAAGGTAGGACAGGATATTGCTGTGATCATATCATCACGTTTAGACGACATGCATACTTTATGTAACCTGCCCGGTGTACGTAGAAGAAACCAAATTCCACTTTCAGTGATTAGTACATGAAAGCTGCGAACAAATTCTTCAACTTGCGAGGCCTCCCCAAATGGACCAACACTCTAATCCAGTTTCCTTCCCTGACCCAGAATCAGATAACAGAATGGCTTCCTCACGCGTAACCCAAATCAGCAACCACCTCGCACTCAGGAACCCACAAACACCAGATATCGACCCCGCAGATCCATATGCAGTCATCGAACAACCCCTCGGAACAGCCAAAAAGGTCCGCATCATCACAATCGGCAGCGGCGCAAGCGGCCTGAACATGATCCGCACCTTTCGCCAGAAACTTACAAACTTTGAACACATTGTTTATGAGAGGAACCCCGAGGGCGGAGGCACATGGTACGAAAACCGCTATCCGGGCTGCAAGTGCGATATCCCCTCGCATAACTATCAATTCTCCTGGATACCGAACAAGGAGTGGGGTAGCTTTCTGTCTCCGGCGGAAGAAATTCAGGCGTACTTGTGCCGCTTGTGCGATGATGAGGATCTGCGGCGTCAGATCAAGACGAGTCACCTCGTGACGGGAGCGTTTTGGGATGAAGTCTCTGGAATATGGACGGTTAGGGTGAAGAATTTGGAGGACGGTGTGGAGTTTGAGGACCATTGCGAGTTTTTGCTCAACGCGAGCGGGATTCTGAAGTATGATTATGCCCCTTTTCAACTCATAGCGTGCCTGGTGCGTTGCTAACTCTGAGGTTCCTGCAGCAACTGGAAGTGGCCAGATATTCCCGGTTTGAATGACTTTGCAGGTTCTCTCCTCCACAGCGCCAACTAGGATGAGAAATTTGACTGGAAAGGAAAACGAGTCGCAGTAATAGGCAATGGCTCATCGGGAGTTCAAATGGTTCCGGCTGTACAAAAAGGTGAGTAATGTTTAGGTCTCGTACCACCAAGATGCTGACAAAAGAGGTAAAGACGCGAAAGAAATGATTCCATTCATTCGTGGGCCAACTTGGATAATGCCGCCGCGAGTTCAGACGTTGCTGCTTGGGAAGGCAAAGCAAACGATGGAGCAGATTGAATTAGACGAGGATGAGAACTTCACGCCAGCACAGATTGAGAAGTTCAAGTCCGATCCCGCGCTATACAAGTCATTCGTCAAGGCTATAGAAGAACAAGTCAATAACAACTTCTTCATCGTCGGTGATCCAACCTTGTGTCTTTGAAGTTTCCACTAACTATACGATAGGTTTTGAAAGACTCGGAAACACACTGACAAGCCACGCAAGGCGTCACTCAATACATGCAATCTACACTCAACTACGATCAGAAGCTGATTGATATCCTGATCCCCTCTTTTCCTATAAGTTGTCGCCGAATGACGCCAGGTGTCGGGTACTTAGAGTCTCTGACGAAACCCAATGCAAGAGTCATCTCGGGAGGAATCGCCCGCGTAGTCTCAGACGGTCTGATTACAGAGTCTGGGGAACACATTGCGGTCGATGCTATCGTGTGTGCCACCGGATTCGATGTCTCGTTTCGCCCACGACTCCCTATTGTCGGGCGAGGGGCAACAAATCTTCAAGATATGTGGGCCAAGGACATACCGAAAGCCTACATGTTTTGCACGGTCCCCGAGATTTCCAACTACTTTGGTAAGTTCATATTGTATTATGGTGGTGACGTTTAACTCCTATCACTGTACCAACAGACAATCCAGTCTTTCTCGGCCCCAACGCCCCCATCAGCCACGGCAGCGTCTTCACGATAACCAAACTTCTCGCAAAATATGTCGCCGGCATCATCCAAAAATGCCAAACCGAGGGTATTAAGTCCATCAGCTCCAGCCTCGACGCTATCAATGAATTGCACGAACACACGCAGGCCTTCATGCCACGCACAGCATGGGCCGGGTCCTGTAGATCCTGGTTCAAAGGCGGTGCTGTGGATGGACCTGTGACGGCGCTCCATCCTGGGAGCAGAATCCACTTTTTCCACATGTTGGAGAACTTTAGAGGGGAGGACTGGGATTATGTGTATGAGAGGAAGCGGAATCGGTTTGCGTATCTTGGGAATGGGCTTTCTACGAAGGAGTTAGATGGCTCTGATTCAACTTGGTATTTGAATGATCCGGATGGGGAGGGGAAGTAACTTGAGAGGTGAGAGTCTTAGCGATACTTGTACATCAGTTCGTCGTCAGTGTTCCTCCCAGTTTCAGAGTCTCGACTGTCGTCTACAACGCAAATACTGCCAATAAATGATGCGATCACATGTATGAAGAGTCCCTCATACAATTCAAATGGTCTTCAACATCAATTCTGTCGTTAATTGCTCGCGGAAACTATGTCTTCTAGCTGACCCATCCTGGTTTAGAGCCGGGATTGAATGGGTCTCGCGCCGACCGGCATTCGGTACATGTGGGATCTCGGCACACAAAGGCGCGGAGCATCCAGCTTATGAATCGGAAGGTTCGAATCTCAAAGTCAAACATCGAGACAAAACGGCTTGATTAAAGTGCTGACGACCCGATCGTTCCTTTCGACAGATCTGCTGTACATCAAATCTGTAACTCACATCAACTACAACCTTCAGCATGGGTAGAGACGCACAAAAGAGGGTCAGCCTGACCTTCCTCTCAACCGGCTCAGTCCGCATCAAACTCCCCATCAAAAGTCAACCCGTAAAATCCTACCTCGACCAATTCGTCACCCTCCGCCGCTTCCGCTGCATCGCAAACCGTCAATGGACAGAACCCCTCCCCATCGGCGTCTTCCTCATCGCCCACCCAGACGGGCCGATCCTCTTCGACACGGGCGAGTCACCCTGCTTCAATGACCCGGGTTACCTCCCCTACCTGTCCCCGACAAAAATGTTCAGCAGCGTGGACATCAAGCCCGAAGACGGCATCGTCAAGCAGTTGCAGCGGCTTGGTGTGGAACAGAGTGATTTGCAGGCTATCGTGCTGTCACATCTCCACGGCGATCATGCAGGCGGGTTGAAGGCTCTGAAGGAGGCCGCGCCGGATGTTCCTGTGTTTGTGAGCAAGGAGCATTGGGCTGCGTTTGGGAATAGTCCCATGACCGCGACGCTCGCGGGATGTGTGCCGCAGCACTGGCCGGAAGAATTCCAACCAACACTCGTGGACTTTTCGGCCGGTGCGGTGGGGCCGTGGGAGACGTCTTGTCGGATCACGGCTGACGGGAAGGTTGTGGCGGTGCATACACCCGGCCATGTCCCCGGTCACATTTCGCTAGTTGTGTATGGCGATAACGAAGACGGGACCACTTCGACCTATTGCTTGCTTGGAGACGCGAGCTACGGCATAGATCTGCTGGATAAGGAAGAGCCGGATGGAATCAACGATGATCCCATGTCGGCACTGGACCGCTTGCGGAAAATCAAGGCGTTTGCGAAACATAATGATGTGGTTGTTCTTCCAAGTCATGATCCCCATACCCCGCGCTTGTTGAAAGAGCGCGTTCTGTACAAGCCGCAGGACATCTGAGGGTCTGAGAATATGGCTGGGGCAAATAGTTAATATCTTCAATTGAAGGATGTCTTATTACAAACTCACCGCAGCAAGGGTCATGGGCAATGGGTGATTCCAGTCATTAATTATTTGGTACACAGGAAAAGCTTTTTCAACTATCGTACAAGGAGTCGTCCACGTAGACGTCTTGCTTGGGGTATCAGTTGCATGAATGCCGGAGACATGTCCCTTATTTAGCATCCTTCTTTGCCTTCTCGGCAATCTCCTCCGCCTTCTTAGACTTGGCCTCAAGGACCTTCTTCACCTCCTCAATGGTCTCCTTAAAAAGCTTCTCGCCCTCTTCCTTGTGCTTGTCGGCGACCTCGCGGAGCTGCTTCAACTTGGGAATGATCTTGTCTCCGTCGGGGATCATCTTGAAGTATTGGTCCAGACCAAAGCTCTCGCCAACTTCAGAGCCCTTAGACTTAGCCTTGTCGACGGTATCGGTGATATAGCTCTCAAGGCCTCCGAGGTCTCCAGACTCGGTAGCCTTCTTTGCCTTCTCAAATAGCTCCTTGGCATTGCCCTTCTTGAGTGCGTCGGCATTCTTCTCGACCAGCTCCTTGACCTTCGGGTTCTTGTCAAGGTAGGGCTTGGCCTCCTCGAGCGCCTTCTTCCATGCCTCGTCGCCAAGCTTCTGGACCTGCTGGATCTTCTCCTCAATGAGCTTGCGCACCTTGTCGAAGTTGCTGGCAGTGAAGCCGCCAGCCAAGACGTCCTTGACTTGCTTCCATGTTTCATCGACCTGCTTCTTAGCCTCGGGTCCGTACTTGTCACCCAAGTCCTTGAGCTGTTCAATATTTCCTCCAAGCTTCTCCTTCAGCTGGGGGTGATTGTCGACAATGTCTCCAATAGCGTCACCTCCAAGGCTTGCGAGCTTCTGGGTGATGTCTGCAAGGACTTCGTATGCCTTGTGGACGGCCTCGAGACTCAGGCCGGCCTTGGCGACCTCCTGAAAATGCTTGTAGGCGTCATCGATGATCTTGTCGGCCTCTTCCTTGTGATTCTTGCGGACGGTCTCAAAGTCATTGAAAGCGGAGTCAACGTAGGAGCGGCCGCCAGGGATCCAACCGACGTAGGAGTAAGCGAACTGCTTGATGTAGTCGATGGCTTCGTCGGCAGAAGGTGTGTTTTCTTGCAGCTTTTGTGCGGCGGCTGTGTACTTCTTCTCGGCCTCCTTGGCGGCCTTGTTGACCTTGGAAGCAGTGCGGCCGGCGGGAGTGAAAGAGTAGATGGCGAAGAAGAGACCGGCACCAGCAAGACCACCAGCGACACCGGCTCCGAAGTGGGAGCTTCCCCCGCCTGTTGATGATGAGGTGGTTGTCGACTGGAAGCGGAGCTGCTGGCGAGGAGCGCGGACAGCACGCGTAGCTCTGGGAAGCGTCGAGCGAACGAGTGGTCTTGCGGACATCATCTTGATGGTCTTTTGAAGAGATGGTAGTATGAGTGGTGGTGTACAATTGAAAGGGTCGACGATTTCAAGGCCCGTAGAATTGAAGGAGGAAAGTTGAAATGGTGGTAGGTCAATGAGAAAGATTGAGAGGAAGAAAGCAAACAGCAGATTTTGAAGGGAAGAGAGAATTCTCAATTGCCTCCTCCATTCGCGTATGGCTAGCGTCGGACCGGCGACGGAGGACAAACAGGCAGGGGCGAAGCTCTTCACACGTGCTTCAAACGCAATTGCAGTCAAAATGACGACGGCAGGTGCAGCTGAAGACCAAGGCGAAGGAGCTCCTTCCGCCTGCCGGAGTCACGGAGAATGTGTCCCTGTCGCCCCTGCCATCTGCAAGGAGCTGAAAAGTGACATGGCAAGCGTCAATGGTCCAAGAAAGTGGAGGAGGAAGAAACCAGACCGGGCTGGAATGAAAGCTCCGGCTTCAATGACCGGGTGATGACGTCGAAGGCGTTCGTCGTCAGGGGCAGCTTCTTCCCCAATTGGGACAGCTACCCCGCATGAGGGGGGGCCTGGATGTCCCCAAATGTGCGGGAGATCGGCGATCAATCGCTGCGGGGGAGTTCTCCGCCAACATGGGACTTCCTCGTCATGGTGATGAACTACTCAAGTCAATTCAGATGGAGAATTGAAATCTCCGTGATGATCCTGCTATCGAGTTTTGCCAGCCGGTGAGAGCCGGAAAGACTTTTTCTCCTCGTTCTAGTGCTACACAGTTTGTCGTTGAGGTGCAAAGAAGCCAACATGAATTCCTTCGAGGAAGAGTACGTAGAGTGTCTCAATTGAGATGATCCTAGCATTGCAAGCTCAGGGGAGCTGATCAGTGTGACAAATTCAGTTCACCACGAATAACGAGAATCGAGAAGTCTGGGGGGAAGCTGGAACAAAGACCGAGTGGAGAATGCTCCGAGTCTGCCCCACACTCGGCGCCGGCTCGGAGGCACGGTAAAAGGATAAGTGGAGATAACACCGGATGACCCAAGCTATTACCGACGGATTGGATTTCATCAAACAGAGATTCAGAGCCTCAAACTATGAGACGTCGACCATTCTACCGGTTTCAGATATACATACCTCAGCGACTACGGGCTCGATCTGATAAATCTGAGTTTGTCGAGCCCGTGTCACAACATGAGCGGCACACGGAGGATTCATGGGAGTTGTCAGTCATCCATACATGTATAAGCATATATGAATATCGCATGGCTGCCTTATAGGGTCTTTTTTGGTGAGTACGCTATGCTGTGGCATCGAAATACTATAGAGCAGATTGGCTTCTGGAAACCCAATTGAGATCCTGACACAACGGCACAGAGAATTTCCCTCCCCTCCAGAACTCTGCTCTTCAACCGAGGGTAGATCACGGCGAGATCAACGGTGTGAATACCTGAGGGGGCGAAACCTCATATTTGACTACCCACATCCTACTGCACCCTCAAGCTGGTTCCGTTAGCGACCAGGTTCGTCCGGAAAAACTGGGTCAGCTTGTCGAAGGGAATAAGCTCCACACGATCGTACAGGTCGACATGTCCAGCGCCTGGAACCCAAAGAAGCTCCTTTGGCTCAGCAGCACGGGCGTAGGCATCCTCACTGAACTCACGCGAGTGAGCCTGGTCGCCCGAAATAAACAGCAACGGGCGCGGTGAAATTGTCTCGATGTCGTTGAACGGGTAAAAGTTCATAAACTTGGTGTTGCTTGAAAGTGTAGGGTGGGTAGTGAGATTAGCCGTGGTGTTCTCCGGGGTGAACTCGCCGCGCTGGGTGCGATAGAAGTCGTAAAACTCCCGATCGACCGCCGTCGAGGCATTGGTAAGCTGGTTGGGGGTACCACCGGTGTACTCAATCTCGCCGCCAGCCGCCTCAACCCAGCGCTGCGCAGCAGCGGTAGCGATGATTTCTTTGCGCTGCTTAACGCTCACCGTATGGCGCAACCCGTCGCGGGCGGCGGCGCCCATATCGTACATACTGGCAGTGGCGATGGCCTTGAGGCGAGGGTCGATCTTGGCGGCGCTGATGACGAAGCTGCCGCTGCCGCAAATGCCCAGGCCGCCGATACGTTCACGGTCGACAAAGTCTTGCAGGCCGAGGTAGTCGACTGCTGCGCTGAAAGCCTCTGCGTAGAGGTCCGGCGAGACGGCGTTGCGTGGTTCTCCTTCGCTGCCGCCCCAGAAGGGGGTATCGATGGAGACAGTGACGAAGCCCTGTTCTGCTAGTTTTGTGGCGTAGAGATTGGCGCTCTGCTCCTTAATTGCTCCCATAGGATGCCCGACTACAATGGCTGGAGCGTAGAGTGAACGGCTGGAGTTGTTCCGAATGAAGAGGTTGCCGGCGACGGTGAAATGGTTTTGGGTTGGGAAAGTGATGGGCTGTACCGTTACGATGTCGCTGCGGTAGAAGTTGTCGGCTCCAAAGGACAGGTTTTGAGCGGATGCTAATTTGGTGCTCGCAAAGGCAAGTGCCGCGGCAGTGCTGCTTGCAGAGATCTTCATGATGTTTTTCTACCTAAGGTAGGCGACCTAGTAGTTGGTAGTGGTGGGGGCTTGGAATGAAGAGGATATAGCTTGGAAGGAAGTACCTCTCGTTGAGTTGAGGTCACATTTCTTTGATTTTATAGTCAGCGCTGTGGACACCGTTCAGTTGTGATTCATCATCGTGGGTTGACGTTGATGTCACATCACTCGAAGAAAATGTTCGCCATCAGAATAAAGTGCCGATATGCAAGTGCCACGCGTCAGCCCCAGATCACATATCGAGTTGAGCATGATTGGTAATCCCATGTGCGTCTAAGTTATTGCGGCGAACCCAGAGGCCCCATTTTCGGCTGACATCGTCAGACATCGTCAGATGTTGCCAATGCTACCCCGGTTGACCAATTTGCGACATCGATAAGAGGGAACACCGAGCCTACGCTGACCTGGGGATTTCCATGAGTTGAACCATTCTAGGGCAACCAGACTACTACAATGACATTTGGATCACCCGACTGGTTTCCCTCAATATTGAGGAATGGCTAATCGCTGAGCGAGGCGGCTTGTGCATGGAGTGATGCTTTTCTGCCACATGAGCCATAAACAAACCTGTCTGGGTAGCCCACCAGTTGAGGCTGTCTTCTAGGATACTGGGATACAACAGACCACTAAGCAGGGGCGGGCCAAGTACTCGGCATTGTGATTGTCATCAACTTGCATCAAAATTAACCTCAGCATCCTTGCAGAACGGCAGGGTATCGCGGCCAAGCTTAAATGTCATCTGGCTGCATTAGCGTCGTTCGGTTGTGGGGATTCGCCCGAGAGCACTGCCACTCTTTCACAATTACGTGCTTTCTTTTGACGAAGGACGAATTTCGGAAATCGTTTCTCACTCCAATCTTTTAGTACTGTAGGTACCAAAGCCCTAGGCTACAAAGCTATGATCATGTAAACTCGATAATTTGGCCTACTAGTAACTAGTTCATATCACTAATTTTGCTATCTTGGATTGCGGGCCCTCACTCCTTTTCCGCTTCACATGAGATTGTTGGTTCCACGGGGTCGTATACGACAAATAGTGGTAGCAATTATCACTCGTCTGTTGGTGATCCTATTGCTTGTTCTTCTTTCTTTTTCTATCTTACATTGTAGGCAGGAGTCGGTCGAAGTAGGTAGTGACGGCCTGTGTGGTTGCCCCACCTTTATCCGGCCGTGATGACTAAGCCAGTTGTCCCACTTCGCCCAGGGCAGGTGCCAGCCAGCCCATGGTACCTGCCTATTACTCCTTATCAGCCTTTGCTATTCCAACAGAGATGTTTCTGTTGGTATTCCTTTCACAGGGAATTTGGTTCGAACCGTAGGGTCCTGGGGGTGACGAAGTATCAATATCTCTGTATTGATTGATTCTGCGTAAGGAGTAGAAGGGAGATTCCAACCGGAGGTTGGGTGGGTAGTCGAGGTCTAAGTGTACCCCCTCGAGGTGGCCCATGCTCTGCCCCTACTCGCGGCCGAATTGGACTTCCAATCCGACAGTTTCCCAGATCCACCTTGGAACTTAGAGCAAGCAACACTAGCGATTCAGCCACGGATTTAATCTTACACTATTCGACATATGACGTATGGAAGATAATCATTCTGAGTCACATAACAGCGTTTAACGACAGGACAAGACGTAGATAGGTCGTCTGAATGGTGAGGGGGATGGTTGACTTCTCAACTTGATCGTGCCAGCCTAGTCACCGTCACAGCCTCGGAGCAAAATCCTGCACTGTCTCGCACATTTTTGAGAGCACATTGAAGCGAACTATAAAACTCAATGGGCTGTTGGAAAGCAGTCATCCATATCAGTACCAACATCGACCATGATCTAGGGAGCCTACGTGTACGAATGAGAACACTGTCACCAAAATGTTCCGTCAACCCCCTAATCTCCGCTCTTTCGCCACCATCTCCGCTTTCAGAGGGGAGGTGCGTTCGGGTCTTCCACACACTGATCGATCCTCATAATCTGCTTACCAGTAGCCTTGGCCTGCCTGATAAACTCAGGGAAGTACTCGACCGTGGTGTTGTATGAAAAATGCATAACAACCAGGTTTCCCCCCTTGGCAACGTCAGACTTGAACGAGTCAACCTGCTTCTCCGGCGTGCTCGTCTCAGCCCACAGCCAGTCCTCCACATCGACGCTCCAATTGATGAGGTATGCCTTGTCCGAACCGGAGGCAGCCGCCCAGCGCTGACGCATACGCGCGCCTTCAACACCGTACGGCGGGCGGAAGTAATTGGATCGTTCGCCAAACAGGTTCGTCATCACCCTGTAGTCCTCGTTGTACTCCCAGTCGATGCTCTCGGTATCAGGTAATCCTTCCATTCTCGGATGCGTGTATGAGTGCAGCGCGATCTGGTGGCCCTCGCTCTTGAGCTGCTGGTAGAGGCTGGCCATGCCAGTGGACGGGTTTTCGAGCACTGCGCCGACGGCGAAGAAGGTTACTTTGATGTCCGCGTCGCGGATGATTTGCGCTAGCCTGGCGGCGTATTTTGGGTTTCCGTCGTCAATGCCGAATGCAAAAGAATTTGGCCGGGTACAGGCAAAGACGAGGGTTCCCGAGGGCAGTTTTTGGGGAATGCTGACGCCCGAGGGGATGGAGGGAACGATCTCGATCTTTGTTAGGACTACTGGGTCGGTACTATAGATGCCTCTAATACCGACACTCGCGACACGTTGGAGGTTGATGTTGAAGTGCGAGATGGGGATGTAGATGTCACTGCTCGTCGTCGCGTATCGGCTTGCTTCCAGGCTGTCTCTCGTTTCGGGGTATGGTGCAACGCCATCATTACACTGAGAGTTGTGCTGTTGTAGTGAGATCGAGAACTTCGTATGACCCGAGTACGCGATGTGTAAGTACGATCCACTTTGACTACGCAAGTCCCGACATCCACCGCTCACCAGACTGGTGAATGCGTAGTCGGGAGCTGAGGCAACGATTGTAAGGCGGCTCGAACCCCAAGTCAGCCCCAACTCATCGCCGCCGTGCCAGAATCCAAGCGAGTTTGTGTTTGAGTTTGCAAATGTGTCAATTACAAGCCCGGAGACCGTAGCGGCCGGTGCCGGAACGGTCTGTGTTGGTCCTGTCGGGGTCGTGGCCGTAGGCACCACCCAACCAGTCGGGGTGCTCCCGCAGTAGAGTGCCAGCGGGCCAAGTGTGATGGGGCGGGTCGGCGCTTCGAGAACAAGTGATCTCAGTTTGCTGAGGTTGACTCCACTGAACTTTGACCAGGGGAAACTGTAGAGCTTCTCGGTTCCGTCAAAGGTCCAGCCTAGCTGTGCAGTTGTCTGAGACGAGTACGCTGTCACCTCTCCCTCACACGTTGTCTTGGAAGTCAGTTCGATCTTAAATGTAGTTCCAGCCGGGGCATTGATCCGGAGTGAAACTCCACCATACTTTGATGTATCTAAGCATCCGACTTGGGTGAAGAAGTATGAAGAGGAATCTTTCGGCGTCAAGGTAATGTGATGGTTGCCAACGACCTTTGACTGCATTGTTCCGTCATCTCCTGTAGGCAGTAGGAGTGAGTTGTATTGCAAGAAGTCGAGGCGTGACTGCGATGCCCAGTCATCTACTAGAGGCGCCGAGCAAGACGGGTTGTTAGATTGGGTCGGAGATGGCACCGAACTTGTTGGAGCTTGTGTAACCGTAGTAATCGTAGTGACTATGGAGTTTGTGTTAGCATCAGCAGAAATGATGTCCGGGTTGGTCGGCTGGCCATCACTTACAAGTCGAAGTTGCTGATGACCCCTGAGCACAGACAAACAAGATCTTGTCCAACTGCCATTCCTGGGTAGCAGAGAACGACCCGACGACAAATGACAGGACGGCATTGAGGTTCCCGGCTGCAAAGCTACTCAATGGGATGCGTAGCGTCTGCCAGCCGCCGGTTAAGCCTGTGACTCGAAAAGACGTCTTTGAACTGGTCGTCGCCGAGCAGCTTGATGCTGAATTCAATTCGGCTGTGAAGGCTGCGCCTGACGCTGGTGCTTTGATGTCGAGCTGGACGTGTGTATACAAGTCGGTCTGCAGTGCTTGGCAGGGAAACGTCTCGTAGTAGTAAGCTCCGCTCTTGGGAGTGAAACTTAGAATGCCGCCGGACGCGGAGATGCTGGTCATGCTTGCATCATCTATTGAACATGGAGTTAGTCACTAGAGGCTCTTTAACAGCTACCACGAGGCGATCGATTGAAGGATACCGCCCGAAGCATCGGTCGCTCGAATTTTGATATTGGTATCTCACCTGAAGTCCATGAGCCGAGGTTGTTCCTGTTCGTTGAGAACGAGCTGGAGAAGTCGTCCACGAGGAGATCAGACGTGCAGACAGCACCAAACGCAGCTACTGCGCCGTAGACCGCGGCCAAGAGACAACAAGCCTTGAACTGCGACATCTTCTGCGAATATCTCAACGACTGGCTTGAGATCGTGGTAACGAATGTATGAAAGGGCGTTCTTGGCAACCCCCTGTCTAACAGAAGAGCCGATGGACGAGAGTTGCGATGACCGGCGGAGCACCTCCACCCTATATGCCATCCAGAACATCGTTAACATGTCGAATATCCGCCTTGAGTCGCGCCAGGCTCTTGGCCGCAGAATCCCAGGTTGCGTGTGGTTCGATTCAACCACCCTCAGCTGAATTTCCATGCGACCCGGGCACAGAGGATGCCACTATGCAATAGCATAGATGCGGGCCGTGGCGTCACTCATGCGTTTTCCTCGGGACCGCTAGAAAACGTTGACCTCTCACAATGGAACTTGGCGGTCGCCAATTACTCAATGTTTCCCCCGCTCGCGGACCGGGCCAGGGGGGAGCTGAATACGGAGAGGCATTCGCAGAGTCGATGGTGTTTTCAGGACCCGGCGGCACCGCATTGTAACCCGGACTCAGCACATCGGTGTCGTGCATTCTACTAAGGAAAGTCCGGGCCGACGGTCCAAGGTTGTATCAACTGCCTCTAAGGCTCCATCCGCGCGTCCACATCTTGTGCGTTAATGGTCAATCTCATAAACCTCAATTGAATGTGGAGTCGGTGAGCCTCCAAGCTTATGTGAGCATGCCATGGCGCTAGCAAGCAATAGTCTCGGAATACGATGCTTGGCGCAGTCAAACCTGGTGGGATTTCCGCCCGGTGGACGAAGCCATCGGGGAGGAAAGGGGAAGAGACGACACATCACAACGCGTGAGTGTCTTCGTAATTGTGCGACAAGCAGGCCCTCAACTCTTCATCGGAATTGAGCTGAAAATCAGAGAAGGCGGCGCATTTTTATCAAACAAAAGTACACCGAATCTTGGGACGGAGAGTCGGATCAACACATACAAATTACGTTTCCAGTTTCCTATTCAGGAAGGTGGCGATGCCAACCAACAGTGTTCGACATAGGTTCACTGCGGGGGTTGACAAGAACCTAAGGTCTTCACCGGCATTCAATCACGCTTTAGGTAGGTATTAGGATTTATCAGGTAAATCATGTAACTAAAAGCATCGTGAAAGGAAACAAGCTAACAAACGAAGAACTCAGCGAGACTGCTTACGTAGAGCTCCCATGTTGTTGCCACGGAGTCTAAAGTAGCAAGGTCAACTGACGCTGCCGGGACAGCGACATAACACCACGACTTCTAGGGATGCTTGTTGCGGCCAGTGAATACTAGCACACCACCACTGTCATCATCGCTTCCACTGTCGTCTCCGTGGGCAGCAACACTCCAAGTATCTTCAACGTTACTCGATTTACTCTTCACAACAAACGGGAAAACGCGCTGATGAGACGAAATGGATAGGCCTCCGATCCGGGACGACAGGTCATCCAGAGTGACTGAAATGCCAGTAAGCGGCTGACATGTTGGCATCGACGACGTATCAGAGTCGAACCTCTTGCGCTCTGAAACCTTCTCTCTAAGCGCAGTGAAAGCAGCTTCGCGGACCTTTGCCAGAACCGCATCAATCATCCTGTCTTTGGTCGTCGATATCTCACCCTCTTCCAAGACGTCTGGGACGGTCCAACTGGGGTAGACGTTCTGGTGAGTAGGGCGGACTCTAACACCGCTGCTGTGAGCAGCAAAGTAGTAATCGCAGAGTCGACAGGTAGGCTTGCTGCATCCAATGTACTTCATACCTTCATAAAAAGGAATGGAGTGAATATCTTCCGCAAACTCTTTACGGAGCCAGTCGAGAAGAAGAACCTCACTGTGAACAATTGGTCTGAACACCGGTTTGCAACACTGAGTCGCAATCCGGCCATCTAAATCGCAACGTTGGAGCTCATCGGCGTATTGGCGGTATTTCTTCATCATCTCCTCGTCACTCGTTATCCGTGATAGGATATCATGCGCTGAACGGGTCGTTTTCCTTTGCAAGGGGTTGAGGCCAGCTTGAAACGCGTTCATCGGGTTAGGTAGCGGCTTGCTCGAAGCTACAAACTTGATCTTGGTACCATCAAGATCAAAAAGCTCCGGATAACGCTTTCGTGCCACGAATAGGGTCTGGGTTGCCCTTAGGTAAGACACCAGTCGTCCAACAAAGTGTTGCAGATCACACCAGTACGGAGACTCGTCGACTTTTCCTGATTTTCCTCTGTCCACAATGGAGTGGTAAATTGTTGATTGACGTAGCTGTGTAGCTGCCTGGACGAGTGCCTCGTTGTTCTGTACCTTCTCTTCTACGATGGACGGGTCAGTATGGTCTTCACATACCTCCAATGAAAAGAATAACGCATCCTTACTTGAATTTTGACCCTTAAGAGACGCCTCGGAGTCGTCTGCCACACGTTGGAGCTCCAATAGAGACGTTTTGACCGATGAATCTTTCAAGAATGTCAGAACGGCCGCACCGAGCCTAGATGTTTCAAACTCACTCTGTCCAGGCTCACGCCTATCGCAATCTGCGATGCATTGAGACAAGGCCTTGGCTAGTCCTGCTCGGTAACACTGGATTCGCCTGCGATGGAAGAACAGAATCTGGCCGAGAATATGTTGGAATGACTTCGAAGTAACATCGTCCTCGGAATCTGACGGTGCTGCATCTGTCTCACTCAAATACTCGAGAACGCTGAAGATAAACCCCTCTACCTCCGCGATTTCTTTTGCCGATCGTTGATTGGATGCAAAGGTGTAGACCAATATGTCAGGCAATTGAATGATGGCCACAGAAGTTACGGTTTTACCTCCGCGCTGGTTGTCGCATATCTGAGCCAACTTGTTCATGAAGCAATTTAAAATTGCCCTGTGGTTTTCACCTGGTTCCGCAACGTCGCTGGGGGTTTTGTTGAGTTGCTGCCCGCTGGTGGGACAGGCTTGAACCAGACTGTACAGAAGAGTCAAAGCTTCGTAGAATCTGTTCAGCCTTTTGCAAAGCCTGAGACTGATGGGATGGTCTAGACCGTCGGCCGTCATCATTTCTATCAGAGTGGTTTTCAATTGTAAGTCGAAATGTTTGCAAGGATTTGTAGACGATATCTTACTTGGCCCCGATCCCTTAGCAGAACTACGTGTGTTCGATTTGCTTTTGGCCATCTTGAATGAGGGTGGTTGAAGAAAACCTGATCAAATTTGAGCTGAATACTACTAAGATAGTTCGCAATATTTGACAAAGTGAGAATTGGCTGTGTGTGCCTCCCATATCAATTGAACATCAAGGAAGCGACAACCTTTTTCATATTTAAGCGAAGCTGGATTGCTTCAGTAAAGTATGCAAGAGAGTCACGCGAGGTATACCAACCAGCATTCATGAGCGAGCTTCCTCTGGTCCGCCTATGGCGGGGCCCGAGGCGGACATCTATCGCTGACTCGGAGCAAAACTCGACAAAAGAGCCCGAAAAGGACTCGCGCGCGCATATGCGTCAGTCGCCATTTCGCGACCTCCGTTGTTAATCGTATAATCGTATAAGCGTATTACACGTACTCGTTGACAGCCAATTGCTCAATTTGCAATCACACCCACTCACTTCGAGTGGGCGGCTAATTTTGTGCAACGCGGGAGGCCGGTGAGGCCAACGATCGAGGTTGTAAAAGGCTATTGGTTCTGGTGTTTGCACACAATATGTTGGGTCTTGCTATCGAATAATAGTATCAATCCAAGGCGGAGTGAGAGACTGATACAATGCTTCGAGGCATATTACAATGCATTTTGATGTCAATTCGATTGTCGTCTGCTGCATATCTACTTAGGCAGCAAACCGGTCGCCTAAATGGTCCAACAACTATCAGACGCCACATGACAGCCTAAAGACTCCTGCCAATTGGCCGACGAGCGCGTGGGGGTCGTTGGACTCCCGCATTGTGACCTGCAACAGGCTGCAAAGTACATTAGCCCCATCTCATCAAGCCAGCCAAGTCCGAGAAGTTCACCGAGTTTCGTCTCCACTAAGGTAAAACGAGGTGCGTTGGAATGAAAGTCAAGTTTCCAGCCAGCCTTAGAAACACGCACGAGTAGTGTCGTTGGGGTCGAATGTCAGGCGACGGATGATCCGCCATTGGTGAGAGTTGCCAACAAGCACGTCAAGGGAAGTCGGAAGAAAAAGAAAGAAGTGTAAAAACGAGGTTTTCTGGCCAAAGCGCTCTATTTCACATTGGTATGTCCTTTGAGAGTCAAAAACTTTAAAAAGGGCCTTGATTTCTGCTCAAAGTCACAGGTGGCATCCTACTAGCTCGCAAGTTGCCTACGTGTGGGTTCTAGTTAAGCGCAATCTTCTTCTGCTGACAGAATACTTGATCAGCATTGCTCATCACTATATCATCTCAGTTTGTCCTATCACCTCAACTTACCTTAGTAGTCTAAGAAGACATAAGTGTATCAGCAAACAAATCCATGTAAAAAAAATATGTGAGTATTGACATGTTCCCGCAGCGTGTTTTGAATTGGGTGTCCACCTTTATGGTCCTAGTTGTGGATATTCATGACTGTGGAAGTATGGAAACACTGCGGGAGGCCTGTGCTAACGACACCGCGTCAGCTTGGAGCTGATATCGTATTCCTGAGAGGAGCCATTTGTTTTGGTAAGTCTGAGCCTTGTCTGAAGTACTTGGAGGTATGTCATCTTCGGGAAATTGAGTCATTGCTGCATCAGAAATTTGGCCAAGTTCTCTTTAACAAGTGTCACACGCAGAAAGACGAAGGGCACAGCCAGTGAAATCATCTGAGTGCTGAACACTGCATCGATGAAACGAGCTCAAGTCCAATTTCTACCATGGGTCGAGAGTCTCGATACTACGGAACCCCTCTGGAAACTCACGGCTATTCTGGCACCAATGAGCCAGGGGGTTGGCCAACTACGACAGGTGGCTACATAAACGTCTACGCCCCAACTGACGATCTCAACGACCCTTCGCTGTTCTATCACTTTCAAATGAGCCCAAGCAGCGCTGACTATCAGTCTTCTGAAACCACAACTCAAGCGCTCTAGGCGTTTCGGGGTGGATCTTCGCACAGGGTCAGTTCCCACCAGCGATCATCACAGGGACCAGAAGGTTGGAGCGATATGGATGCCGAAATGTACGCTCAGGAGGCGGTGCAGACCCTTCGTATCCCCGCCGATATGCTTCACGAGTCGAGTGCTCCTCAACAGCAGCAGCAATTCCAGTATGTTTGTACCGACCCAGGCTGCACCAGAAGCTATGAGAAGAGGCATGAGCTCAAGTAGGTTTAGAAAATTTTACTCTATTTCTGGGCGTTTCTGACATTGGAGACGCAGTCGGCACATGAGGAAGCACAGCAAGCCATGCGCTTGTTCAGTTGAAAGTTGTACTGAGCGGTTTGCGGATAAGAAGAGTTTGGACCGACATCAGGCCACCCATGGAATTGGAAGGGATTCACTTGACTGTCCTGACTGCACCAAAAAGTTCACGAGGGCTGACAACCTGTTCCGCCATCAGCAGAATAAGCACTCGAAAGGCTAAAGAGGCCCTGATTTTAGAATGGATCCAAGCAATGCCTTTATGTTACGTTTCTGGTTGTAGTTTGCGGTTTTGGATAGTATATTTGGTGTTTGATACTCACGGCATTGCCACAAACTCAACTTCGGCGTTTCTAGTTTTCCTCAGACTTTCTTACAATTATTCTGGATGTCGTTAATTAAGGTAGTCAAGGTTAAATCAAATATCCGTGTGCACTTGCGATCTATGATTGACTACTTGGGATTCCAAGGCCTCTGCTTAACATCCATCTACGTCAGAACTCGCCTTCGATTCCTTTACGCAATCTGGATATAGTAGGCCTTGTCGTTGATACATAATGTTGCACTCTGCCCTTGGGCAGCTCCAATTCGCATTGTTACTGCCCAGAGTTCCAATCTTACAGGTCGTAAAACGTGTTCAATAACGTTCGTTCAGATATGTGGATACCCATAACTACAGGTATTAATTGACATGAAAGATGCCTTCCAGCCAATGAAAGGACAAGTCAGTCACACTTGGTTTCATCTTGAATGCTCCTTGAACCACGCCCTCAAGATACAAGGCTTGCTCTCATTGGCCGACAACTATGCACATCTCACAAGCTAATGCCGGAGGCGAACTCCATGGCGCTGCGAGCTAACCTGATGAAAAGCAGCAGATGACTCTCATCATACACTTTCGTGCTGTAAGGTATCGAGAAATGGTTGGTTGCGCGTTCTGGCGATTATTTGTTTCCTTGCTTGTAATGAAGCAGTGTGGCAACACCATCAACAATGATCGAAGGAGACTTCGAGTGCTTCAAGATTTTGAACCTCTGAGACAATTTGCTGTAACAGTTATCACTGCGTGGCATAACGCATGCAGGCAGCGACCGAGTTTGGCCGGAGCAAACATTGAACGACTGCTTGCGAGACTTGCATGTACCAACCGCGGGAGGGAGCGGAGAATCTGTTAGACGGACTGGTACTTTGGTAATCGACTTTGTTGCACATATTTAAAGAGGGCCCTCCTCAGATCTGCAAGCTTTAATCCGTTCACTGCCTCACACATCGATTGCCCAAGTTTTTGGGGCATCGGTGCGGGATTACCACCCTACAGGACTGGAGCCACTGTGGGAGGCCGTCTTCTTCAGTAACTCAACGGAGAGGACCGAAGAAATAAGACATTTTCGTTTATTCGCCAACAATAGAGCTCCTCTACCCTGTGCTGTAGGGAAATCAGGCCGTGAGTGTACTCTCGTTGACCCTAGAACGAGTACTCTATTGACCCCAACATGTGTGCAACAGGGTGACATTTGTCAAAATGCAGGGCTTGATACTTGACGAGGGGCAATCAGAGGACATGTTCTGTTCTTTGGGCACGGCGTGGCAATCCGAGGCTTTCCCCGGGGATGACCGATACTTGTATCAATTGGATTCGGCACCTCACGGCACACTCGGTCCACTCAATGCTGTCTGCTTGCCTGACCCGACTTTCCAGAGTCATCACTTCACCTCTCTTAGTCGTTTTCCCGAACCCACCACACCTTTAGGGCCTTAGGCTCCTGAGGGTGGATTGCCGCGATGGGGACACCCCCAGTTTGATCAGCGGCATTCACAGGGTCCGGAGGGATTGACTATGAATGATGAAGAGGCAACGGTCCGGGCTGCTCAAATTGCGTTTGAGATTCGACACGTGTGCGAGTCTTGTGGAGAAATTTTTCCACGGCCTGGGGATCTCACGTGAGTCTTTCAGTTGGTCCGTTTCTTGAGGAACCATAGTGACCCAGTCTCCAGGAAACACCGAGACAGACATATCCGGCCTTTCCACTGCCTTGTTTACACGCCGGGAGCAGTGCCAAGTCAGTGCTGGATGGAATTCGCTACCGAGAAAGAATTAATTCGGCATCACAAAGTCAATCACGAGAAAAGGGAAACCGCAAGGAAGTACACATGCGCCGATTGCGGACAGGAATTTACCAGAGATGATAATCTAGTGCGTCACAGGAACAAGACTTGCAAGGCTCGTGAGGAAATGGAACGATGAGTGGGGTGGAAACGAATTCTTCTAAGACATAAAGCATTTCAGATATCCATGTAACTTCCAGCCAAGACATCAAAGTGGTTGATCGGGGAGACGAAATGAGTACACGCACTTGTCGGAAGCGGGCAAAAGTGGTAAGCAGCACATCTGCTAACCTTCATGTCACCAATGACTTCTCTTGTCCTCACTCCATGAGTCGCTGGGTATGCCCTATCGGACAGCACTATCGGTCACTTTCTTCCGCGGCCTTCATTAAGCTTCAAGTTGAAGTTAAATCACTAAATCCATTATAACATCATAGAACAAGGAAAAATATCCAGATGTACTAATGTTGGCGTACACTTCAGCAGGGCAACCGTACGATTAGAACGAAGGGTCAATAATGGTATATTCTTACTGCGTATGGAGGAAGAAGTAGGAGGTTGTAGGCAGAGCCCACGATCTCTCAGAGGTGGTATGTAAATGGAAAGACCGTTTCTTTGGCCCATGCCGCCTTCCAGGTCCACCCTTTCTGCCGACTGCTCAGAGATCCAACAACAAAGTTCCGTCTCATGGTCACCAACTAATGTACAAATCTGACGCGCCTCTCATACATAGCTCAACTCTCACTCACCAGCGGCCATAACATGTGCGGCTCCTAGAAGCCCTGATCTAATCCCTTGAATATCAGCCACTGGACCGCAGCATATGATGCGATGGACTTGCCGCTGCAGGCGGTGGGAGCAAGTATGTGCCGGGTTGAAAGTTTTGCGTGGCTGTAACCCGAGTGCCGGCTTCCATGTGTTCAGTGCGGGGTGGAATAGTTCGCAGCGCAGCAAACCATGGCCGACGCGCTCCTGAGGCAGCCGTTCTAGACTTCCGTCGGTCTTTCAATGATTCACTCATTCTCTGCAGGATTTTAGGGCATGCAAGGGCGAAGATTGAACCCCAGAATGCTCCCAATGCCGGTGATACAAGTGGCATTACAGTTGTTGAGACCAGAGACATGATTTCTGAGCGAGCCCAGCCGCCGTTTCCGGGCTTGTCGCCTGAGGGGAAGTTAGCCCAGTCTACTTAATTGGTCAACCCCAGGCGGGGACGAGATATAGATCCACCGGACACGTCTAGCAACAACATCACAGGGGTAACATAAATGGGTTTGAGCATCAAATAGACAATAATATGTAGAAGGAAAGTTAAGAAGACCACTTACCAGTAGCTGGTTGTGTTGTGTTGTGTTAGACTTGCACTGGAAGTCGAAGTAAATATTTCTCCGGGAAAGGTCCGAAAGAGACGCGTGTCCAGGGCTTTCATCCTGCTTTTAGAATCAATATCATGTCTAAAATTATACCATTCCACTACCTGGAATACTTACCGATGCAAAAGGTATGTGATAGTTCATAAACAGGAACAGTAACACAACAGACGCACCATGCGTAGTACCAGTTTGTTTTTGCTGGAATAAGTCGCCCAAAAGCACCGAAATCTGAATGATTCTAAAACCCCAAGGAGAATCATCGTTATCGAAGACCGCAATCCATAAGGCCGAGGCGTAGTAAAGTCCCACTTGAACTTCATGTCGTTTTCGGTCGCCGCCTCTGGACATTCGAAAACTGTTCTTGAGTTCCATGACCATATCAAAACACAGCACCAAGGTAGTTACTCGGTCAATCGTCGATGGTAAGAAGAGCACTTGTCTATCCAGGACAACGATAAGACAGATGACGGCTCTCGCTACTGTTAAGACAGTGTCGTCAAGCTTTCGTTGGGAAAAGGTGTTTCGAAGGACTTCCATCGAGCTTTGCTCCTGAATGATTAGGTTCCTGTGGGCTTTCATTTCGTTAGTGTTCGGGTTATCCAATCCAGAAAGATCTATCTGCTTGCTTCTCCGTACAATAGACTCTGAGTAAGACTGGAAGAAAACTCACGGTATTCTCAAATGATAATCGCTGGAGACACGCGTTTATGTGGTGGTTCTGTTGCGAACCATGGAATCGAGTCTTATCTTCAATGTATAGGTTTCAACTGGAAGCTTACTGCATGGGGAATCATCTTCAAGTGCCAAAGAGAAACTTGTGTTATTTATAACCCCTTCCAACATCAAGACAACTTGACGACAATAGAATTGAGCCTTCAAATACCACGAACGCCATTTCTACACAGTGTTCAAGACAGTGCGTAGGCAGTATCGATAATGAAAAATATGTTTGATTTCTTCCAAAAGTGGCCGCTTTGTCCAGAGCTGAAATTGCTGAAGGATGTGGGCTGATTACACTGAGTAACTCATTCCAAGCCACTTTCCTCTTAGTGTCTCTTATGTCCAATCACTCGACTCTTGCGGGCTTTCTCATCAAAATGGAGTGTCTGCCTTGAGACATTGACTTTCACCTTCCCGTTCAGCCGATTGATTCTGAGTCTCAATCGTTCCGTTGACAACAGTAGTGCCTCATGAACTACTGTTACATCAAACAACGGACTAGCCGTCGTTCTTAGTAAGCTCTCTTAACCTCGTTCGTCCTAGCACAGCCTTTTTTCTTTTCATCCAGAGGCGCATTTTCCGAGTGCATTGCTATGGATATTTCTGGGGCCACGAGGAGCAAGTAACGTAGCTTCGTCTTGCATCATACATTGCGTTTGACGCCCCTTGAATGAATGGTCCGTTCAGTCTGGGGTTTGTTCATTGTGGAAAGATACGTAGCCCCGTGCAACATGTACGGTCTTTCAAAAACCTCTAGCATTGCACAACACTCTTTGGACTCGTGTTTGTAAAGCTTTATCTTGAAGGTTTGCGATGTTTCTACCTGAGAATATGTGCCCATGGCCGTTTTCGTGGAAGGTACATCTGTGCCCATATTACCGCACTGAGAACAGTGGATTCTAGAGATACAACTAGCCATGAGAGATACTTCCTGTGTGCTAACTAGGACACACAAGGTATTAGACCACCTAAGGTTGGGTGGAATAGTGATGTCGCAACACGGATGTTCTTTCCTTCCTCAGTACTCTTCGTTCCCGAGTGTGTTATGTGGACTGGAAGGACGGCGACGGCAGATGCGGCACTAACAAGTATGGCCGCCATCGTGTGAGCCACTTTTGCTGTCAGGGCCGTTTGCCCGGGACGAAAGCGGGGGGCGTCTATTAATGCCGTTCTGTGGCTCAATCCGAGTAAACGATTAACGTGTCAACATCTCAATGATGCATTTTAGGCAGCAACTCATATGATCATCCAGAATGTACTGAATTCTTGGGCTTTCAGTCGGTTGGCTAGTGATTATTAGCTTGAATCACCAAACAAATGATTTCGACAGAGTCATGTGAACTCAACGGCTATTCCCAATACCTTAACCAAAAGTCTCCTTTGACTTCGAGGTTGTACCTACCCTTGTAAATCACCTTTATTGGCTGAATTTCGCAGCTGTGTCTTGGTGATGTTCATGTGGCTGCGACATCACGTCTCTGCTAACCATTTCCAGCAGACATGGCCTCTGTGGCGCGTCGTACATCCCGAAGTGTTCCACCGATAGCCCCTCGCATGCCCTCTAGCTTTAAGGTGTTGCATTGCAGACTACCTACATTGACACAAAGTCGAGGTGGGGGCGACTGGTGGCTCACAATGGTCGGTACTTAAGAGACTTTGGTAGTCGTATATGTTCACCAAGCCGTTAAAAGTACTACACTGGCCTATGGCTATGTCAATGTCTTGCCCTAAAGGTTCATGCTTAGCATCATGGGCTTATGGACTCTCCTAAGACCTGTGACAAAGGTTCGCTCACAAGCATACGTGTACGGATACGCCCGCGCCAAGTGTACGGGTATACGTCCACGGGAGTTGAAACGGGGAGTGAATTACATTCAATGGTCCCTCCGATTCTTTTTTATTGCTCTGTGTAGGTAGTATGTGCATGTACGATGTAGAACGTTTCATTTTTGCTATCATTTACTCCACCTCACGCCGGCTTCTAGCTCCTCTCACCTCCAATGTTCCTTCTCCTCCTCCTCTAATAGCCTCTGTACAGGTAGTCGCACAGCCCTGTCTAGCGCCACCGGCAAACCTCGATGACGCCCTCTCAACATCACAAGACACAATACCAGTTTGCTCCCGGGATGCCAACCCCCAGAGAAACTCATAGCATCTTTAGGTAGTCCCACAGATATGCCAACACAGCCATAGCCCGAAACTACCTCAAAAATGACATTGAAGACCGAAAAGCGAACTGGATCTTCCAGGAAGTGCGACGTCTCTATAGTTACGATGACTAGAACAGCCAGTGCGAGAAGCCACAAATCATGGGCGAGCTGTCCCCGGATTTGCTGGTTCACGAAGCTCATTCGAGTTTCAAACCCGTTGCCTCTCTTATCGGTTTTGGCTGCGCCAACACCAGCAAAGCTAAGATTCTCCCGGAAGAAGTGTGTCAGAACACTGCTACCCATTGGATGCATCTTCACTTCCGAGTTAGAAGAGCCTGGAGATATTTCATCGTCGTGGTAGATTCCTAGAGACCGCTCTTCGTAGACGTTGGAGTGTCGCATCGTGATCACCACGGGGTACACGGAGATATACATCATAATAACGTACAATACCTGTAATCCCGGATAGGCGGAGGCTATGGGGATGACGTAGAAGCCTCCGGAGCGGACAGCTACAACTCCATCAGTAGATGTCGTTTTTCTGGGCGATGGCAGGGAAAGACTTACCAAAGGCTTGGAACAAGCCGTCCAGAACTCTTGCTCCAGTAGGAATGGCTTCGATAACCGGGTTGCCGATATTGAGAACCTCGAACGCCATCCAGTCAATACCATTCGTCATAAGAACCATGAAGAAGAGCCACCACGTCGGTCGTGACGGGAAAAGATTGGTATAAACTCGACGCGGGTATTCCAGTATGAACTCCAATGTGTTCTTCAGCTCCACTAATGTTCCCTCGGCGGTCAACGCTCGAAGTATCTTTAACGCTGACCAGAAGATGAGCCTCAGAAACAGCGGATAAGCCGTGTTGCCCGCCAAGATAAGGAGGCCCATGGTGATAAGTACGAAATATGCCTGCTGGAAGGGCACTACGTTGGCGTCCAGCAACGACATGCCTGAATTGTTGAAGGCTGAGACGGCAAAGAATATGCCGGCCCACCAGGGGTTTGCGCCATTGGACGTCGCGACGGTAGGCATATTGTTCGCGATCCAAGCTCCCAGAGCAAGACAGCCTAGTACTTGCCAGAGCACTGAATACAGTGGGACTACGATTGACAAGAGGTGAAGGGCCCGGTATTCGAGGCCTCCTAGACGGGAGCGTTCGGGCCCCGTGAGGGAGTGGAGCTGGGAGTTGCGTGCCTCTTTAGAGGCGCTGAGGAAGGACAGCCAAGGGCGGGTAGGCTTTTTGCCCGAGAGAGTTGATGGTGTTGAACGGCGGGTAATGTTTCCGGTCGTCTCGATAGTGATGTGGTTCCCTGCGGCTCGAGCCTGAGATGAGGCCCCCAAGTCTCCCAAGCCAGTGCCACTCGCGCCCCTTTTCTCTTGAGTCGCAGCAATACTGTTTCTGAATATGGGCAAGCCCCCGCCCTGCTGATCTCCCTCATTCTGGGTACGGACAACCCCCCGGAGGCTCTTTTCAAAGACGTGTTTCCTTGCCACAACTGTCCATATCGAAACCCATACAGAGCTGCCGATAATGATAAGCAGCCATAGCAGCACCTGTTGCCAGACAGTCATCTCACTGAGATTGACCGTGTTCAGTCCGGCTTCCGTCATGGCGGAGATGACGAGGAAAAGAGAGTCGACATAGCTGATGCTGCCGTGTGGATTCGACGAGGCGTAGAAGATTGCCGATGCGAGGAGGGTTGTGCCGATGAAGTAGGCGTAATGCAGTGTTATGAAGTTCAGAGGTGGTAGAAATGACTGAAGTCCGTTCGTTGATGAGTTTTCTCCATCCTGGGCGCGTTGATGAGAAGTCGTCGGTCGTCGTGGCGTTGACATTGTCGGCATCTGGGAATTCGGGTTTGCCATCGAGTGCCGAGCCGGCAAAAAGATTAAACTTTCCAAATTCGCGATTGCCAAGTTCGATGGATCTGCGCAGCCAAGGCCGACTTGAAGGTCGCTGTCTTCAAGTCTCACTCGCCCTTTCCCTCGATTACTTCCTGGGGGAGAAAAAGAGTTGCAATGTCTACAAAAAATTTGTCAAACAAACTCCTTGCCGTCAACGCAACATTTCGAACCTTTCAATCTTTCAGAGCTCACAAATTGTCGGTGAGAGGGGTTCAGGGGTGGATAAGAGCCACTTGACCAAGCCGAGTCATTCGTCCAAGGAGACAACAAAATTTTGCGCTAAAGGGGCGCCGTCTGCAGAGCCGGTGCTTCTTCATCTCGCTTGGCACGTGGGCCCGCTGAAGCTTAATTTCACCGAGCTTCACCGAGGGGTTATAAGTACAGGGAGCTCTCTTCAGCCTACTAGTAGCAACTCACACAGGAATGAAGATGGGCTGGAGCTTAGGGGGTAAAGGAATAGAATGAGTGCGGCTTCACAGCAAGCAAATTACAACGAAGTTATTTCATAAGGTGGGACACTAGTTCGGGCAAGCCAATTTATTCAAACATCCTACTCGTGAACACCCAGCTACCTTGTGCAAAGACAGCCATAACCAGCCACATGATACCAAGCTCCAGAGTCCCTTTTGTCGTAAGATACATATGCCATGCTCCTCGGTGTTTGTATACCGGTATGAAAATTATAGAGACAAAAGAAAACAACTCCCTTCAGGATTCCTCCAGTCCATCAGCTACCTCTCCGCTTAGAAGCCGAGGAGACCATTGAAGGTGGTAGCAACATCGGCGCTCTTGTCACCGGAAGCCAAGATCTGAGCCTTGGCGTCGAGGCACTGGGTCTTGGCGGCGTCGTTGGCCTCGCAGACGTTGGTGAGCTGATCGCAGACGCGGTTGATGATGATGTTGGGGTTCAGGGCGTCCTGCTGGCCCTGGGCGACGAGGGCGTCGGTGGGCAGGAAGGTTCCCTCATCAGCCTTGCGGCCAGCACGGCCGGTCTGGAAGTCGATGGTGGGAGTGCACTTTCCGAAGTCAGCTGCACCGGTGGCAGCTCCACCGTTGTTCGCGTTGCCGGCATTTCCAGTGTTGGCATTGCCGTTGTTGGCATCGTTGTTGTTGCCGGTGTTCTGGTTCTGGTTGTTGTTGTTGTTGTTCGCATTGCTAGTGTTGGCGTTGCCGGTGTTGTTGGCGTTGCCGGTGTTGTTGGCGTTACCAGTGTTGGCATTGCCGTTGTTGTTGCCGGCGTTGGCATTCCCTCCGGCAGCAGCACCACCAGCAGCCTGGCCCTTGATGGTGAAGTTGGAGAAGCCCTGAGCCTGCATCACCTCGGCGACAGACAGACCAGTGGCATCAAAGGGGTTCTGGAGCGAAGTGGCCGAGTTGGCATTCTCGGCATCGGATCCGGTGACGGCTGGGTCGACGAGGGGCACGATGCCGCGGAGAGCCTCGGTGGCAGGGAGAGAGGCGTCGCCGCAGATGGCGGGGACGCTGACGACGAAGGGGTTGAAGTTCTGCTCGGCGGCAACGACACCCTTGGCAGCGTCGAGAACGTCGGCACCGGTACCGAGGGCGGCAATCTTGTCGGCGAGGGTCAACTTATCGCAGGGGTCGGCGGCGGCGAGGAGGACACCCGGGATACCTCCAGCGAGAGTGGCGGCTTCACCGGCGTTGCCAGCCTGCAGAGAAGAGACGGCTTGAACGGGGACCTGCTCCTGGCCGAAGCGGGCTTCAACGGCGGCCAGAACGGCGGAGATGAGAAGGATCTTGGAGTAAGACATATTTCTGGTTTGAGGTTGTGAGGATATGGTTGAAGCAACGTTTACTGGGTGTCGAAGAATCGAACGGGGTTTAGAAGTTAAAGGTTGAAAAAGATTGTAATAGACCGGCTAGCGGTTTGTAGTTGGATCAGGACCAGAAAGAGTGTCGAGAACGTAAAAAAGTTCACAGAACTGAAAGATTGAAGAGTAGAGAAGGATGTTTGTTGGTTGCTGGATGAGGAGGGAAGGAAGAGAGTTGGGATGACAGGCGATATCATCAACATTATATAGATCTAAGAGACTCAGGTGTCAGACGAGTTGTTTCCATGATGCCACGGCTCTGGCGCATAGGCAAGAAGGGGGCAAGACGAGACAGTCTGCGACGATGACAACCCATGACGGGCATCTCCCCATCCCTTCTCGATGCCGTTCCCACTACCTCATACATGGGATCGTAGCCGAGAACGCGAGCCTGCTCTGCCTGCTTTCCGTCTTGCTCAGCCATCAGTAAACGCCGCCTCGTGGGAGAGTACGACTAGGTCGACGTCGCAACGTGCCGCAGACTCCAGAGTCCTACTCATGGCCCCGACCACCCCCTTAGCGACGATCATACTACAGCAATGGCACGAAATAGCCATGGTGCGGCAAGGACGTCACGGCCACTACAGTGGCCCAAGTCGTCCGCGTGCCGCAAAGTGTCGTCCCAACTGGCCTCACACGCACAGTTTGTCTCATGTCGCCTGGATCGAGGATTCACCCAGGGAGCATGGGGGTTCGGATGGCCGCCTCCGTCCAGTCTCTTTTGTTCGGGAACGCGGCCGAATTGACATGGAGGTGCCCTGCTGCCAACTCGTGGTTGCTTCAGATTCTGCATGCGCCTAGCCGCTGCCTCTTGATGGGGTTGCGCTGACTAGAAGTGGTTCAGACCGGGGCGATGACGGCTTGTAGCGAGCTCAACGAGAGAGTTAAGTTAGAGCCCCTGGTCAAAAAATAGCCAAAACGATGAAAGAAAAATGGCGTCAATGGGGAGAAAACCCAACAACATGGATCATCTGGAGGCGAAGGGATTCGAGAAAGGGGGTCTCTGCGCAACAGTGATGTGACAGAGGACCATTCAGGGATTAGCGTCCCCCAGGCCCCTAACGCACCCCGGGCCGAGCGCATTACATCCCTGTAGCTTTCGGGGCCGAAGCGATGAAGAAGACGAGAGAAGAAGTCTTCTCCAGCACGCTAAAACTCCCCCGGCACAGTTTAAAACGCGGCATCGTGAGATAGAATCCACCATCATGGGGCCTCCACTTGGAAGAGGCATGAGGTTGACTTGGACACCCGGCAATTGTCCACCATTCAGATCCTTTCTGTCCAGCTTGCTCCACCAGCTTCGGCTACCACGAGAGGGGAGCTTGCGACGTGATGCTCTGGAGGTTTAGAGACTGTATCCTGTGAGAGGGGAACATAACGACAGTGAGCTGGTTTTGAGGGCTCTGCGACACTGAAGAGAAGTTGTGCTGTGATGGTCATGCTGACAGGAGAAGCACTGGGGCTTTTGGACGATGGGATGACATTGAACCTTTTGTCAAGTGCCATCCGATGGAAAGCTAAACCTCAGTCTACAGACCAGAGCTGTCGAAGCATGCGTCGTACTGGTGCGAAAGAAAATGGTGCTGGGTTGCATTGCCTCGTACGAGTCGTAGCCTTAAGCTCATCAGGAACCGAAGGTGGCTGCTGAGAGGCTGAGAGCCTGAAATGCGTTAGGGCCCGTGTCACGCATGGCCCAGTAGCCTGAAGGTCGGTTAATTAAAAGTAATCTATCGCCAGTGCTTGTATTGTGGGCGGTAGTTGGTCCTCCCGGTTGACAGGTCCGATTAATTAAGTGAACCCGTGGCTCTGGTCCTCACATATCCTCCCCAGACGATCCAGTTGTGAAAGATTGAGAGCTTGTTTTTTGGACATGTCAATTTCCCCGTAAATGATGTTCAATGGGACGAAATGCATGTTGCAAGTTCACTGTAACGAGAAACAAGTCGTTGATCTGCGCAATCATTATGTGGTTTTGCTTGCTCATAGCGTCTTCCCTTGCCGTCGATCCAGATTGACTTTCTATGCTCGCTGGCAGCTGTCAGTCTTACTTGGCTCTTGCATCGTACCCAATGCCTCTGCTCCCAGTCTCACTCTTCACTTTCTCCCTGTTACCTTGCTCTCTAGCCACTGCCCAGCAACGCGCGGGCTAGAGATCAACACAACTCGCATGGATGGTATTGCAGAATACGACGCGAGACCTGCTAAGCCTAATGAACCCCATGACCGTTGCGGCAACGTTCGCTTCGCAAGCGCCTATTTCTCCATATCTCCCCCTTTGGCTCCGGCAAAAGACTTGCCGTAGCCCTAGCTAAATTGCATCGGTTCTCTAGCCTACCAAGAACAGCAAGTCAACGGTTGACCGCCATTGACAATGTCCAGTCCAGCCACAAAAAGTCAGGGTCTGGCAGGGATCTGTGCCATCCCTGGGCCCGCTGTCCGTCCCATTTGGGCAATCCCAGATTTCGAGATCGCATCGATCAAACAGCCTCATCAGGGGTTCCTGAGACGACTCCAAAACCTTATGGGTCTCGACCCGGTCCAACCAAACAACGACATTGAAAACCTTGCCTGATCAGGCTTGTCTGCCCTTTTGACCGAACAATACGTGCCGTCCATCTCTTACAAAGGAGTTGAGCAGCTGGTCAGTTTTCTCACTCAAGTGATAACATCCCAGGCTTGGTTTCCAACGTGGTCAAGACGCTTCACTTGCCGCCTTTTGGTTCGAGGCCCGCCAAGCCGAGGCAAGGCAAAGTTTCCTTTTTTCAGCTTCTGTGCCAAGAAGCTGTGTTTTATCCGTGCTTCTCACCATCCTTTTCCTGAATTCTGTTTATTTTGAGATGACTACCTTACTAACATGACCAATCTGCCGCGACTCCTGTGATCTTGGAATAGATACAAGCCGTCTTGGCTGGAACGAATCAGGAAAATGGCGTACCAAGAACCATTAATAAATCCTCATCCAGAGTCGAGGTCGGCATACTCCGAGTTGAACAAAGATAGGTTCCGATCTTTAATGGACTAGACGCCTGCCTCCCGCGTCCCTGCCACCATCCTACCAAAGTTGACAAGACTTCTCGACGCTTCATGACACGGCAGATGGCCAGACCTCGGGGACTGCCGTGCATGCACTTGACATCCGGCTTCGGCGAAGAGCCGGTAACCGTATTAAGAAGCTATTTCCCTCGCCTTCCACTCGACCTGCCATCGAGTCAGGTAACTTGCAAGTCATTCCACCTCAACTTCCTCGTCCTCTGCTCATCGCATAACATGATCTCCCCAAGCCCCCCCCAGCCACAAAGCTCGCCGGACTTCCGAGCTGGCCTGAATCATCTAGATCCGTCTGAAGTCTCATTTCCTGCCCGTCTGAAGTCTAGATTCTTCCCGTCGGTCCATCTCCTTCTTGGGTCCTTCTAGTATTCACCTCCACCGTTCTGTTCCCGTGGCAGATCATATCTGCCGTCGCCGCACTGGCCGCGCCCACGTGTCGTCTGAAGCTCTAGAGCCCCATCTTGCGGCACTACGTGTCTGCTTGCTCAGCGCATTTCTCAGCGCATTGTGCTCCCACCCACTCACATATCGGCCTGATTCTCATCCGATCTTTGAGCCGGAGAAGGCATGGCGGTCTACCTAAGTCTCATGCCAGCATTATGTGTCAAGAGAGATGATTATCTGTTTCCGATATCGAAGTGCCTGAGATCATATTCAGCGACGACATTCGCACCCGATAACGTGAGGCATTGCTTCCACTGTCAATTCGAATCCATCCACAGGTTCTCGGCCACCCTCAAGAACCATTTTCATGCTACGTAATTTAGTCCGGCAACTGATTGAATCCAGTGGTTTTCTTTCGGCTATCTTATGTCACTGTTCTTATAGCAGGCACTCGAGACCAGTTTCGACTCAACCTGCGAGCAATTATTGAATCTCTCTTGACTACTTGCGTCCTATCGAGGAGACAACGTCTGTTAGACCCATCTGCGTTCAATTTGCATTGATCTCTCCACTCGTTTCTCTCAATGGATCTTGTTCCCATGCTTTCACATATATTCCAGGTGCCAGAAATGCCAGCCGACGGCCTTGATGTAGCAACCAAGAATCGTCATGCAACGTCCCATTTGGCACGCTTCTGGGAACCTGCCCAAGCGTCGCCCAAATCTTGGCGGTGTTGCATAAAGACATCCTCGGCAGCGCCGTGCCTCATTCCCTAAACGGCCGCCACAGTAGACGCAAAGTCTATAGGCTTGCGTCCCAGTGAGGCGGGCTACCCATTCCACGCTCGGGGAATCCAGAGTGTCTTTTCCGCCTGGCGTTTGACTACCGAGCTTGATCATCCTTAAGGTAGTAACCTTGGAGATCTCCTTCAGAAAGTTTCCGTACATGTTCAATCTCATCCTGCCTGCCTTTTTTTTTTGCCGTTTGGCAAGAAAAACGTAAGCTCTGTGACGTTGTGTGCATTGCGGATGAGCGCTGATGAGACGGCAGTGAGGTAGGCCTTGTCCCACCTCAAGGTGATGGTAATCCGGCGCATACGCGATATGAGTTCCGTCCATAACTCCCGGAGCCTTGGTGGTGTTCGTAGCCGGCTCGGTCTCAGATTCGGGTCGTTGAGTTCGCTCAAGGAAAACCAGCATGATGGCTCAAATTGGAAGTCGTTCTTGGCAAATAAGAGGTCCATCACTTCGTTTCGTATTGTTCCCTTTGTTACGAGAAGAGTTGGTCTCAAGCAGAAGCAGATATCTGCTGTCTTGGAACAAACGCGACAAACCACTCTTTCCCAGTGAGCCTCGCTGTAGATTGAGCTCAGGTTAACCCAGAGCCTCTTTTGTAAAGGAACCATATCTGAGTACTCATAAATCATGTTGCGTAACTCTCTGGGAAGACGTATAAATGCTGTGAATCGGGCATCCGAATTTGGAAGACTTGGTGTCCCTGGCTTGGGATCCTGCCCAGGCTAGAGGCTCCAAAGCGATTGTCGTACACGAAACTTTGATTCATTGTATGCCATTGTAAAGTTGTCAAGTGTTTTTGATGAGGTTGCAATTGATTCGAGTCTCCCTCCAGTCACTGTTGAGTATGGGAACTTTCTTATAAATAATGAGACACATCGCAATAGGTATGATACGTGTTTGACACAGAGTAATGATTGAATTCTCGCAGCTTTCCTTTGTAGCAGCGTTGTGTTTACAAGACAAAGACTGTTATTTGTTACCAAACACGAAGTAAATGAAGTTGCCGGAGAGGCCGTAGTACGGCAAGTTAGACTACCTACCCAGAGAACAATGCACACAAAGACCATTTCCAGTGAACTTCACATTCTAAGACTACCTACCTTTCTTTAGGCTATACGTGTGGTCTTAGAACTCTATCTAGTCTTTCATCGACATAGCGATCGTTTCCATTGATGTCAATGAAAGTAATTCATCTTTTTTCAACGCTGCAACCTTTGAAGACTAAGTGTTGGATCTCTGAGCAGTCGGCAGAAAAGATGGATCTGGAAGGCGGTATGGGCACTTACAAACGGCCCTTTCACTTATATCCCACTTCTGGGAGATCGTGGGCTCTGCCCACAATCTCCTCCTTCCACCTCTAGACGCAGCAATAATAGACCATTATTGACACTTCGTTCCAACCGTACGGTTGCCCTGCTGACGTGTATACCAACACTAAGCATACTCTCCTGAGCTTCTAGCTCCTTTCTCCATAACTTGATACATTTTACTCACTCTTGTGGATCATCCCTAGTGTGCAGCAAAAGTTTGAAAATCCATTAGGCGACAGATACTGAAGAGAAACAGGAGCAGCATGAGAACCTTCCTGATCCCTACGATATTTGTATGGACCGTAGTTTCAACTTACCTCTCATAGAGACTCTTAACATTCACTAAGGACTGTGGAAACGTGGCTCCGGGTGCATGCCAATCACATTTGACTTCAGCAACCATCTAAGATAACAGGTATGTGTAAGATGCTAGATGATCTCCTTTCCATTCTGGCCACCCCGCGATTTCTATCCGAGTTCGTGGATCGACGTTCACTCATTTGGTCTTACGGACCTAATTTGCGGTAATGAAGTATTGGTATACCTCCCCCAGAGGCCGAATTTCTCAGTAAAGATGTCCATAATCTCTCGAGACATTGCAGTTCTATTTCATGAACTATCAAACCGCTATGCGGACCCGTCATACTCCAGTTGAACACCATATGAAGAGAGGCCCCTTTCTAGGTGGTTCTTCCATATAGAGTGACTCAAATTGTCAAACAACTTCGTGATCTAGTGATAGCCGAACAGATATAATGACTGGAGTATAGAGAGTTCGGAAACTCCATAAGCCTAGAGAGCCTTCGAAGTTGAGTTGTAGTTGTAGATGGAAGACCATGGGCCAGTAAACTTATATTTCTAGAGGCCCAGTCTCCCATACTCTGAATGTGCGCAGTCACTTCGATGCAGCATGTAATGTTAAAGACGTATGAGTTGCTCTCAACCGCCACATTCAAGTCGCCACTTCCCAATGTGCCCCAGAGTAAAGAGCGATTGTCCAGGAAGGGGTTCGCCGCTTGATGACAGGCTATCGTGTTACTGACTTCTCTCAGAGGACTACATGTAGAAGCTAAATGATGGGTGTCAAGGATGAAAGTGTTTGTAGATTCCCACCATTACGTACCTATTATGGCAGCAACTCAATTTGATTCAAGGCCTCCAGATGACATCGCGCTCTGGATATTCCCGCCCATCATATTAATCAACCTCTGCGGAGATCTTCCTTGCAGGGCGTTTGATAGTCTTGACAATTAACTGCTCAAAGCTAATCACAGCATAGCAAGAATATGACCAAGTGACAGGAACCACCTTACCGACATTGGCCGAAATTCGTTGATCTACGTAGTTGCAAACAGTCGTGAAAAGGTTGAGAACCTGCGAAGTTTATATCCCCCTTCCTAAGTTTCAACCTAGGTACCGAGTTGAAGTATTATCCTGGATTCCTGGTCCAAGAGCGTAAACAATGCTCTTTAGTATTTCATCATGCTCAATCTCTCTCCTTTCATAAAAATACTAGCACAACGTAACAAGTTGGTCTAAGCTTCATCGCGGCTTTACCCAAGTGGGCACAGCGGAAGGATGAGCTCCGTCGCCATCTCGAGTCCGTGGCGGATCCGGAAAGGATCTCGCCTACGACCCAGCTATTGATCGCCCGCCACGGCTGGAAGCGAACCAGCAGATGGATCGCATGGGTTCGGAGCGATGATTTTGCAATTATTGCTTGCATGAGGCCTATGTGACAGGCCGCGCAGTGATCCTCTCTCCTGAGAGGATGACGAGAACTAAGCGAGACGCGATTGATTGAACGACTACCGACGATGTGACTGCGTCCTTCCATCAGTCTCTAAGTGCCGAGAACGTCACTTTAGTCAACTATAATTTGACGACAAGGCTAGATTGCCTTACTTCACTTTGGCACAGCAGCATTTATATGTACATATGCGTAAAGGTGAAAGAACGCAACAATCCTCGATAATGTCAAAGCACACTTTTGAAAGTGCCTGTAGCGAATCCTTCTCGCATGATCTTCTCACATGTAGGTTAAATAAATACCAAGAGGATTTGATCTTCGTAGCACATCATACAAAGAGTCGCCTGTCCCATGAGAGTTGGCTTTGCTGTCGACTTTACGCCGCATAATGATGCTCGCAACACCATGAACGTACTATCGCGACAACGGCATTTCGTTTCGCCGTTGCCACCACCGCCACGGTCGCGCTTAACGCTTGCGCCTCAGATCCCCAATCGAAGAGGGAGTCGCCAAGAGCCGAATAAGTTGTGGAGCAAATGCGCGGCCGCCGTCAACTGCTGAACAATGCATCGCTCATCGAACACGAACCCAGCAGGGCCGAGCCGATTGGTAGACTAGACCTTCCAGTGCCACTGAACACGAGGATTGGAATGCGACGGTGCGAGTTGACTCGACTCATGTCCCTCCTCTCCGGTCGTATCCGTGGTGTACAGCCACACTCCGTGCCGCGCAGATCTGGCAGCGGATCTGGAGCAGACGACGGGAGCTGAAGGATGGGCAATTCAGGAATTCGACCCCATCGATCGGCCGAGACAATGTCTGGTTGCACTCTGAACACTGATGACGAGCTCGAGTCAATCCTACGAATGATTGGAGATGGGGCGGCCATCAGAGTTTCGGGCCCAGTCTGCTTCTTCGCATCAACAGCGGCAATGTGAACAGGAAAACCTAGGGAAATACGCAATCGCCACTTTCCTCTCAAATGTTTCCCGCCCACTGGGCAGCAGCAATTGCGACTCGCGGCTCGAGACTTGCCGCGCTGAACAGGCACAGCCTGGGTTGTCAAGCTGACAACCGACAACTAAACATCAAGGCTTACCTTACTATCCGTAACTCTGCCGCTCCCTGTGGCCGCCCATCCCGAGAGGGGGGATCCAATTTCCACGCGCTGCGCACCCGCGGCTGGGCGTTCTGACGTCGTCTGGTGGGGGGACGTTTTTGTGCCCTTCCAATCCCCCCTCCCGTCCCATCCCTCCAGGAAAAAGCCCGTGAGGCCCTGACCAATTTTGACGAGTTTAGACCGGGGTGGAGCTAAGCGTTCTGTACCTGCGTCTGCCCAGTTTTTACCTAGGCAAATTTCACCCCCCTATAGCTGGCCTCAGGCCGCCCAAGAATCCTTCGACGAACTCGAATTTGGGAGGGATTTTTTGCACGGAATTATCAGTGGGTCGAGAGTCGGCACATATCCACACCGAAAAGGCGGTTCCCTGTCCTCAATAGGCCATACCAAGAGCCTCGGCGGACAGCTCCTTTGCTCGCTTGGAGATGTAAAGTGGATTCATCACCGCGAGCTCCGGTTCGTTGCATAACTTTGCCATGGGAAATGTGTGCGCAATTCTGTTCAGTGGAGGTGGGGAGACCAGCGCGAAGCGAAATGTCAGCAACAAAACGGTATTCCAAGAATCACATGATATTGGGTCCAATTTAAGTATGGTAGGTATGGTCAACTTGATTTCAAAGTGCGTATTGATGAATGAAACCCACCTAAGAGCCCCCCCCCCCCCCCCCCCTCCCGTCCGATGATATATGCGTATATACAAAATGTAGAGTGATCATTATCCCAATGTCCCCAAAAAATTCATTATTCTAGTTGGTTTAGATATCAATGCTCGCTAACAAAAAATAGCCAATATCCAATGTACACATTACCATTGTATGGTTTGTTTCTCGTGCGTGTTGGGTTTTACTATGAGGATGCCTTGATCTCCATCGACAAGGTCGGTACACGAAATGTGACGACGTTGGTAGCCGAGAGCGCTTCAGAACCGAGACCCATGTAACCCAGGTATGTCGATGTCGTGGGGAAGTTGGCATTGGTCATGGTGGTGAGCTTCGTAAGGAGGGGAGCAAGATCGCCGACAAAGTGCTCGATCGTCGCCGTGGCCATCCAGGTCAAGACGTACTGGTCCAAACTGTTCTGTCCGAAGAAGAGTTGGCTGCAAAGTATGTTAGTTTCTACTCCCAGAACCCCACTTGTTTCCATCGTGAACCTCGGGGAAGCAGCAACTTACAAGGTGGTTCCGTTAATCGTCTCGGTGGTGAGTGCGCCAGCGCCATTTTGGTAACCAATGGGCTGTGTCGCGGCGCCAAAGGTGCCGAACCAAACCATCACTTCGTACTTTGCCTTGGTGCTGTCCTGCGCCGAGGTGTTGTCGTCATCCAAGAACATATCGATGGCGACGTTAGTGTTGGTGTCATTGTCGGTAAGCTCGGTCTCGTCGGTGTTCGTCGCGGCCGCGCCATCAGTGGTATAGTTGCCGACGGAGTAGGACCACTCAACGTCAACGTTGATGTTTGAGAGCTTGGGAATGGAGACTGGGAGGGAGCTGCCGTCGACCTTGATGTTGGGGAAAGCGTGGACAGGCTGCGTCTCGGGGCCGCGGGGGTAGCGCCATGTGACGTAGAACTCGGGGGCGCTGAAGTCGGTATCGTATGTCTGGTTGTTGAATGAGGTAACCTGAGGCGGGGAGCGACGGGTTAGTCGCAGTACTCCAGGATGATGGCCATGTTCGGCGACGCTACAGCCTCAAGCTGCTTGAAGCTGCAGTCGAAAGCTTGACCTTGGCGATACCAAGCCCCGGGATGAAGAAGGGCGGAGGAGGGCTTAAGAGTGGACGTACATTCATACACAAGAGACCATCTGAACCTTCGGTCCAACCCCACTGGTTCGGGTTCACTATTACGTCGAAACAGAAATCGTCAGCATGCCGTTGTCTTGTTATGATAAAGAAAAGTCCGGGTTTATCTGCAATAGCAGCAAGGCCAACCAACTGCAGCGGACAGCCAGGTTGCGCCCGCCCAGACAGGTTTCGCATTTCAAGGGAGCAAAAGTCAAAACAAATCTTCGGCTCATGCCTTGAAGCATGACCAGGCCCGCGGGCCAGAACACACAAACAAAACACGGGAGCCCGTGTTGTTCCTAAGGAAAAACGCAAAATAGTTCAGATGACAGAGACAGGCAGCGCGCAGAGCATCCGCAACGGGAGAGGCTTGACTGCATCGTGGTGTTCGGTCCGTGCCGCCGCATGGAGCGGAGAGGCAGGTATACGGGAGGAAGAAAGGCAATGAAGACATCGCGAAAGACTGAAGAGAAGGACTAGACTTACGTGTGTACTCCTGACCCTTGGACAGAGGGTGAAGACCCATTGCCTTGTCGCATGATACCATTGCCGTGATGCCATTGTTCTTTGGTGTCGTGCCCGGGTTGTCGGGCTCAGTGAAAATTGGCGATTGTCCGTTTGAACTTCTGCCAGCATCGATTCCGATGAGGATACCGAGAGTCGCCCCGATAGGGACAGCCAGCAACACGAAGTTGACGACCCAACGGAAGCCGAGGAAAGGCATCGTGAATAGGAAAAAGTGAAAAGAGCAAGGAAAACGAGCGTTAATTGAGTGCCTTCTTCTTCTTCGACTCTCTCCGAACTGCTTGCTTCCTTGCTGAGATCCCTTCCAAAGACGAGGTTGCGGGCAGGCTCAGGCGGAAATCCGACGCGATTCGTCTACTTCTATTCGCAGCAGCGCATGCAGAGGAGCGAAAGTGGTGTCGTCGGTGACGGTCGGATTCTGGTTTAGGTATGGGAGGTAAGGCAATCGATTAGGTGGGTGGGAGGTTCAGGTAAGGAGAGGTTCAAGTCAGGTCTGGTCAGGTAAGGGTATGTTAGGGAACGCGGACGCGGGCCTCGACTCGTGTGCAGGTATCCAGGGGACAGGGAAAAGGGGGTGTGGGAAAGGGGGCGTGTGTGGACTATCCGAGCAAGTTCACAACCGTTGGGCGAGGCTTGCTGTGTGCGAGGTGAGAGACGCAATCACAGGCTACAGCAGGAGACAGCAGAGTCAGACAATACCTTGCAGTCAGAGAACAGAGAGGCTTCAGGAGAGGCTCGTTCGTCTATCCGTAGTCGGTACTAGGAAACCGTAGATCAGGGCCTGGGATTCGAGCGCGAGAACAGGCCAAGCCAAGTGAGAATATTGGGAAGTTTTTTTTTTTTTTTTTTTGCAGAACTGAGGCGCGTCGGGCAAACGAACGTCCAGAAAGAGTCTAAGAGAATAAGAACCCCTATCCTCAACCGCGGCGCAGCACGCCACCCCGGAAAGGCTTGTCCTCTTTTCTGCGTCCAGTGCAGCAGACTGTAATTACCTCGTCCTCCTTGCTCGTGCTTATTTTCACCAAGTTCTCTGGCAGTCTGAATCCCAAACAACCTGGGCGGAGCGCGATAGGCAAGAGAGAAAAAAATTGAAACGAAAGGACCGTAGTGCTGTGGCAGACAATTGGGTTAACGCCTTGTCCGTTGTGGACGTTAACAACGGCTACGATCTATCTGGGACCGGCTGTTTTTGCCTCCTCGAAAATAAAACCCCTACAACGCTGAGTTCTAACTTGTATACGGATAGTATGCGGATATGTGGTGGTCCATCCATTCCATTCCATCATCCCGTCGTTCCCCCTCCTCCGAAAGGGCCCAAGGCTCAAGCCAACTTCGCCAGCCAGGCCGGACATCTCAGATCACAAAATCGGCGATTGCAGGTCCTGCTTCTAAATCGGACCGGCCCCTGGTCTAGCGCCAGTCAATGTGCCGGCTGCCCTCGGTCATCCTTGCATAAAATGGTACCCGCATTTCAGAACACGAGAAAAAAGCAGGGATTTGTGAAGATAACGGGCCTGCAAGTGGATAAAAACCGGACTGCCATCGACGGCCTTGGACGCGGTCTCCGGGATGTCCCTGGCACTCTCTGGATGGTCCTGGGATGGCCCTGATTGGTGAACATTGTCATCCGAACAGTGGGCTCGGCCTCTGTTGGAGAAAGAAGAAAACAACGGCAAGCACAGCAAAGGAGGGCGTCACGGCGTCAAGAGTAATCAGGATTCAAGAGTCAAGAGAGAGAGAGAGGCAGCTGCCTGGTTGTGGTCCCTGTCTTGCTTGCTGCAGAGCAACATGGAAGGGGTGGGAAGAGGTCAAGGAACTTGGCTCGAGTCGCCATTAATGACAGTTTTTTGTTTTCCTTTTCTACGACCACTTCTTCTCTCCCCCTAATGTCTTCCAAGTGGAGACTCTTGGCCCCTGGATATGCAGACTCTCCACTAACTCACCCCAAGAATCAAAATAAAATAGAAAAGAAAACAACAAACCAACGGCGCGGCGGTCGAACCCAGCCAGTAGGCTTTCGGGGCTTCGAGTGGCTTGATGGGCTTGCTAGGCAACACAAGCTAACCTGATCCCCGGCGCCCGCGCGCCGCTCACACCCTTTCTGTAAACCTCCCACACGCCCCCCTCCCCTCCCTCTGGGCCATGGCTGCTTGAAGCAAGCGCTTGGCTGTCTCCCTCCATGCCCAGTCCAGCTGACTTGGTATCTGTTGCCAATGCCAATTCTGTCTATCCCACCCGGCTGGCACGACTTATCTACTATGGAAGGCTGTGGAGGAGAATCAGGGCCAACTCCAGCACAACCTCTGGAAACCAGAGAGTACGAGGGAGAATAGGCATTGGGAGGCAATAAGCCAGGTCAGCTTGGCAAGGCAGGCAGGCCACTCACATCCAATGTGGCACAGATCTGACCCAGGGCGAAATGTGAAATGGGGCGAGTCCATCACAGATACACCATCCTTGCGCCCAGACTGGATAGGCCGATGATGTGGGCTCCATCAACCTGGACCTCCCAATTTTAATCACGTCAGGCTCTCGTCGGATCGTAATCAGGGCAGTGAGGCTTAGCGGAGTCCGAGTGGGTTCCCGTTAAGTCATGTATGTCCCTGATGTGTCCGCGGGCCCCCCAAGCAAGCTCCTAGTCCCATGTCTTGCCTGCCAATTGCTCCTTTCCCCCAGACTGATCCCCTTCCCGTTGACCTACCCCCGAGAAGCACAAGAGAAGAGAAGCCCGGGCTTCCGTCAATCCGTCTCTTTTCTTGTACACTCCCTCCCCCAGACCTGACCGGCATTCTGATTCTTGTCTGTCAAGTCAGTCCAGGCTCTTGGGAAGTCTGTGTTTGGTGCCACTTGTGCAAAAGCTCCTCCTGTTGGATGACATATCGGTCGATGCTCTTGTGCTACGACTCCTCCTACATGTACTAAGCGGGTCGACTTCTTCTTTTCCTTCGATCCTAATACTCCTTCCTTTCACATCACCACCCACATTCGTTTTTCCAACCAAAACGTCCGTCCAAGTCTTGAGCTGAACTTGGCGGGAGAGAAAAGAGAAGGGAGAGCGAGACGCGCGGGGACTCACTATCGTTTTTGTTTTACCTGCGACCCAGCCTCTTACACGCACTCAGGCTGTCCCCTTGGCTTCGGCACACAACGTTTCCGCCCTAGACACGCTATTCACTGATTCATTCCAACCGTCGGTTGGTCAACACCGCAACCATGATGGGGGGACACGGAAGACCGCAGCAGGGTCAGGATTACCCCGAGGGGGAAATGGTGGAAATTGATGTTCTTCAAGGACATCATCACCCTCACCAAAATCAATATCAGCCGCCGTACCAGAACAACAACCAACAGATGCCGCAAAACCAGCAGTATCAGCAACCTCAGTACCAGGAGCAGTACCAGGAATACTCTCAAAACCCGTATGGTAGCCCGTACCAGAACGAACCGACCCAATCCCAGGAGCAATTCGGACGCGCCCTTACGAATAACGCACCTTCGCCGTACCAGCAACAGGAAGGGTTCCAGCCGCCGTACAACCAGCAACAACAGTACCAGCAGCCTCACGCTGTCTCCGGGGACGAGCTGTACGGACCTCCGGGTTGGGCAAACCGTCACTCGATAGGCATGGCTGGTGCACCTTCAATTGGTCCCTCGATCTCGGGGATGGACACGCCGGTCGAGTCCCGCTCGGCGACGCCTACGCTGAAGAGCAGCGCGAACACGCCGTTTGACCATTTGGCTGCCCCGAGGCATCCGTGGTCGACCGACTCCACGCCTAACAGCCCCATGGTATGATATACTCTGAACTTCTCAACGTACTAGTTCGAGGTCCGCTGACAATTTGGACAGAACCAGAGCCACCAAAGTTTGCAAAACTTGCTTCCGGGACAGGCCTCGCCAGTCCTCGCCAAGGACTGGGTTGAGGGCAGCGACCAGATCGCGAGACTTCACAAGCGCGACGACTCCGACATCTGGGGCGGCTGGAAGCGCCACGTTTTCCGCATGGTTCCTATTCTCACAATCCTCGCTACCGGAATGTACCTCGTCTACCTCGGCCTTCGTATCTACTGCGTCATCTCTGCTCAACAACTCGCCAAGGAAATCTACGCTCAGGCCTGGGTGTTCATCGCCGTCGAAGTTGCTGTTGCGATTCCCTCTATTATGCACAACATCTGGACCATGTGGTCCATGAAGAAGCGCCAGCGCCCTAAGTTGAGACTGATGGGCGAGGATGTTCCCACCATCGATGTTCTGCTCACTTGCTGCGGTGAAGAGGATGATCTGGTTCTCGACACTGCCCGCGCCGCCTGCGACGTCGACTACCCCCGCGACCGGTTCCGTGTCATCATCTGCGATGACGGCAAATCTGAAGGCTTGGAGAGCGGTATCGCGGCCCTCGCCATGACTTACCCCAATGTTCACTACCTCTGCCGTCCCAAGTATCCCGGTGTTCCTCACCACTTCAAGGCCGGTAACCTGAACTACGCCCTCGACTTCGTCCACACGATGCCCGGAGGCGCTGGTCAGTTCATGGCTGCTCTCGATGCTGATATGGTACGTTGAAACCAGCCCCAGCTCACTCTGTTTCCCAAACATGATCCCGTCACCCGCAATTTTAAGCTTTCGCCCGATGTCAACTTCAGCTAACTCTGAACCTGCAGATCCCCGAGCGCGACTGGCTCCGTGCCATTCTGCCTCACATGCTCATTGACCCCAAGGTGGCCCTCGCCTGCCCCCCGCAGCTGTTCTACAACACCCCGCCATCCGATCCCCTCGCGCAGTCCCTCGACTTCTTCGTTCACGTCATTGAGCCCATCAAGGATGCCCTCGGCGTCGCCTGGTGCACCGGTTCCGGCTACTGCGTCCGTCGTGAGGCTCTGGATGAGATAGGAAACTTCCCTCTCGGCTCCTTGGCTGAGGATGTTGCTACTTCGACTTTGATGCTTGGAAAGGGCTGGAAGACTGCCTACATTCACGAGCCCCTCCAGTTCGGCACCGTTCCTGAGGACTATGGCGGCCATCTCAAGCAGCGTACCCGCTGGGCCATCGGTACCGTCGACACCTCGTTCAAGCTCAACTTCTGCTTGTACGGTGATAAGGTCAAGCAGATGAGCGCCGCGCAGCGTTTCTCCGGATTCCTCTACGCCACGCTTAGTCTGTACACGATTCTCCTGACCCTCTCCATGTTCGCCATCCCGATTATCCTGGTCATGGGCAAGCCCTTGGTCGCCTACGCCAACTACGAGCAGCTCCGCTGGCTCATCCGCGCCTGTTTCGCCGCCACGCTCACCAACCGCCTCTGCGAGTTTGCTCTTTTCATCCCCGCGGGCTATCACACCGGTCAGCGTGGTTCCCGTTACCAGCTCTGGATGTCTCCGTACATTGCGCTCTGCATCATCCGTTCTTTCATTCTCCCCACTTGGCTCGGTGGCCAGACACAGGCCTTCAAGCCCACCGGATCTCTCGGCTCCGCCCTTAACGAGCGCGACCCCAAGACCCGCAAGGGCATGTTCCGCCGTCTTTGGGGTATACTCTTCAACTACATGGCCATCTTCCACCTGGCGTTCGTCTACCTCACCCTCGTCGGAGTGGTTCTGACCTCTTACCGCTGCTTCTACGTCAATGATGAGCTCCGCGACATTCTGATGTGCCTCATCACGCACGCCTTCTGGCCGCCCCTGACCTTCATCTTCATCTGCAGTTCGCTCTGGACGCCCATCGCCTACGCCATCGATCCCCCGAACATGCCGGACCGCGAGCAGCTCCTCGAGCGCGACCCAAAGACCTTTGTCGCCCACCCGACACCTCAGAGCAAGAAGATTGCCTTTGGCGGCCAGGCTGCGTGGTTCGAGACCGAGTTGACCGTCACCTCGGCCTACACGATCCTCGTCTTCGTCCTCTCCTTCATCTACTAGATTGCTTGAAACCAACTCATAGCATCGTTGTTTAATCACAAACATAGGCGCGGGACAGGCGGCGCCCACGGTACGCGCTTAACATTTGTACACGGCACACAATATGCGCGCATCACAGACGTACAAAACCAAAGATGACTGTTACGATAATGTAATGCCTGTAACTACTGCACATAGATCAGTATAGAATTACGCAACAATAAGGGGGGCGCTGAATATGTCATCATCTAACCCTGCTGGAAGGGAAATCAGGGTCAACAAACATTATACATATTTCTCATTACGTTCGAGATCAGAATACATAAAAAAAACATTCATAAAAACAATTCTCCACAAGTTCCAAATGCCTCAAAAAACTACGAATACAGAATGCGTAAACCGGTAAACCGAATTCGGACTCTTGGCGTAATCAGCCATGGGTTTCAGGGACGCTACTTTTTTCCCGCACGAAGGAGAAACATCCCTCGGAAAAAAAAACACACAAGTGTCCAGTTTTCCAATGAATGGGGCCCGAGCTATCAGCAAGTCTACAATCTGACTGCGTGTGTGCAACCTTGTGCCTGAGCTTGTCGAGCTTTTGCCTACCTGTGGCGTGCGGGAAGGCTGGATGCTAAGACAAGCTGCCACTAGCCGAGCCTCTTATTCGTCATGGACACCAGTTCGTCGTCGTGCTAAAAGCCCGCGCCTCGTTGAATGTCTCGCTGAAGTCGCTGCGAATAGGTACGCCATCAGTCTGTCCTACCTAGTCTCTAGTCTCTAGACTCTAATTTACCCTCAGGAACGCGGGCAAAACGCCGAATCGGCTCGATGGAACGGTGAGATTCGCTTTTCCAAATGGTGGCCCATTAGTGCCAGCACAACCCGTTACCCTTCCTTCTGCTCGCAGATGTCTCGCCGACGTTTTCTTAATCGCGGTTGTTGCGCAAAAATTGCTTCACAATGGGGTTGACATGGTCACATTAGGTTGCGCTGCTACCAATCTGGAGTCTGGTCTGGGAAACGAACAGCTGCCTGCAGGCCGTTGCTGTGTATCATGAGAAGGAAAACAGGCTTGGCTGATGTCGTTCAACGATCTGCCCGGCTGCCATGCCGTGTAATGGTTGCACCGTATCCGTATCGCTCGTTACAGTCACAGCCGCGGCTCTCTTCCGGACGCGAAAGACTCCTCGCCAACGTCGGATTCGGACCTCCCCCTCTCTCACAGACTCACTGTTCGAGTCCCAGGCTCCCGAGCCTCCCTCCCTTCCCTCTCCCTTATTACAGGCTTACGTTCGGCTTTGCCGCGCAGTGGGCAGCCGGGTGCCAAGCAGGTGGAGTTCTCCTCCAGTAGTGCAACCCCTCCCACAGTGACCGGCACCGTCCGCGGGCATGAATGTTGGATAATGAGACTCGGAAGGTGCGGAAAAGCAACAACACGGTGCAGATTGCAGAATAAGCTGACGGCCTGGCATTGCATTCCCCATCTGCCGCTCTCGCTATTCAATTTAATTGAAATAATCCTCCACGTCTCCCTCCCCGACTCCTCCGGTCCACGTCGTCCTCGGTCCCACGACGCAACGTGCGCGCCCAGGTGTCAAGTGCCCGTCACTCTCTGCCTTGTCCGACCGCCTCCTCCTTTCATCTTCCACAAGATCTTCCGTTGCCTTTCAAGTTTCTGCTGTGCCTACCCAACCGAGTCACCGACTGCAAGCCTTGGTACTTTGGACTCTGCGAGTCTTGAAAAAGGTCCAGCCAGGATTGCCGCCAAGGCACAAGTGCCAAGTATTTTCAGACGAACGACGGCCAAGGAAATTGACTTTTGCTAGACCGCAAAGAGGCACCCACCAAACCTGATGTTGCCCGCCAACGGCGCGAAGGGGGGGGGGGGGGGGGGTGTGGGAGCAGAGGAGCCCGCCGGGCGCCACCCCTGAATCGTTAAGGTTTTCCAGGGGCCTCGACACAGGTTTTTCGTCCGTCACGTCTTGAGCTGTCAGTTGCCACTATGGCCAGCCGCTGCTGCCTTTGGTTTAATACCTGCTGCGTACATACGATGGCGTGTGCCTACAGCAAAAGCAGATGCTACCGCGCTTCTGTTCTCGGTGAACTTGCGAACTTTTACTTTTGATCGTTCGGAAGTGGAAAAACGAGGATAGTCTATTTTTAGCCCAGTGAATAGGTAGGCAGATCACAGATGTGCTTGTCGCACCACGCGGGCAACCATCCCCGGATCAACGACTGGTGATAAGGAGGCCCCAATCACTTTGTCGATCACATGTCACCCGACTCCTCACATCTTATACAACCGTTGCTGACGAGATTGCTTTTATCAATGCCCGTCTCATCCAGAGTGGCATCAAATGAGCTTATCCAGAAGCAAAATCTCACCGACTGAACAGTTTGCCGATCTCTGGAGCCGCAATCATAAATCCCCGTCCTGCTTGTCCACGCGTTCAATGGGCCGGGGAGCCGTGGGTGCCGTGGGTGCCTGGGTGGGAGGGGACTTTCTCCATCGTGCCGATCCGGCAACGTCGGACCCCGGACGCCGGGGCAACAATTCTCTCCGGAGCAACGACGATCCAATGATGTGAAGTCTCCGGCACGGCAGCCCACGTCGCAGCCCGTGTGCGGGTTGTGGGGAGATGTAATACGGATAACATTCGTTCGATACCCCGCAATCAAGATTCTCATGTTGAACCGTTCAAGTCGTGTAGGTGATTGAGAGATCAAGACATGTTTTCTTCAGCGAATCAACTATTGGTCTAGGGCAAGTTATCTACAGCGTGTCTGCCCCCCTGTCCAAGGTAGGTAGTTCGGTGACCTGGAAGCTCCATACCGATACGGTGATGGTGATGCCTTCCAGATTCAACGTGACTGAGCACACGCACTACCTAAGGTACCTTACTTAGGCCTGTATGATTGTTTTTTTGTCGTGCTGTGACAAGCCTCTGTATTAACAACATGATCACATCCAGAACTATATCACCAACGACCTGATAACAACAGTCCCGTTATCTCATTAGTACGGAAACAATGCTGCTCTATTCCCAATTGGCTTTCGACTAAGTAGGGTAGGTAGTCATTTTCACATGAATAAGTGGCGCTTTCTGCTACCTACTCTCTGATATGCTGCTGTGCGGTCCAGCCTGTTCGTCTGGTCTATTGCTTTGTTTATCCGGCTCCAGTGTAATAGAGTTTAGAAATGAAGCAAAAGTTCCATCTCAGTAGTAACTTTCTTGTGCATTTTCAAAGGTGCCTCCACTGTTGGTGACGGAACCCCCACTGTACCTGCTCCCCCCGTTCCGGGAGCAATATGTCCCATGTCCTCCTCAAAGTTCCAAAACGAAAGATCAATTGGTGAGACTGCCCCAGTCATTGGACCAAATCCAGCCATTCTCGAGCTGGGTACGAAGAGTCCCGTTACCCCTGTCGAATGGGACTGTGACATCCAAGAGTTCGGTGCTGGCTGGGCGGCCAAAGTTGTCGTAGGGGCTTGCGCATCGAAAATGGGCAGGTTCCGAGCCGCATTTTCCAACCTTGTCAAAACCTGCGGCTCAATCTCAGTTGAGTTTCGTTGCTCTCCTGGACCTGGCAGATTTGCTTGTTGAGATGCGCTACTTGGCCTCCGATATGATCTGTCAGTCTGTGATCCCAAGCCAATTCCGCTGTCAGTAGGAGTCGTCAGTCCTCCGACGGGTAGAGAGTTGCGGGGATAGTTTTGGGTATGTGGATGCCTTGCGCTTGCTATTGGTCTTACAATCGTCCGACTTGATAACCATTCTTGTTGCATGGCATAGAGAGCTTCGTCGACCACCCTCCGAAGATGTTGTGATTCTTCCTCAGTTGTGAAATGCCAAAGAAACCCAGCAGTCTCTAACGCTTGTTGCACAACTTCCGCAGCATTGTTACTCAAATGCTCTTGGAAAGCCGAAAGGTCTTCGCACATGTCCGGGTTCATGTACGCTGAGCGTGGCTTCGGCTTTCCAGGGAACAGAATTTCCCAAATCGCGAACCACTGATTCTCATCTGTCTGCCCAGGAGCAGACTTTCTGTGTAAATTCCTACTTTGTTCATGAGAAATACCGTTCAGCGATTCTGTTTCGTTGAGAGGACAGGTCCACCCTCCTGCATCCGAGACATGACCGCGAAGACTATCCTCGTTGGCAAAGATTCTGAAGCAGCGGTTGCAGTAGTGTTCAGGATTGTGACTCCTTTTAAGATGCTGTTTGATGTCTCGTACCCTCGTGAGACAAGACCTCATAGCCCTAGAGCGTAAGGAGGATGCAGCTAAAGCCTTCCAAGCCTGGCTCAAGACCGTACCAGACAATCATACAATCGTCTACTCAGACGGCTCTAAAGCCGCTGATGGGGCCACGGGGTTCGGCTTTGTTATCTATCGCAAGAACAGACGTATAGCCCAGGGCTGCGGCCGCCTCGGCTTAGCAGAGGTGTTTGACGGTGAGGCGGAAGGGGCGAGGGCGGGGCTCCGACGGGCCCTCCATACCTCTCAGGGCCAGCCGATATACATCTGCATCGATAATATTAGTGTCATCTAGGGAATCCGTGGTAAGGTCCTAGACTCCTCATAAGCTGCTTTCTTAGAGATCTAGGAGGTAGCTAGGATATACGATATACGAACCTATTGGTCCCCGGGGTACCAAGATATTAAAGGAAACGAAGAAGTAGATAGCCTAGCTAAGGAGGGAATAACTCTACCAGTCCCTAGGGGCCAACTAGCTACTCTATTAGGTATTAAGTGGCTTGCTAAAGAGCGGCCAAGACGCCAATATAGACGATAGTGGAAACAAGAGGTAACTCCCCGCTATACCTAACTAGGGCTCAAGGCCACCCTTGCTTGCCCTCCTGAACTTGGCCTCCCTAGGGCTGCCCTTCATCACCTCCTCGCGGCACGGTCAGGCCACGGGGACTTTAAATAATATTACTAACGCTTTAACTATACAGAAGTACTACTTACCTGCTCCTACGGATGGGTTAAGGAGGCAGACTATCTAGTCTACTGCCGAAAGACCCTACTGAGGAGGTAACAGTGGCCTATCCTCTACCCCTATAGCCGCCAGGAGCCCGTAGGACCTATAGGGTCCCTCGATCGCTACTTCAAGGGGCTAATCACTGACTCTGAAGGCTTCCAGGCCTTCCTCTGCGTGACAGACTTCTTCCAGAAGATCTGCCCGCGGTACTAGGAGATAGGTCATAACCTATCCTCCAAACAACAAACTACCTCTATTAAGAAACCAGATGGTTATAACGGAACTAGGGCACCAGTGGGAACTAGGGATGGATAGAACATATAGTAGCTCACGAGCAAGATTTGGAGGACGTCAGGATACGGCGCGTACTATATAGTATATAGCTAGAGCCTGCGACCCTTCACGCCACATACCCTCCGGGAGGTCTGCCGCAAGGGCGGCTGAGCCCTTGCCGCCATGGCGTTAAATATAAAACAAACCAACAAACATACCCTCGTGAGTTTTTTTGTGACACAACCATGATATTTGTCGGTATTGCTTTTCCAGAACGGGCATGCCAAGGTGAGCAGTTGCTTTTTGGTTTCCTCCACTGAATATGATGATTTAGTTGGCTCTCTGCCCGACTTCAGCTCATTTCCTGCTTTGCGCTTTTTACTGTCGGGAAGTTGGAAATCTGAGGGTCCATGGGCCCCTTGTCTTTGATTTAATACCGACTTCGAAGAAGACTCATCGCTGGAAGCCGCCTGCCCACGACTCTGAGTCTGGAGTCGATAGTCATAGAGCAGGGTACGAGCAATGGTGTGAATCAGTGGCAACATTGGATGATCTTCGTGCAAAGGCTGAAAATCGATATTGTCCGACTCATCGGAGATTGAAAGAATATCTGTATCCAATGAGTCTGAAGAATCAGCAGCTCCGTCGTCACAGCCACTGTGGGAATTAATCAGACTATCTTTGCAGGCCTTAGATTTGCTTGGATGTCTATATGCACCTGAGTGCCACGGGATTCTCTCGATCGTGTTCAAGATTGCACCGGATGGTGGTGAAAGATCGCTGCCAAAGGCGGTTTAGTTCGATTTGCTTCCCGAAGAGAATCTTGGAGGCGTTGCTGACCACACGGAGTTCTCAATTTTGCTGATAATGTGTCGACCGATTTGGTACTCTTCGTGCTCCAGAAAGTAGTGGAGCACTACTTTCTGTCGTTGATACTGCGTCATTGTCATTGCAGGTCTCAGACCAGAGGAAAATGTTTTCGGTTTGTTTGGCGAGAGTGATGGCCTTCCGCGAACCCTCGAGGACTAATTGTCCCTCTTGGCTTGCGTAAATACTAAGAGAATTTCCTAGAAGCTTTTGAGCCATCCCATGGGACCTCCGTCCCAAGGAAATCTTCCGGGCGTCGAAGGATGGGAAACCCTCTAATGGCTACGAAATCCTGTCCTAGAATTTCGGCCAACCACCGTGCTTGCGACGGTAATGACTGAAGAGGCTCTTCTTCTGCAACAATGTCGAAACATAATATGTTCTCATCCAATCCTATCTCTCTCGGTCGAGTTATGGTTGGTTTGCGATAAACAGCCCGGCTGTTCTGTGCAAAAGCGGCCGAGAGCCACGCGAGTTGTTCGCCATACTCAGCTATGAAGTAAGGATGCCCTTCCACTGTGATAGTAAGGCATCCATCTTCTACCGAAGCTAGTAGATCAGGCCACCCTGGTGGACCAACTACAACACATGAGCAACCATCCTGTCTGATTGGAGTGACACCCTGCGTGTGCTTACTGATTTGAGGCGTGTCAACCGGAATTCGTGTTTCTCCAAAATCTGCACACAACTGTAGTAAATCGAAGGCCTGCTTCCAACTTGATGGCCATGTCTGATTCATATAGTCTCTTATAGTCATCATCTGACTCTTATCTGCGCAACAAACGATAATTGTGGATTCAAGCGTGACTTGTCGCAAAGATTTCGCGGTGTCGTTATGTGGAGAAAGTTGTTCTTTGCTTCCGCCGCCTGGTAGCGGCCAGTCGGGAAGCTGAAACTTGATCTTTTGAATTTTTGATGGGTTCTTCTCGCCACGCTCGAATGTGAAGAGGTTGAGAATCTTTCGCTGGATCTCCTCCTGTACACAAGTCCCTAGGTCATTGTCATCCCACCACAATGAAGCTTGTCTTTCCAAATACTCCAATAGCCAATCAAAGGCCTGGCTTTTTAGTATCGCTTCATGATTGATCTCTCCTGTGGAAAGTTCCAGTTGGTCTCGCGTGCCTCCATGTCCCTCTGGTTGTGTGTAATGGGGAGGTGGAGTGCGGTCGAGGTTTTGTTGTCCCTCCCAGAGACTCATTTTGTCCTTCACAGACATTTCATCATGGCTTTCGGTGGCGCCATCGCTTTTATTACTTTTGTAGCCAGTCTCAGGTATTGCCATCATGGTTTGCAGTTGGATGACGAGCTCTCTATTTGATGACTAGTTATTTACGGTTCTCCTAGTGATAATGCTAGAGGTTTCGAGCTTCACCTACCCGCTATTCTCATGAATGATCCGCAATGTATCGCGATTAATTCGGTCCGACGACTCATAGCCAAGGCGGACTGCAAAGACTCGGATTATACTCGACAATGTTGAGTTCCAAGATCGCAATACTCCAGAGTCGACAAGATGGCGGAGTTTACTCTGCATCTCGCTAGCCAGCTCAACAATGTATTGCCGCTCATGACTGGCTGAAACAGTGCTGGCTTCCGTATAAGAAGGCCCTGTGCTATCTTCTAGTCTGCGAGTGTCGAGGTCGGCTGATGGTCCCATGGTGTTTACTTGTGGTTGGCACGAGAAGTTTGGACGCCAGGAACAAGATGCGTCGTAACTCTTACTCGGATGATCATCTGTCCGATCCTCTGTCAGCAATATTGATGGATAATCGAATGTATCGAAACTGGTTCCAGAGACATCGAAATCGGGCATAAAGTCGTCGAACTGTGGCATACAGTATGAGTTTGCATCCGGGAAACTGCCTCTTGGACTGAACCCAAGCCCCGCCGGAATGAGGAGATTATCAAACGATATGAAAGGGTCGATTTTCACGTCGAGATCATCGAATGAGTAGTAGAGTTTATGGTTTTCATGACTTTCTACTGAAACCAAACTCGCAACGGAACCAGTGCTTGGGTCAGTTTCAATTGAAGGAGTTTGATCGGACATGTCCGTGTACGCTTGGTTTGTAAATCCTCCAAAAGGGGCGTATCCTAGAAAACGGTCTTCCGGCCTGGTTTGTGGGAGGGATTGATCAGAAGCCCGGCTCAGATCATTCTTTCCATGGTTGTCGTGAGGTTGTTCCATTGTCTTGCGGTCCTGATAATGAGGGATGACCTCATTAAGAATCAGGATATCTCGCGTAGAGACAAATCAATGGTACGAATAAGAGCCTTTGGGACTCAAGTGGGAGTAGAAAAGATATTTACAACTCACACATGCTTATTGAACAGCCATGTGATGAAAAGCGAGCAAAACGACAGGAAAGCATGTTGACAAAAGCGGGACACGTTAAAACCCCCTATCTCTGCCCGGTGAGGCTGCAGTAAGAAGAAGGCACAGCTGTGCTTTTGCGTCCTATTCGCCAGGGCCTGGGGGGCTCGCAAAGTGAACTGCGAAATCAGGCGACCAATCATATGTAAAAGCACTCCCGTGGTGTTTTACTCTTCAACTCATCTTGTGCTAATTGAATTGAAACTTAGAATATTTGCCATAAGTGAGTTGGATCATTGATATGTGCTGCTGGGTAAATACGACTTCTAATCACCGACAGCACCACTCGTCTGTGAGCAACTAATGTTGATCAAAGCTACCAGACGTGAATGTGCTCATCCGGCATTAAGTGCCCTAATATATAAACATGCGTGACTTAGTTAATGGTAATATAAAAGAACATACACTCCAAGATGGTATCATTTCACGGACTGGAAACCGAAAACCTGGTCAACACGTTATCAACATTGAAGCCATTCTAGTCTGCAGTGCTGCACTCTACACGAGCTTTCAAGTAAGAACGTCAGGGCATTACACCAAATTCACATCGATTGGGTAGTTCACTACAGATTTTGTAAAATGCCTAGTCAATCTAGATCTACAAAATCGAGCTCCACAGGCCAAGGGCAAGGGTGAATTCCTCCATGGTGTAGACTCAGCTAACATGATCACTATCATTAGTGCTGCAGCCACACCTCCCATGCTCGAAGACTACCTTGAAAACTCGCGAACGATCACGGAGAAGCTTCATAGCAGTTCCAAAAGTGGCAGCAAATCCGCCAAAGCTGTGAAGGTTAAGGAGACGAAGAAATATCTTGGCGATTGGCAAGGCTCTTGGGACAAGATGGCTGTGTCGAAGAAGTAATGTGAGTTAAGTCTAGTAGGGTTCGTACACTAACATTGTTGATAGAAACTTACCTACTCAGTGCAGGGTCTTCAACGGAAAGCCGAGAAATTGAAGGTTTTCTCTTCCTAACAAAAGAGACACCACTCAACCAAGAGCGAGTAGAGAGAGTTCAAGCTGTTTGTTGTCGTGAGATGTTGCGACTGAAAATATCATCGCATTCGCTATAGTCCAGAGTTTCATTCCAGTCAAGCATGACCTTATCATTAGTCACAGATGCCAATTGATTGCATGACCAACCCTTCCATAACACATTGCTTGCGCATGGTGACCTCGCTCTCTCTCTGAGGACATTGAGTTTGCGGTAGCTTAGAATGGGACGCAAGATCGTCAGGGGACAGTAAACGCTCTTTCCCCGATTCGCTGTCAGTCTGTGGGGTAAAAAGATCCGATCGATGATGACCCGATGACATCTCGAACGCTAGTCCGAGCGCCGGCTCGTCCCCTTACCCCTTGATCAGATGTGAGAGTAATGAAGATATATCCATGCATTTGGTTACTCCAGCAGTCTAATCTAGTAACTATCAAAGCCCAAACGTGAAGCAACTCGATGGTGAATAGAGTCATTACATATTAGAGGAGACCGCGGTTCGTCCCAACTCCAAATGTCATGTTTGGACTTCAGACCAACCCCCCATGCCAAAGCACCTTAGCTCGACCGTTACACATTTCAACGCCCTGCCTTACCCCATAGATCGTCGAAACCGTGGCTTTTCCCTCTCCAACCCAGAGAAGTCCGAAAATTACCAGTGCGGGCATTTCTTATTTCACGCCAGAATAAAGGCATCATAGACATTTACGCCAATGATGTCACCATCACCGCGTCATTGGGGCCTCTGCTCGTTCTCCCTCGCAGCATCCACGAGAATTCGACAAAACCTCTGCACTTCGCATCTCTCCAAAGACTCAATTGGTATTCCAAGGCAAAAGAGAAGTTCTACGACACTACCAGGATCCATTCCAGCGTTCAGAGCTCCCTAAGTACTGCGACTCCCACTCTTCGTGCACCATCTTCATCAGAACCGCACCTACACCTCGACCTCCCATCCACCTCTCAAAATGAAGAAACCCGAAATCACCGAAACCAAAACAACCACAAACTCCAAAGACGAACACTGGAAAACCCAAGCACCCTACATCGCCCCAGGCAAATCCCACCCCCACGGCGACGCCTTCCACAAGAAAGTCCGCGGCGCCTGCCAATGCGGCCAAGTAACCTACTGGCTCTCCAAAGACGAGCCCTTGGCCTCGAAGTTCTGCCACTGCAAAGACTGCCAAAAGATGCACGGCGCGCCGTTCCAGTGGGCCGCCATCTTCCACAAGGAAGACCTGGCGTTCGATAACGGCGTCGATGGGCTGTCGTTCTACTCGTCGGGGAAGAATCTCCAGGGCCATGATTTGCCGTGTAAAGTGAGTTGCGGGTTCTGCGGGAGCCGGATTATGGATGAGGGGAGGAACATGGTCTTGTTGTTTCCTGGGTTACTGCATTTTGATGGGGAGGAGAAGAGGAAGAAGTTTGATGTTCAGTGAGTTCCCTCTGTCTTCATGGGCCTGCTTGCTGTGATGCTGACTGTTGCGTAGGAAGCACATCTTTTACGGGCAGAGGGTCGTTGACCTCCCAGATGGCAAGCCGAAGTGGAGCGGTCTGGATGAGAAGAGCGAGTTGATGGAGGAAGAGGTTGTGGATGTAAAGCACAAGAAGCGGAAGACGGAAAATACCAATGGCGACTAATACGTCGAACCTCTAGATGTAATGTATTTGTGTAATATAAAATCAGTAAACCCAAACGCTTGACGCCGTCTTATGCTCGTGGTAATGCGCTACACCCAAAAGTTTCAATCTAAATAGTCTCAAGATTGCTCACCAGTTGAAAGTCTCTTGGAAGTAGTCGATTCTCGACCACCCACGTCCAAGCATTTCAACAACCGATCTGCGCGCATCGTCGGCCATGACAGCGGGTCCGCATGCTACAACAGCGAGACTTGCCTTGTCAGCTGCGGTGGCCGCATCCTGCACCTTCTCGCGAACTTCAGGACGCCCGTGAAGCAAGCGCACCTGCTCGGGCCACTCCTCCGGCAGCGCAGCATTCGAAGCGAGGCTGTGTTGCGTGACGTAGATATCGACGGACAGCTTCCCACCCTCAAAGGCGTCTTCAAAGTCGTGGCGCAGCACGTCCACTGCAAAACTGAGTTCGCGAACTGCCCAAACGATCTTGAGCGACCGTGTCTTTGATGATGCCTTGGTGAGTTCGGCGAGGTGGGCAAGCGGCACTACGACACCACTGCCTCCCACGATGAAAAGGAGGTCGTCAAACTGGTTGAAGGGTTGCTTGTGTCCGTAGGGACCCTCGACGAGGACGCGGAGGCGTGCAGGGCGAGGCCATTGCGCTGCTGCGTCTTCCCGCAAACGGCCGGTGAAGCTGTCGTAGGGACGGATGAGGAACGTCATTGATGGTTCGCCCCTTCTAGGCTCGTACCCGACCTCTGAGATGGGTTCTACATCGTGTTCTCCCGCCACGAGCAGGGGAGTCTGCTCGCTGGATGACTTCCTTCTAACATTCATGTTTGTCGTCGTGCAAGCCATGGTGAATGGATGGCTTTCCCAAAATCGCTTATCGCTGAGAACGTGGAGGTAGTAGTAGGTACCAGCTCTGGGCTCGTAGAAGCTAGTAGAGTATGGAACGTTGATGCGGATGATGTTGGAGTTGGCGTCGTATGTGGCGAGAGCAAATGTATTCCAAAACTTGAGGTTGAAAGATAGTGTCCGCGACATGCGTAGAATACGATCGCCAATCCAGATGAGGCAAGGTACCCAGAAGAGGATGTCGAACTGGCCCAGGAAGATAGACACGTGGCTAGACTCGATGAGTACTGGGAAGTCAGAAGACACAAAGGGCTGAAACCTACCCAAGCATGGTTATGAGGACAAGAATCGATAGTAAGATGTGAAGAATGAGGAAGAGCTCGTATTGCTTTCGTCGCATCCAAAAGACGGAGGCAAAGAGCAGGGCGCACATGCCAACGGTGGCCTATATTTGGAGGTCAGCACATGCTACTAGAAGCACAAGAGGGCAGTACTCACAAACCATCCTTCAATCCACCACATCTGGTGCCAATATGACATCCAGTAGTTCCAGTCGCCATCTGATGCAGGTTAGAGTTGAGCGTCATAAGAGGAGGTGTGCTTCCTACCATCAAAGACCAGAACAACGTAGCCGACGGAGTGAATGACAGCCTGAAGCGTCGAAACGCGGGCAACCCAACGGTGGAAGTTGTTATATGTCCCAAAGTCCCACCCGGTCAACCACATGAGGAGGTTGTTTCTCATGCCAAAGAGCCAGATGATGGGGAAGTTGGCGAACGAAATGATGCCGGTTCTGTCCGCTACGTAACGCCAAACCAAGTGGTACTTTTGCGGCCAACTGTGGAGACGTAAGCTACGAGGTCACGGCTATGAGTAGAGCAAGCTACACTTACTACATGTGGCCCTCGAAGATCCAATACCCATAGACACAGAAGAAGACGTTCGCGGCAATGAAGGTGAATATGGTGAGACTCTGGATGCGTGGCGGGATGGTGCACCAGCCGAGGTTCTGGGAACAGCGGTAGCCGAAGGTAGCGGGAACGGTGATGTATCGCTTCAGCCAGAGGGCAGTCCAGTGGAGGATGCTGGGCGACTTTCGTGAGTCCCATTCCTGCTTTTGAAGGTTTCCGATGGCTGCAACGAGACGAGACCCCAGACCGATGGCGACTACGATGAACCAAAAGACGATCACGTAAAAGCTGGGCATATGATATTAGCGACCGCAACCTAAACATAACTGACGGGAAGTTGAGTGCACGTACCCATATCTGTAATGATTCCCATATGTGTACTCGACAGATTCCTATAGGTTGTCAGTCGAGTCCTGACCCGAAGGGATACTTGGGTACCGTACGAGAGAGTCGAACCAGATTTGATAGTAGGCATCCGCAGGCAGCACCACCTCATTCAGCACCGTCGACGCGTTGGACCCCTCCGCCTTGGTCAACCTCCGCAAGCCAGCAATCTCCTCATCGGAATAGCCGGCGACAATCTCAAAGGGCGGCAGCGAGGTGTTCATGTAGGCCTGGCAGGTGTGGTTGACGTTGCTCAGGCCAGCGACACGGTGCGTCAAGTCGCAGTGCAGGTCAGCGCAGAGGTAGAGCGACTTGATGTGCAGCTGGCTCATGCACTGCGGGATGAGCTTCGACCTAGAGGGCAAGCTCCCATTGTAGGACTGGGTGTCGTTGAACTGCGGCTGGCGAAGAGTATTGGAACACGAGTCGAAGCAGACGCCGCCGCTGCCTGCGAGAGCCGAGGCCGAGGCGACGAAGAGGCACAGTGCGGCGATGAGGGTGGGCGGCAGTAGCCGGAGCCCCGACGACGGAGCTCGCATATTCACGGCCGAGTTGCGGGTGTTTGCATCGAGGAAGCAAGCCGACCGTGGGGTGCGCGGTGTTCCGATGCGCAGGTCCCTGGGAAGGTCGAAATGATGCCGTTGAAATGTCGTCGAGGGGTGAGGTTGAGGAAGAGACAAAAGTTGAGGTTACCGGGGCAGGGAGATCTCAGGACAAAAAAAGTATGGTGGAATTCGCTGGGTGCAGAAAGTGCGCTCGGGGCAGGTGGCAGGTGGGAGAATTTGATCTTATCAGATCATCTGATTAAGCAATCGCCCCCACTTTACTGGCTTAGGTTATCGCGATAATCCACCGGCATCGGCTCGCCGCGGCTGCAGCGTCGCACTTTTCAACTTCTCGCAGACAAATTCCCCGCCAAAAACCCCCATCACTCGGCAACTTTGCCGTCATGCAACAGTCCGACTTACTTGGATCATCCAAGTCATGCTCTTTGCCTGCTCTCTGAATGCACGCCGCAAGTGGGCGACTTCCCTTCGTGCATGTCTTGATTTGCTCTTGGTGCTTGGCGTGTCCACCTGATGCTGCCCACGCTGCGTTGATGTCTCACCAGCGGATCCCTCGCGTACATCCCGCCGGCTCCGCTGCTTTTGGGCCACATTGCGGGAACATCTTGGCAAAGGCTTCTTCTATTCGTGCACCAAACGTCGAGATCCCTTTGACCAGTTCCAACTAAAGCAGCGATGAAGGGGCTGTCCTGTCCCATAGACCCACCTTAGGCCACTCCGCCGGGCTTCAAGGAACTTCCCTTTTTCCCTTCCGCTCCCCAGTGACACATCACCGCCCGGGCCGCCGGGATCGCAACGGCTCGAACGTTCATCCCAACAATCATGTCCAGTATCACTGACTCATATTCCGTCCATCCCACAAACCAGACGAGTCTGGGTTATGATTTGCACAGCTCTCTGGTCCGAATAGCCCAATACATTGATATTGCATTTGTGAGCGTGGAGGAATACTGGTGTGCTTTGTTTAAGAGCTATGATGTCAGATGACTACTGAACTATCTATCTCGCCTCACTGCCCAACTTTGCCTCACTACTCTCCTTAACCTTGCTGCCCTCCACCATCACAATGCCGTCCTTCATCTCACTATCCTTCTTCACCTCACTACTGTCCTTCATTTCACTGTCCTCCTTCACCTCACTATTGTCCTTCACCTCACTGCCCTCCTTCACCTCCTTCACCCCCTCAACTTCGCTGCTCTCCTTAACCTGGCTCTCCTCCTTCATCTCGATGTCGTCCTTCGTCTCACTGTCCTCCTTCACCCCCTTGACCTCGCTGCTCTCCTTGACCTTGCTGCTCTTCTCAACCTCACCGCTCTCCTTAACCTTGCTACTTCCCTTAAGTTCACTGGCATTCGGGTCCAACGAGAGGATCGTATCCCAGGCTGCTTGTAGTCTTGCGGTCACTTCATCCGTCTGCCCTCCAGCCTCCAGGATACTTCGAATTACTTCCGTCCAGCGACCCCATCTGCCTAGGCCCCACCTCTCTGTGCCCGACTTTTTCATGTCCTCGTAGATGGTCTTTCCGGCGTGAATCAACCAATTGGACGCCACCAACAGTCTGCATTCACCGAGCTTTCCAGTAGGGAGGGGCTTCTCAAGCGCGAGCTCCACATCAATACTCGGCCATTTCGTGGAAGATTCATTCGAATTGTGTGCTTTGGAGCCAACAAACCGAGCCAAGAAACAGGAATAGTTGACCCACTCATCGCAAATGAGGATGAAATCCTCCTTTGCCTCAGGTTTGGTCGGTTCAGCTCGGTCGGATGCTTATTACAACAATGAGAAAAGATGTCATAATGATATGATGTTGGTTTGACTTACCAAACTTTGCATTCCATTTATCCTCGGTCCTTTCCCCCCAGGCTGTATCATCATGGTATGCAATCCACTCTCTCTATAGAAACCGTGAGCAACGACTTTTGTGAAAAGGGAAAATAAAAGGAAGATGGAAACAAGAACGTACACCATGGCTCAGGTAAGTTACCTGGGGCAGCTTTTGCAAGTCGATCATGAGGTGCACTAAGCAGTCTTGACGAGGGTCGTCATAACGCAACAGCCACGCCTGTTCGAGAATCGTCTCATAAAGCCCATAAAGATACATGTGCCAGCCTTTGTCTTCCAATCTGTAAGGCATGTTGAGAGGATCCGTCCTCGAAGGGAGGTACTTGGCCCAGTAATCTGCTCCTATGCGGAGTGAAGCTTCAAGAGTGGCCAAGTACCCCTTTTCAGGGAACGAGAGAAGCATTTTGAGAATGATGGAAGCATATTCTGATTCTTTGTCATCTCCCCAGCTTTCTTGGATGGCAATGATCTCGTCGAGCGCGGCTCTCCAAGGTTCGATGGGTGATGTTGCTTTGGGCTCTGCACTGCTGCTGGTGCTAACAACTACCATAATGTTGAGTGCAATGCAATTTGAGGTTTCGTGATATGTGAGGCTTGATGGTTTATAAAATGATGTGATAGTACAATTGATGGAGAAATGTTGAAGAGTTGTTGACTTGAAGCCTTGGGGAATGGGAAGAACCAACGTTTAAAAGATGAGGCAGGAGGCAGCCTGGGCCTGTGAGTTTCTGAGGAGAGAGCAAGTTTCGCTGTTGGAGAGGTCTCCTCACGTGGCCGGGGTGGTAAGTGGTCACGCATATTAAGCGCCGACCGTTGCACAGCCCACCCAACGGTTTGCTCAACTGCAGCTGTGGGAAACCCAAGACACCAGTCCATTTCTACTTCTGCAAGCGTGGACGCAAGGCTACACCGCGCTACCTCCGCCAACGTATGGCCAAAGTAAGCATTGATTTCTTGTTAGGCTCTGCTAAGGGAGCCTCTCTTCTATGCGAATGGATAGAGGAGACCAATTTCTTTTCCGAAATTTGCCCGAGTCATTGAACAGGAACGTTAGGTGAAGACGGTAGCCTGTAACATAGTTTAGATTAGCATAGACCATGTCGGCATAGCGCCCGGCACGTCCTTTTGTTACCAGACGTTAAATACATCATCATCATCATCATCAGCCCACCCAACGAGCGCATCGCCGAACCACCGTGCCGGTACCGCGGCGGCCTCACAGCCAGGGTCCGAAACCTGCCGGGTCACCGAGCACACCGGCCAAACCAACACGAAATCTAACAGACGAACAGCAATTGGATCTTCTGCGACTTTGGAACATGTCTCTTCGGGGAGCAATTCTGGGAGCAGGGTTATTTTTTCCGCGCTTGTCAGTTCATCAATCGTTCGACGTTAGAAGGGGTCACTTTTTCTTGGTGACCCAACCAACATGATTTGTGAATTGACAAGCAGTCATTGGCCCGTCAGTGACTTTCCCACGCAGCTTTTCGGGCGGCAATGTTGGAACTAGGGTTTTTTTCTCTCGCACTTCTCGGTCAATTGATCAGCGCTTCAATCCACGCACCCAACTTAACTCCAACCTTCGTGTCCATTGGTCGACTGGCAAGATTCTGGAAGTTGACTGGCCTGATTGTTTGCCTGGGTGTTTGGGTTGTGGGTTGCTTTGAGTGAAGCGCTGTGATTGATCGTTTGCAGTTGGAAGAGGGCTTCTGTTCTCGACCCATCTAACATCTCGTTGCTAATCATGGTAAACGCCGTGATTCCTGAAGATGTCGAGCCGAGAGACTCGAGGCCTAGCTTACCTCTACTTAAAAGAGTTCGAAATGTCTCTTCTCGTAGGTTTTTTTTCATTGCTCAGAGCATCCACATCCTGGAGAAGTGGTATTTTCTTTCCTGCTTCTTCTTGAGTTGAAATACTGCATTAACCGCGATATCTGAAATTTTATCATCATTGTACTCTTTTTTCTCTTGTCCGAATACCCTATCTTCCATTACTTCCTACAAATCAACAAGATGGGCAACAAGCAGTCTACACCGCAGAGACGCAATACGGACAACACCGAGGAGCAACTTGTGAGTCTCACAACTCGCCAGCTTGAATTTTCTACTCTTTCCTGAGAAGACATGGCAAATGGCATTCACGCCGTCTAGACGCTTATTGGCTAACTTGGCGGCTCTGAACAGCAATATCATACGCCTCGCGGTCCGGTTGCTGCGAAGGATTTGTCTCAACATCTTGAGAGTGTGCCTCCGCCCGGTACACGCACGCGATCCCAATACCCTCACAATTTCCGTGGTACCCAGGGCCGGGATGAAGGCGCAAAGGTCTTTGACGACTACGTCACAGGCCCAGGTCGATCTGAGGGGCCTACCGGCCCCATGCAGGAATACCCCATCCCGCAACCCGGCCAACAATTCAATTTCCAGTACGACCGCCGTACCCAGCCAGCGGTTCAGGCAAACCGAGCACTTCATCACAATGAACGAGCAAACGTGATGGGGCCTGCCTACGGAAATCCCCCGAACGATCCCATGCAAACCCGAGCTGCGGTTCGTGTGACACAAGTGAATGGCGACGAGAAAATCGCTGTTGTTGGTGTTATGTCTCATCCGCAAGGAGATCCTAGGCGGCTTGTGCGGGCACCTCTCGAGCCTCTGGGCCGTGAGGGCCGGCAGGAGATGACAAGGCACGCCGATGAACGCGGTCGCATTCAGACGTATCCGCCCCGTGGTATAGACGCCGAAGTCTATGAAACTGCCGAGACAAGAGCTGGAAGGGTGCGCCCGCCCGCTCACCCACAAATGAGGGTGTGATAGAGTCGGTATCAGTTGAGGGACGATGGCGGTGTATATGTATGCTGAGTTGATTGCTTTAGCTAGTTGTTAATCTATTGGGTTATTGAGGCTTGAAGTTTGGACTTCGTGGCAGAAGAAAAAGGCAGAAACTAGCTTCTTCGAGGTAATACAAGGCACTGTTCTCAACTAGGGTATAATTCTTAAATATACTCATGTCTCAATCAGACCTTTCCAGCAATACGTGTGATTCGCCGGTGAAGACATGCGTGCCGCTATGCTTAGAACCATTCCCCATCCACCGCACTGTACCCGAAAGACCAAAGACTAAAGTTCCAACTACCTTCCTATGACTGCTGGTAGCACTTTCCAGCCTTCGAGCTGGTGAACGATACTCCACTAGGGTGGTAGTTCTTCCCCCCATTGTAAGAGTCGCACCAGCTCTGCGGTACGTTGTAGCAGTTGAGAGACAGGTCGCCGTAAATGTCAGAGGAGCTGTACACCTGACCCTTTTGGTCGTTTTGGAACGTCCGCTTGGCCCAGGCGTTGAACTGGTCAAAGGCCCCGTCTCCCTTGGCCGAGAGGGTGACCCAGTTGACGGCCATCACTGGGGTGATGAAGGCGAGGAGGGATAACTTGGCCATTGTCTAGTCATGGTTAGTTGAAAGTGTGCGTTGTCTTCAACGAACATAAGGCGAGTCTATCAAAATGACGTACTAGGACTTTTGGTTGTATAACTTGTGTATCGAGCTGTAGTAGGGGGCTTGAATGCGGTATCCGTCAAGATCCCGATGTTCACCAATACGCCCAATCAGAAGCCATATATATACGAATACGACTTCTACTCATTGCATGTGCGCTCCCGGCTTCGGATATCGCGGACTGAACGCACCTCGGGCACGCCTAGTAGCGTTTGGACTCAATAACTCCTAGGAAGTCAAAATAAATGAGTTGCGAGAGTAAGACCCACCTTACACCGGCTTCAACTAGTGCTCTGACAACAGTTGTATTCGCAACTTAGTGATACGAAACCTCGAAAAGACATACTTGGGGCTTCCACATGACCACGTTAGCTAATTGACTATTTCTTCACATCAAAGGGAGTAATTCAACTACACTGTACTCGGGCAAGTTGCCTTCTCTGGAAATACACAAGGTCCAAGTTCGTGAGACTCTGACTCGTGCTAGGTTGAACTTTGACCGGATAGGTCGACCGTGCCAGGCAGAAAATCAACGATTTTCATTTTTTGTCGAATTCCCGTTCCCCCCGGCTTTTAGATGGGTAATCAATCAACCTAATTAGCTGGTCTTGAAAGTATCTCGACTAAAGTGCCGGGACATCTCTGTCCCCTCAGAAATCGGACTATCGGAGGAGTATAGTGCCGACATAGTTGCTCAATTCGGGTCACTTTTCCATGTTCTAGAAGTCTCAAAGCCATTTCCACTTTCAGCCGGTAGCTTTAGTACTAACTTTGTCCGCGGACTATCGTAGTTGTGATGAGCTCTATCTTCCCATGGACATCGTTGTCATGAGACACTCTTGTAAGATTATTGATTTTAGCCGCTCTATCACAATAATAACAACCCAACTGCTCTGGGCTGGGTAGAGTAGGAATACGTCACGAATGGAAATCAATTCATGCTAATATACGACTCCCCATTTCACACAAAACCCTCAAAACTTGGGGTAGCACCAGCAGTCGAAGTTGTTCCCTTGTCCATTTCCAGACCTAGCGTTATGTTTTTAGATAATGTACATGTACTTAAGTCAGGCAGGGAAGGATTAATGACATACTGCAGGCATGCAAACGAGACAGATCCATCGCAATCGGACTTTTGAAGACGTCAGTGACCTTATTGGGACTTGGCTGCCATTACGAGGCGAACTTACATTACAGAAACCAGCGCAGGCATTCTTTTGAGATTCGTATACGCATGACTTAGGCTGCAGTAAAGACTCAAATCAGTACGAGGCCAACAAAAACACGCATAGTGACAATCGTTCTGTCCATACCTCCGACGGTGCGTTGTCATTTGAACAAGTGACTTTGGCAGACGCCAAAGCGGCCAGGAGGGAGACGATGAAGAACTTGAAATGCATGTTGTTATATTGACTACGAATAGGTTTCGATGTGGTGATGTAGAGACTGTTGAACTGATGGAGGAAGCCTTCCCTTTATGTACTTCTAGACTTGTATCCCGTACTCTGCTTTTGTGAAGTCCATGGACCACTCTGGTCGAAAATGCGGAACTACTAGGATACAAAAGTCTAAATACGCGTCTTGTCAAGTCCTCGACATGACTTCGCCGAAAAGATACTCAAACTAGTAGTCGGCTTCTCGCATCGCAGGAATACTTCATCCACTTGCCAACAAACAATTTCTAATTAGCTCTCACAAGAATTTAGTCCGTCGTATTCTCTTTGCGGAAAATGCCTGATAGAGTTCGTGGTAGTAGTGCAGCACGTTTATTACACCTGACTCGCTACTGCTCAGTGCTTAGTATCAACTCATCAAGCTTCTAGAAGTGGAACGTTTTCGGTCTCGGTTTGCCTGAATGGAGACCAGGACTCGCTATATCCAGGGATTTGATTCACACACACACACACACACACACACATATATATATATATATATGTACCTGCAGGTAGGCTGGAGCTTTTGAGGCGTTATCAACGCAAGACTAAAATCAGTTCACCCGCAGAGAGGGTGGGTCTTCTAGTTGATGATTGATGTTCCTGGAGCGAAACAGTCGTGTCAGTCGACAGCAGATCGTGCTCTACATTAACATAGCTAAATATACTTACGAATGAGAGGTTAGTTATTGTTGGTTCACGGGGTCGTATACGACAAATAGTGGTAGCAATTATCACTCGTCTGTTGGTGATCCTATTGCTTGTTCTTCTTGTTGTTCTATCTTACATTGTAGGCAGGAGTCGGTCGAAGTAGGTAGTGACGGCCTGTGTGGTTGCCCCACCTTTATCCGGCCGTGATGACTAAGCCAGTTGTCCCACTTCGCCCAGGGCAGGTGCCAGCCAGCCCATGGTACCTGCCTATTACTCCTTATCAGCCTTTGCTGTTCCAACAGTTATAATCACTGGACAACACAAACGATCGGCGGAGATTGCGAACTTGTAAGTAAATGTTAACTTCCATTCGACTCAAAATCCTTGGTGAAGAAGCTATCAATTGAGCTACTCAAATCATGGCCTTCCTTTCTTGGTTTAAATGAGGTGAACATCCTGCCAACTGTGAAATCTGGCCTCCTGAAAGTCTTTTTACATCAAAGTCAAGGTCATTCCGTCTAGTTGCAGTCGTTGCAGTGCAAAAGGCAGTTCGTCATGCAGCCAGGGCGCTGGAGGGAGGACATGCGATCAGGTCCGCCAAAGTCTTTGAAACATTTGTGTCAGCGCCTTGGAACTTGATCGATTGATGTGAGTCCATGAGCGCGGTGGTGATGCTACTTACTGTCGTGGCAGGTGGAAGTGCACGTCAAACAAGTTCCCTGGTAAGGAGCGGCGCCACTGCATCCGGCCATGACGGAGGGGATGATGGCTGCGGCGATAAGGAGGATGGTCTTTGAGAACTGCATTGTAAAGGATGATTGTGGATTCGTCGAGGGACTGGGTGCCGGTGGATGAGTGCGTTTGGATAGGATGATGTTGCGATTGTAGTCGTTGATGTTGCAATCGAATGCCTCGAACAGGGCGGATATGTCTGCCTTTTATAATGTCCTCAGACCATCAGCAAGTATTGAGTTCTTTTCCCGTAGCCAATCGTCGGATCTAAAGCTGAGTGACAGAACATCCCAGGTTGATTGAGAAAATTGAAGTCCTGTTCCGACGTCACCAATCTCATGTTGGAAGGAGCTTAAACATCGCCTCACTCATGCTCTCGAAGAAGCGTAGCGCTGAAGAGTGTGGATAAGTTACGAAGGAGGCTGATGCAAGCATTTAGAGTTATCAATCTCTCTGCGGGTTAGATGATGTGGAGCCCCGCGCAGCGGCCCGCAATCCTATTCCCTTGTTCCAGCTCCAGGCATCGACATTCTGCCGGCCTCGAATGGCTTGGCTCGCACTCCCTCGCACTCGAGTGACCTAGCGACCCGCTGATATCCGTTGATATCTACTGATACAAGTAGAGTCTAAAGCTCAATCCACGTCTCTGGGGAGTTGGAAGGATTCTGTTACGGAGAAAGTATTGATAATGGTTTCTAAACTTTTGGCTCGAGTCGTATCATTCATGGCATCTAGTGTCTTGGCAGTGAAAGCTCTAGCTGCTTTCATTTAGGAATTATGAGCTACCTTATGAAAAGAAGTACCAAAGGCTGGATGTATCATTTAGCATGATTACATGGCGTGTTCGTAAGGGAATAACCGTTAAAGCCTCCTGTGTTCCCGTCCACTAAATCCAACCTCCCTCAGTGACGTTCATGTCCCTGGTCGGACTTCTCGGCGGTCTTGGAGGTTTGTTAGCGCCCTCTGGAACACCAGAATCACCTCTCGATACCCTATTGGATGGGCCACCGTAATCGTATACAGACGACACAGGAACATTGATGGCTCCAGCATGGAACGGTATCATGCTATCTCTCTTCCTTAGAGGCGTCACGGGTCCTCCAATCGAAGTCTCATGAGCTAGACGCTTCTTCTTCCTGGCTCGGTTCCAGATGAAGACCGTCACACCCAGCAAGATGCCAAGAAAAGCAAGTGCTCCGACGATGGCCCCTGTAATGGCGGCTGGTGAAGCTTCGCCAGAGGAACCGGATGTTTCCGAAGGGATACCGGGTAGCAGAAGACTCGTCTTCGTGGGGATGGTGACCCCAGCTGTGGGGGTAGATACCTCGGCTGTACTTGTCGTCTTGGCGTCGTCACTGGTCCTGGGTGAACCATTTTTCGTGGTGACTGTCAAGGTGCCATCTGGAGGAATGGAGTTTGCCATCAGCGTTCCGATACCGGAAACTGAGCTACATTGTAGGAGTGTGTAAGTCGCCGTGTTGTCGATCGAGTGCCAAGTCCAACAGTCAGTGTTAGGATAGGGCCCACTGTCCGTTGTTAGTCGTTTCTATGGATTATCACTGGGAAAACTTTTTGTCAGATCGACTTACCAGCAGAGCTGACCGGGCTCGCATCCCCTCTTGGCTTTCGCTGTCTGCACGCATGTCGTGGGTATGGGATTGCCGCAGCCCATGTAGGACCCGGAGGAGATGCAGTCTGTGGGTGGGTTGACACAAGCATATGGGATGGGTTCTTGTGGGAACCTGTAAGCTTGTGAGCCTATGCCATTCTTCTTGTTTGCTTTCTTGCATAACGTGGGAGAGGGGGTTCCTTACCCGAGGATATTGGTTGCGAGCGGTATCCAACCACATATCTCATTCGCTGCCGCAACGATATTCTGGGATGCCATCGCTGCCATCTTCGCGAATTCGTGACTGAGGCAGAAGTCAGTTTTGCATTGGGGAGAGGCAGTGACGAGAAATCAAGGAGGAAACAGGAGCATCTCATGACAGCCGTTTTGTAGTTAGGGACAAGTTTGATATGATTCACCGTTCAAGGCGACCTCGATCGAGGAGGATTTCAAGCAGTTGTGACTCCAGCGATTCACTCAGGGGTGAGATTTGGCGAGGGATATCAGATGAAAGACCAACATGTTTGATCAAGCTCAAAAAGCTCAATTATGAGCAAGAAATATTACCAAGCCTATGTGCCCGACTTCCCGATACTCTCAGTCGAATGACAATAGTATGGTGCAGAGTCGGCGGTACCAGAGCCTCCAATCCCATGGGTATACCATAACCAATATCCATCGTTACCAAAAACAAAACCACGCCGCAGCCTTATCAGCCCTCATCGCGTATCCGTACATAAACAGCATCGGAATGCCGTAGCTCAAGCTTGCTGCGGCGGCATGTGCATGCCCTCCTTCTGCGGCTGGTACCCCTGGACGATAGGACCCGTTGACAAACGCGCCTGGACCTCCTTATCCTGCTGGATGAGCGCGCAGCAACCGCACCAATAACTCACGCAGCAATCGGAGCTGCCGGAGCCCTTGATGCCGAAGCGCTCGCGGATCTCGGCGCGCTTCATCATGGCGTAGATCCAGCCGCAGCCGGTAAACCAGCTGATGCCGCACATGAGCAGGCAGTCTGTGTTGATGGCCTCGTACGTCTGCATCGTGGGATCGCGCATGCGCTCAGAAGTCTTCCCGAGGACTGTTGGGTGTTGCGTATTAGTCGGGGCTCTTGGGGGTAGAAAGTTCAGGGAGAGACCTACGCAAGCACGGGAGACAGGTTCCGACGATGCAGGTATCGCAAGGACCGCAGTCCATAAGGCTCGATTGCCATTCTTGGGTCTGGACGTTGGCGCCTTGAACGTATTCTTGCTGCATTGCCTGCTGGTGCTGGGGGTGGGGCTGGTGCTGGAGCTGCTGTTGTTGAGGTTGCTGTTGCTCGTAGTACTGCTGCTGTTGCTGCTGCGGTTGCATCTGAGGCTGCATCTGGGGCTGCTGGTACTCCGCCTTGGGTTGCTGTGAGTAGTCCATGATGATAGGGTGCGTTGCTAGATGCTGGAGAGAAACGGTGTCGAAGATGATTGTGGCCGTAGGAGGTTCTAGAAGCAGAGAAAAGACGAAAAGAGCGTCGGGGAACCAGACAAGGAGGGTGAGGGATGCCGTGGTCTGATATACAATGTATGGGCTTCATGTAAGACAAGACACGAACAACGCTTCGACAAACGGGCTGACGGCTGAAGGACTTAATACGGGCTGGACGAATGCAGACGGCCGATCACATCTCAAGAGTGGCCGGATATGGTTTAATGGGTGAGCCCAAGTAGCATAAGTCGCCCAGTGGTAACACAAAAACAGTGCCTTATCTCGTAGCTGAAAAGATCAAAAACAAGCTTCACCACAAATTACCTCGTCCCCAGTCCACGCGCGCTAGCGTAGGCTGCTGCTAGACAACGCCAATAGGCGTTTTTGATGACTTTGAGACAGGGTCGTGCTTCTCGCTTGGGGAATGAGGCTTTGCTCATGTCAAGCCTTTTCTCCGGTTCTCTTACCATTCCTTCGGCAGGCCCATGTAGGTCGTAGCCTTGGTAGCCTTTTGGACGGAGGGATGAATATCCCCACAACTCACTCACTTACCTGTCGGTTGGTTGCCTGAATCCTGTGCGTCCGAGCCAAAGCAAAAACAACTCTGAAGCCGAGGAGCGCCGGCGTTAGAAGAATATGTCAGACCATGATCCGTGAATCCATTACTCACTCGGCATGCCCTTCGTCCTCTCGTTTCCCCTTGTGGCTTGCTGGTCGAAGCGGTGATTGGAGACTTGGCTAACGGAGGCAGCAACTGGCTCATGCACCACGGCGGGGACGCTAGACCCGACGATGCTGGATGGCGTCCTAGGGCTGAGCTTGGCAGGCAAGGGGTGAGGAGGGGGATTTCGCGAGGCAGATTGAGGGCTGTGTTTGGCATTTCTTCTCATGTAAGGGGTACTCACTTCGCATTTTGTCTTTTTTGTGAGATTGAGAGCCGCTGAATGTCAGCACATGATGAGGAAGCGTGTGAGTGTGTAATGCGAGAGAATCGGCCATTGATCGCAGTGCATGTGGTCTAAACGCTTTGCTTCCTCCCTCCAAGTTGGGAAGAAATGCCTGCCGGGAAGGGGTCGGGCCTCACTCCGTCGTGTCTCCAATGAACGGGGCTCTGGACGATCAGAAGATGGGGCCAACAGTGATCGTCAAGACTAACGTAGGCAGACATAGATTTGAGTTCAACTGGAACCGTGGTGTTCAACATGAGTCGTGGAGAAATGAGCGTGAAAAGAAGCGTGAGTGAGTTGTTCATGGCTCAGCTCAGCTCAGCTCAGCTCACTGCCACTCGAATCCAATAGCTGCGACGATTCCGACGAATGGGTGGAAACGGTTCCCGATTTTAGGTTAGGATTTCCAGGCTGTCCCTACAGCGGTCCCCTTTTTCACGCCCCTTGCAAGTTCTTGTGGTTACACTCTCTCACCCCTGTCATCCCATCTCATCTTACCATTGCGGTGTCTCTCAGGTTTGAAGGGTCCCCAGGAAAGAGGTGAGACTTCAGATGCGGCTTTGTCAAACGGGCTCCAGCTCTAATTATGGTCTGTCATTTTCCCCGGCCTCACTTGCTTCGCTGTAGTCATAAGCTGTCTGTGAGAGTTGAGAATAATTGGTTCTCAACATCAGTACGAATAAATCGTGGAAAAGTAAACCGCCCAATACCCTGGGCATGGTCTCCTGGGGCCCTCTCTTTGCAAGCCATCGCCGAAGATGCACGGTACCTTAAATCGGAGCAATCTGAGGCGTATCAACTCAAGATATCCGTATACATCACGCCTCATTATCTACCGCGCCACCCTCGTCCAGATCCTCCCTTCCCTCATCCTTCCTCTTATCACGAACCCTCTTGCTCATGATGACATAATCCGGCACAAACACCTTGCCAAACCTCAACTTCCTCTCCACGGGTGACAGCGCATCAATCTCAAAACCAAGCTTCTCATAAACCGCGCGCGCATCCGCGTTGGCGATGAAGCAAGTCAGCATCACTTTTTCGATGATGGAAATGCTCTCGGCCACTTTGGCGAGGTAATCCATGAGTGTACGGCCCATGCCGGTGCTTTGTCGCGGTCAGTACTTTCGAGCATCTCGCATCTCGACTTCTAAGGCTAGAGCTTTTGAGCAGGAATGAGACCTGTAGATGCGGGCTACCGGGCTGAGATCCGGAGTCCCTCATCGCCCCAGGGTGGTGCTGACGGCGCACTGGGCTCAGCCCACCGGCTGCCGGTCCCCGCCCCGGATACCCTCATCCGGACTCATCCTTCGAGCAGGAACACACATAAGAAACTCTCAAAACTCACCCTCGTAATTCCTCCAGGAGATGGATCTCATAGCAGTACACCACAGCCTCACCCTCTTCAAAGGTGGGCATCAGGCTCGTGAATCCGCAAATTTTGTCATCCGCAACCTCGCCACCCTCTTCACCCTCGTCCTTACCAGCAGCGGATGATTCAGGCACCGACACATCTGACTTTTTCACGAGGACGTATCGCAGTCCTTCGCTTTTCATCTCCTTCATCTTGTGGCTAGGCCTCCACCCGTCTTTTGAAGCGCGATAATCTGCTCCACTTGTGTAGTCGATGAGGTCGAAACACGCTTGCAACTCACCCTGTGAGAGCTGCGACGGGGACTTGAGTGAGAGGGTGTACGATGTACCGCTTTTGGGATGCGTCCATTTCGTCCACTCGGGGCTAGTATTGTATCATAGTGTGAGATGATAGTGCACTTGTGATCTACGGCGGCGCTTGGGTCAAGGCGAGTGGCGACATGATGCCGGGAGTGAGACGAACCTGGCCTGGAGATGGTCCCTCACAAAATCGGCGTCGGATTTGCGGTTCGCTGCCTCGATGGGGTTGGTGGGCGCTCTACGGCGTTTGCGGGGAGGTGCCATTCTTCAGTCAGAGACGGGAAGATATCTCAGCCGGGTCGCTCGTCTACAAGGTAAAGCGAAGAGAAAAAGACAAGCTTTGCATCGGATTCTATAAGGATCAAGAGAAGTTGGGAGAGGCCGAGGATGTGAACTTGGTGTACCTTAAGGTAAATAGACAACCTAGTTCCACACTGGGCAACCCTCTTTCACCGAACTGAAAGTTGTCGCTGTAGCAGACATAGACCCTTGCTGAGCCGGGCGCTGGCGACAAGTCCCGAAGTTTCCCCGTCTTGACCTCATCCACTCCAAAAAGTTTCCACACCTCACCCCGGGCCACCAATTGGCTTTGAAAGCATGAAAGCGCAGCACTTTCATTTGATATAGGTGAGAAACATCAGAGTCCAGTTGAGACGAAACTCGACAATCTCACAGTTGACTTGCAGATGTAGTCGGATCCTCCCATTACTTGGCCCTAATGCCCTTCAAAACTCCCCTGTGGTCCATTGTCCGCAGCTACTCTACCCGGCCGGCCAAGTCGCGGCTCGGGAAGAAGGCCTTGAGTCTGGATCATGTAAGAAACTGCCCCTGTCTCTCATACTCTCTCGTCGTGTCTCTCCTTCAGCTGTTTACATGAGAATGGCGCTCAAGCACCTGGATAAATAATGGTGTAAATTGCGTATATGCATGCTCACACTTTCTGCAGTTCCTCCAGAGATCCCGCGTCCTATCCCTCTACCGCGAAATCATCCGCGGCACACGCCGCATCGCGGATCCAAACACCCGCGTCGAGTCGAGACGATACGCCCGCGATGAGTTTGAGCGTCACCGAGATGTGACGGATCTCGTAAGCTCCCACCTTTCCTCACACATCTCACTTCTCATCAATCACGGCTGACAACACATCATCTAGGGACACATTCGCTATCTCATTTCAACAGGCAAGACGGAGTGGCAAGGCATGGAGCGATACGTTGACGGAATGTAAACTCTCATCATTGTAAAACCAAAATAGAATCTCTGTATAATACACACCACAAGGTCTAATCCTCGCTTCGATTTGCTTCTACAGCTGCAAGGTGCCTGTGATGAGGGGGATCTTTCTAAAACTCCAGTGGGATTGGCATGGCTTCCCATGGTTCGTCTCCCGACTTTGTCTACAGTCGCGACATTGCTCACGTACCGTCGCCCACTGCCCAACGGCACCTCTCTCCCTCCTCTCTATATGGTACAAGGTTTTTCATAAACTCGACTCTGTTGATAGCATCCTCTCTAACCCAATGACCGGAGAATCTCTCAAGATTGACGTTGCTTGTGTCTGGGGTTCGCCTTACAGATGACGTACAGGTATCCGTTGTGTCTCTTGCCCGCCTTGCGTCTGACAATCTGTCGCATGATGTTAGCAAAAAAGCCCATAATAGCCTCTCCATCACAGCTCCAATTCCTCTCCCCTCGTCCATTCCAAACATCCTCAACTACGCTTCCCCCAGATCATCCTAACCCGGCCTAACCCATGTGCCTTCGCAAAAACCAAAGGGAAAAAGCTCACCTTGCAGTGCTCACACCTCTTCTTGACGGAGCTGTGCACCTTCATCCCCCTCGTCTGCTGCACCACGGCATTCACCACGCCCGAGGCGCTCTTTCCAACCTGCGCGAGCATCGACTCGCTCTTTTGCGCCGGCTGCTTCGTCAGGATCGCCGTCGAGAGGGCGCGCGTCGCGGTGGCTGTAGCCGTGGTGCCGGCGAAGCGGGGGATCGTTGCGCGGGCGGTGCTAAGGGTCAGGGCCCGGAGGGAGACGGCGAGGGTAGAAGCCATCGTGTAGTCTTTTCTCGAATTTCCTGGTCGGTGTTTGTCGGGTGGATTGTGGAGGGGAAAGGTCGGACAGGGCGACAGTCGAAGCTTAGAGCTTGGGTCCTTGAAGATCGAGCAATTCGAAGGACGTCAATCGTCGAACGGGAGCTATCCGGAGCTGCGGGGGCCGTGGTTCGTGGTGAGGCGTGGAGCTTCGCAATGCCGACTGCTCTGGTGGTGAAGGGGGCCTGGATGGCCTCAGTTGGAGCATTTTCGACGGCTTGGCATTCATCACGTGGTGCTGCTGTCCGTGCACTTATCGGAGCGACAACTAGGTCTTATCGCCTTGCTGCGGTATCGGACGAAAAGGTCCCTACCGACGATGGGATGATTTTAGAATTATGCTGCGCAGTAAATCACAGTCGAATGGAGGAAAAGAATGTTGTTCGTGTAAATGACTTTTTCTAATTGAGTATGAATGATCTATCTACAGGAAATAGTGAAAGGTTGCGAGGCTTTTCTCTTCCCCAAGTTGCACCAGAATGCGTGATATTTCCCAACGTTCCGTTTTCTGTTACCCAAATGTTCGCAAAAACTCCCAGCGCCGTACGAAGATCAACCGAGTATCTGGATTCTCCAAGACCACCTGCTCTAACTACGGAGGAAAGTCTTGAAGACGGCTGACTGGGTGCAGTCCTCCCAAGGATATCCGATTTCGGTCAAGAACTTCTCCAACTGATCGACCTCGTTGTCGGGGCACAGAATGCCTGCTAGGATCTTACCCGTGTCGCCGCCGTAGTTACGGTAGTTGAACAGACTAATGTTGAACTTGGGGCGCAGCGTCATGAGGAACTTCTCCAAAGCGCCGGGCCGCTCAGGGAAGTTGAACATGTACAAACGCTCGTTGGGCACATTAGAGCGGCCGCCGACGAGGTACCGGATGTGGCTCTTGGCGAGCTCGTCGCCGGAGAGATCCGTCACCGACATGTCGTGCGACCTGATGCGCTCTAGGAGCATCTGCAGCTCCTGCGTTCTTTGCGACGCCGGGGCCGTCAATGAGATACCGATGAGAACGTTGGCGACTTCGTCAGTAGCGTAGCGGTAAGAGAACTCGGTGACGGAGTGGGGCATGATGCTGGTAATGAGGTTGGAGAAGGCACCGGGCTTCTCGGGGATGCTGACCGCCAGCAGAGCTTCCTTGCCCTCGCCGAGGGTGGCGCGCTCAGCGACGAAGCGCAGCCTGTCAAAGTTCATGTTAGCGCCAGAGGTGACGGCCACCATGGTCTTGCGGCGGTCGCTCGGGTTCTGAGCGACGTATTTCTTGAGACCGGCGATGGAGAGGGCGCCGGCGGGCTCGAGACCGGCGCGGGTGTCGTCGTACATGTCCTTGATGGCCGCGCATACCTCGTCGGTGGTGACCTGGATGACCTCGTCCACAACGTCCTTGCAGAGGCGGAACGTCTCCTCGCCGACAGTCTTGACAGCGGCGCCGTCCGCAAAGAGGCCGACGTTGTCCAACACCACTCGCTCTCCCTTGGCCAAGGACTGGACCAGCGCATTGGCGTCGTAGGTCTCGACACCAATGATCTTGACATGGGGCGCCATGCGCCTCACGTAGACACCAATGCCAGAGATGAGACCACCGCCTCCGACACAGCAGAAGATGGCATCTAGCTTGGCCATGTTGATTTGGCCAAACAACTCCATACCAATGGTTCCCTGGCCCGCAATGACGTACGGGTCGTCAAACGGCGGGATGTTGATCAGACCGTCCTGCGCCGCTCTCCGGCCGCACTCCTCCTTGGCGGCATCGAAATCGGCACCGTGCAAGACGACGTGTCCGCCGAGACGCGCGACATTGAGATGCTTGATACTAGGTGTGGCTTCGGGCATGACAATGGTGGCGGGGATCTTGAGCTTGCGGGCCGAGTAGGCGACGCCCTGAGCGTGGTTACCGGCGGAGCAGCAGACGACGCCCTTCCAGCTAACGGCGGGGTCGAGGTGGGCCATCTTGTTGTAGGCGCCGCGCAGCTTGAAGCTGAAGACGGGCTGCTGGTCCTCGCGCTTGAGGAGGACATTGCACTCGAGTCGGTTGCTAAGGTTTACGGCGGGTTGGAGCGGTGTGATCTTGCAGGCTTCGTAGACGCGGGATGTTGCGGCGGCGATCATTCGGAGGTACTAGAGGCGCACAAAGTTTAGCGGGGGTCCCAATTGAGCCATTGAGATTGGCATTGGCGATTGATCTTACGTCTGGGTGGCCATCGGGCAGCAGAAAGTCCTCGGGAACAACCCCCTTGATGCGGTTCCTTCTTTCCTCTGGCGGCGTGGACGGATTGGCGCTGTACTCGGTCAAGGACATGCCTGCGGGCTGCGGTGTTCTTGGGCGCGGCGGGTGGTCGCCATTGACGCCATTGAGGGTTCCGTTGGTCATGACGGCAACGACGGGAGGCTCTGCGTTCTCTGACATTGTCATGATGTCTTGCGGGAAAGGTGTTTGGGAGAAGAAGAGGAGTCACTTAGCTCGGGACAGAGGTAGAGGAACTGTCCAAGAAAGAGTCACGAACGGCGGACCCAATGGACCAGACCGGCCTGAATTAAACTGGAAATTTGTTCATAGTGGGGCAGATATCGGAGCGCAAGTCGGGCTCGCGGGGTAGAACATCAGACGGTTTTCTTGCGGTGTGTTGGCCAGCGCTGCCATCCACGCCCTGTCAGCAGCATCTCTGGCGCTGGGGATTGGCTACAGTACCCATGTACCTGCTGTAGCGTCAGCAAGGGCGTCGCGCTCCCCTGCCGTCAGTGTCCGTCACTCTGGGAATCGAGGGCGACATCGCTGACACTGCAGACCGGGGTATCTTATCGGACATGGACTGTGCGTTATACTATCTTATCTGACAGGTTTCCGATAAGTCATGCTGATAAGAATCCGAGGGGGTACTGCCCGTGAATATGTATGGCTGGAGCGAGCAAGCAAAGCCACACGGCGCCGGTCGGGATTTGCCGCAAAGCTGCTCAAGGGTCGAGCTCTGGGCGCCGTGCAGCCAGTCCCCGAAAGCTAGGAGGGTCTCGGAGTCCATTTCATCATCGAATTCGCCGACCACTGCACTTTGGGGGATAATCGCACGACTAATTCCCAACTCCGCGATTGCGACTTCTTCAACCACTACAACACCAACTGCCAACCGCCACAATGCCCGGCCCAGACGGAAAGCCCTCGCTGCTCGATCAGCCTATGCCATCGTCTTTTGACGAGAACAAGTAAGTCAGCCTCCACCTTCGGGCTCTGCGGGAGCTGCACATCACCAAAGCCCAGGATTTGGAGGTTTGCTAACCCACGCACGCGACCCGCAGCGAATTCTACGATGAGCGCGTTCTTCACAAGGCATTCCGCAAGCTCAGGGAGGAGCCTCTGATTCCCCTCGGTAAGCAGCTGCTCTCCCCCATCCCGAGACCTATAGCATCCAACCCGTTCTAACCCAGTGTCGCAACCACAGGATGTGGTCTGACCGTCTTCGCCTTCGTCAACGCATGGCGTGCCACCCGCCGCGGCGACGCCAAGCAAGCCAACAGGATGTTCCGGGCCCGTGTCGCCGCCCAGGGCTTTACTGTCTTCGCCATGGTCGCCGGCAGCATGTACTACAACAAGGACCGCGAACGCACCGCCGAGCTGCGCAAGATCAAGGAGGCCAAGGACGCCGAGGAGCAGCGCCAGCGCTGGATCCGCGAGCTCGAGGCCCGCGACGAGGAGGAGAAGGCGCTCAAGGCTAGGATGCTGCAGAGGAGGGCGAACCTCGAGGCCAAGAATGCCGGCGGCGATGCGTCGGCTGACGGTGAGCAGGCCAAGACCGGAGGCGTCATCGGCGCGCTGGGCTTGTCGGCGTGGAAGAAGCCAGAGGAGGGCGAGGCTGCTGCGGCGGCTGAGAAGCCGATCGAGGAGAAGCCACAGAAGAAGGAGAACCCCAAGAGCTCGCTTGGTGCCATTGGCGAAATTTACGGCAGAAAGCTGTCGCCGTCATCCGAGGGGTCGTCAGAAGAACCCAAGAAATGAGGTTAAGTGGAGAAAGATTAGCACTCTGATTTGTATCACATCACGGCTACATTGTACAGTACTGGCATTGGCATCGACGTCTAGGACGGACACATTGTCTCATTGAAGACTCCGCTCCGTCGTATATAAAATCGGGGGCAGCTGGCGGCGCATCTGGGTTGAATTGAATGGTTATCTAATATCTTGACAGAAGCAGGAGATGAGATCACCCTTGGCAGATCTGACTTGTCACTTGGCAGGCGAATTTTCGTATAGCCTCAGACACAAGCGGCATGAATCGGCACGCATGTCGCAAATGACTGAGCCATACGGAGCACTCCGGGGGTTTACGCTTGACTCCGTCCAAGCCCCATGATGGGTTCTACAGTGACCCGGCGTGGACGGCATGGCCGTAATGCGGGAACAGCGGAACCTAGTTTGCTTAGTTTTGTATTTACAACCCAGTGGTATGGTTTGCCGTTGGTGTGGGTATGGTGTTGCATGACTCTGTGCAGTTGTGGATGGTATGGGAACCTGGGTATATCTGGACTAAAGATCAGTATTTCGTCAAAGGGCTAAACTCTGATAAACTTTCCAATGCTATTTGAACATCCCCTACAACACTCAATTGTCTAGATAGCCACAGCACAATATTGTGAGGATGGTATCTTAAGGGGTAGTTTTGGGAGGTCCCCTACTTAAGATGGTCTGAATCTCTTTTAACGACATCGGAGAGAACAAATACTCTTCAGTCTGCTAGCAATACCTCCATATGCACGACCTTCCAACTATCCACCATATACACTGTCAAGTGAGTTGCAGCTTGCAATCGGCTTCACCATAGGAAGCATTAACATCAAATTCGCAGCATAAAGGCCACCACGATCCTCGTCGCCACTCTGGCATCCCTCTCATGGACCGTACAAGGATGCGCCAACTACAAGTTCTGTCATTGCTACGATGACAACGGCATGCCCAATGACTTGGCAACCAACATTATGTGCCCCGGCAATCTGGAGTCAAGGACGGAGTTCGGCGTCACATTTAAGGAGTGCCACTACTACAAGAACTATTTCTTCCTCTATAGTGCTTTGGATAACTGCGACCTCAGGCGTCGGTGCAAGGCCGCCGGCGCGACTGGGGCGGACTCGAGTTGCAGAAGCAAGGTTGAATAGGTGAATCAGGGAGAACCTATTAGGGGTAGATGTCGGAGTAGTCATGGAATGACTCAGAATATATAGGTATCATGTTCTCGTCAATCTATTCTGTATCCAAGGTGTATGTATAGGTCTGCCTCAATTCCTCCCATCAGTTGTGACGGGACTGGTCCCCAGAGGCTTAAGATGACGAGACCTCTATTCCTAAGTGCATCGCTTTCTTCACTGTAGCTTACTGGTTTGAAACCTGTAGGCGGATTATAGTATTGTCATTCCTCCTATTGTTTCCCCCCTTCCTCTGATGTTCATCGACTGATACTACTCACATGCCAAGGTGAAAGAAGGCATCCGCAAGTGTAAGTCAATTGAGGTGGGAGCTGGCACTGCATTTGATGACTAAAACTCGCATGGAGGGGCAGCGAGCTCGGGCCAGTGACAGTGACGTTAGCGGGGTTCCTCCACTGCTGGGGGAAAGACGGGAGACCCGCACTGGTCTGACACCCGCTGAAAGTCTGGGCGCTGAGCTGTGCCATGCCGTCCCGTCGCTTTGTCTCCTGATGGAGGATGCACCCCAGACATTGGGCCTTCCGTCATCAACCTTCCCATACCCGTCCTCCTTCTCCCTCCCTCCCTCCTCCTCCTTCGACATGGCCATGGTCTATTATGATTGCGCCATAGCACACTGTCTAACTCTTACCCCCGACTTCGATGCCTCTTGAACCGATATACAAAGCTCACCATGGGTCAAGTCCTGTCTGACGAGAACTCGCGGCAGGCGACGCACGAGGAGCTCACCCGTGAACTAGTAAGTCTCCGGATGCACCAGCACCAGCCATCAAAACACCACACAGCACCCCTTTGCATTGGATCGCGATCACCCGATATCTAGCTTGCGCTTTATACTTACCACCAAGTACACCAGGCCACCCGATTCGCCGAAAAGTGCTTCACCTCGCTCGAACTGTACTCGTTCAAAGATGTCTTTAAAAGCTTGGCAGATAACCAAGGCGACATCCGCTACCTAAAGGAAGACACCCTCGCCCGCTTCCTCGAGATACCCGATATCCTCCACGTCTCGCCCGTCATATTTCAGATGGTATCCTACATTGGCGCCTTCCCCTTCTTGCAGGATGCCCCGGCCGTTCTCGGTATCGATCAGATGATCATGGTGGTCGTTATCATGACGCAAAGACACAAGCGGGTTCTGGCCAAAGGAGCTACGGATAGGGCCAAGCTCATCTTCAAGAGCCTGGCAGTGCATGATCGCAAAGCGCCCGAAGCTGCTGCCGCTGCTGAAGACTCCAATGAGGCGCCGTCAATTGAACCGCAGGCAGCAAGCCACGCGGCTGGCTTCGCAGTCGACGAACCTGTGGATGACCCCGAGGAAGACGATGACGACCTCGAAATTGCCGCCTTTGAGCTCCTCGACATCCACAATGCCGTATGGCAGGGCGATGCACCAAAGATGCACGGGGCCATGATACCCGCGGATAACTTCCGCAAGCTGTTGATGCTATTGATCCTGATCGCGCCACTGAGTCCCCAGGAGAGTCTGTCAATGTACTCCACTCGGGTCACGGGCGAAGAACTGGACAGCCTGCGTGCTACCGCAGAGAACATCCTGGCTGCGTTCTTAAATGTCGAAAAAGCCCCTGGCATCAAGTTTGGGCACTTCAACCGAGTGCTCCCCGTATGCTTCCCGAACCTATTCAACGGGTTCAGCCCCCTATTTGAGCATTTCCTCTTCTCCAAAAACTTGGATTTCACCAAACACAAGGGTGAAGACCCTGTGGCCGCCGAAAAGCATCCAGACGAGGTCGTGCAACCTTTGCTGCAAGACAATGCGGATATTCTCAACCTCAACGTCCTCTCGCAACTCTCCTTCTTCCTTCCAGGATCCGATCTCTTTAGACGACTACGGCTTCTGTACTCTGGGAACGAACACGGCTTCTCCACGGGAAGCTTTGAGAGCAAAGTCTTCAATTGGCGAGCACCCACCATTCTTCTGGTACGCGGCACTCGCCTAAATGACGAGCCCCATGGAAGCCAGCAGTCAAACTTTTCCGCCTCTATCCCTCCACGCCGCTTCCCGAACAGCGGCAAGGGAGAGCAACTGACCTTTGGTGTGTACGTCAGTCAACCATGGAAGCACACGGCCAAGGAATGCTTCGGCGAGCGGGATACGGTGCTTTTCCAGCTGGAGCCCGTCCACGATGTGTTCCCAGCTAACAAGTACAACTCGGACTACGTCGCCTTCACCAAGGCGCCTACTAATCGGCCTATGCTCGGCGTCGGCTGTCCCCATCCCCGACAGACGCAGGCTCACCGGAGGCAGACCATGCTATCTCTCGGCGCCGTCTCCCTGCTCCTCGATGACTCTTTCGAGTTTGGAGTATTCACCCACGACTGGACCACTGGTGGCGGCGCATTCCAAACGAGCACGACACGCAAGTTTGACTTTCAAGATCGGTTTGAGATCGAGAGCCTTGAAGTCTGGGGTTGTGGAGGAGACGAAGAAGCCAAGGCGCAGGCGGAGCACTGGGCCTGGGAGCACCGTGAGGCGGAAGCTCGACGGAAGATCAACTTGGGCACTGGCGACATTGAGGCTGATCGTGCGCTGCTGGAAATGGCAGGCCTCGTTGGCAACAACCAGAGTGGTGGCTCCATGGTTTGAGTGGAAACGGTCATGGGGTAGCCTTATCATTTACTGTTCAGAAGCATTGCCAAGACCAAAAGAGCAAGACTTTTGTTTCTGGGGGGCGCTCTAGACTAGGCGTTTATTGATTTGCAAAACACACGATTCCCACAGATTATCACCAACGATTATGAATCCGTCCCAATAGCGTGAACGTTCAACTGAGTCTCTGGCATGTTTCTCCAGCCAGTGTGCTTCGCCCCTCGGGCCTCAAATACTTTATCGCTTGTTGAGGAAGCGGCAAGGCTCATAAGGTCAGGCGAGTAACGTCTGAGCCGTCACTCTTTGATCTCATACGCCTTGATGGCTACCTCAAAGGCGTGGTTGATACCCTGGCCCTTCCAGATGTCGTAGTCGAGCAGGGACTGGTGATGCGGGTCCTTCAACTTGTGGCGCAGGGCATTGGCGGAAGCCTATCGTTATGACGAACGTGGTCAGCATCTCAGTGGCATTCTCAAACGTTTCGCAGCAAAGACGAAGAGCAGAAAGGGAGATAGGGGGCAAAGAACCTACCAATGCGGTGTGCTCGAGCTGCCTCAAGACGTTGAAAATGCGGTGGTTCGCATACGACTGGTACTTTGACACAGGAGCCTTGGCCGTGATGAGGCGGAGAAGCTTCTTAAGAGAAGGGTGGTCGCGTCGCCACGGGAGGTGAGGCCACGAGGTGCCGGCCTCTTGGGGCTTATGTTCCTCTGGGTGCGGTGCCGTGGTTCTGGTGGGTCGGACCGTGACTGTGGTGGTAACTTCGGCGACTCCTCGGGGGAGAACCATTGTGTGTGTTGGGAGTCCGATTGTCATGTTGGCTGTTGTCTGCGTGGCTAGGGGGGGGGCATTGGTAGGGACGTGGGTGATTTGGAGTTCGCGGCCGGAGTACTAGGTTCGTTAGGGTTTGTTATGGGATTGGTGTGATAGGGGGAAAGCGGGCTTACGTCTTGGTAGCATGCGAGGATGTCGAATTCATCTTCGTGGGTGAACCTTGCGTTGTGGAGGGCTTGTTCGATTTTCCAGAGGACCCATTCGATGTGACGGAGGCCGTCTAGGACAACCTGTGATGGTGGTTAGTGAGTTCTATAGAACAAACTCATGAGGCCGAGAGAGTGGAAGGAAGTCGAGGAGGCAGTGGAAATCCTGCCGCGGTGTAACATAGGCCAAGGAGAAAATTTACAATATAAGGTCCCTTGTTGTGAACAAGCCAAGGAACGTATTCATACTGCCACTGATACACAGCCGTCTGCAAATCACCAGTCTTCCACGCAATACCCTTGTAGTATTCACAAAGCTCATGCTTGGTGATACCCTCGGGGTGATCATGCGGCTCCCGATGCGGGGGGTCAGGAGGAGCGACACCAGACCTAGCGATGGAGTTCACCGCCACGGTGGCAGCATCACGCAGGTTCTCGCCCTCGTCGGAAGCAGAGACGGAGCCGGCGAGGGCAACCGAGGCCTCGAGCTCAATGGCGGCCCAGGCTACCTCGCCCGCGACGGCGAGTTTGTACTCGCCGTTCTCGGAGGGGTGGTCTGGGGGGAAGGAGGCGGAGGGGTCTGTGCCGTGGATGGGGCCGTCGACGAAGTTTTGGAGGGGTTCGCGGATGGCGGCATCGAGGGTTGAGTCTGGGACTATGATTGGTTTTGCGGACTCTGGGATCGTTGCGGCGTGGGTGAGGGTGAGCAGTGCTGCTGCCGGGAGGAGGAGTTGGGACTTCATCTTGAGAGTTAGGGGATGAGGAGATGTGAACGAGTGTGATGATGAGAATTATGAACAGGAGGAAGGCGATGATGGATGTTTCTAATATAGATCATCATGGCATCTGTGCTGGATAGGCGTCTACGGTATCTACGGGTTGCTTGGTCATATCGTGAATTGAGTTTTGAGATGAAGTGGGCTGTTCTGTTCGTGGACCTGGAGGGACAGTTTTCCGGGCAAAGAAGACGACGTAAACTTTACGTGGAAGATGGCGTTTCTTCCCGGTGGCCCTGCCATAATGCGGCGTCTGGAAGGATAGAAGACGGAAGAAAGAAATGGGTGAGACTGTATTTCACAGTCTATTCAATGCCAAAGTCGAGCATGTGCTATCCGGTTACCAAACCGCATGACGCCTCCCCTGAGCCATCAAGCACATATCGTGGGCATGTGGCCGTGAGTTTCAATATTTCCTGTCGTCGTCAGAACTAACGTTTTCCCTCCCGCGGGGTAAACCACATTTCTGGCGACGGCAGTACTACTGCTGGGTTTCATGATACCTTGACCATCAAGGCAACAGGAAACAACGGCAAGACAGGCACACTGTGCAGTTCGAATGGGCGTGAAAGTTGTGTTGATGCTTGAAGCAACCCAGTCTAACACCAAAAGGGTAATAAGAGATCACCATGTTGACGACGAGATGACCTGGCTCATGGAAATATTTTCCCAACAAATGTATAAACTCGGCTTTCGGGATCTTGTGGCACAGGTGGCAGGTCTCCCGAGGGAGCTGCTGCCTTTCAACAGCTTGGGTTGAGGCTGGGTGGGTACCCTGAACGAGATTGGTACCCGTCGAATTCACGGGCGTAGTCTATGTATAGACGTTGTAGACTACTCCTGAGTTATGTAGGGTCTTCTCCTCTAAACAAGAAATGATGGAACGTACAGACATGGACGGCACTTCAGTCAATAAGGAGGATGACGGCATTTCATGAGGGAAAGATTACCTCGTCTCTGACAAAATCCAGTACACTCTCATTAGCACAAGTAGTTATGAATTCATACGTCAATGACTGCAGTAAGAGTGCTTAATTAGCAGCCCTCATACCACACACATACACAAGAGAGAGGGGTCCGCCGAACATTGACCAGTCCCAACTGGGTACCGTCGTCGCCTGTTAGTTAGATGAGGGAAATGCAAAACATCGACCACACTCGAGTTGAGTAAATTTATTTCCCACTTGATTACACAGATTAATTATACTACACTCAAAGACTGAAAAGAACATGTGAGTAATTAATTATGATCAAAAAGGTCTACAACAAACACTCCGTCCGGAAAGGGGGAAAGGCTGATGGATGATGAATGCCGTCAACATATCACTGAACAAGAGGGCCAACTAACCAATAATGATGGATGACGATGATGGGCTTCAAGAAGACCCAGCGATGTACATACATACATGCATATACATATACATACATATATACATATACATACATATATACACATACATACATACATGCATACATACATATATACACATACATACATACATACGTACATATACATACAATAAATACTCAGTCGGTCTGATTTGTTTGCCCTTCAAAAGATTTAGAAAAAGATCTAACAACTAAACTAACTAACACAAGCAAGCAAGGAAGAAGGAAGAAGGAAGAAGATAACTAACAAAAGGTCAAAAAAAAAAAAGCAACCGGAGCTGGTATTGAACCTCTGTCTGGCCCACACACCCGAACGAAGGTCAGCCAACGATGAGGACTCACCGCTTCGGTGGACCATTCGGCCAAGGGACCTAAGTACCAACTCGGATTGCTGGAAGATGAGAGGGATTGTCTCTACATAAGGGAATGGCAGAAGAGGAAGGAGCTTGAGGAGGGAATATTGATGGGGAGGAAACTGGAAGGAACGTACCCACGGAAGGAGGTTGGGCGGCAAAGGTGACGGAGGGAAGGTGCGCCTTGTCCAACGCAATATAGAAGGGAAGTACGTACAGGAGGCAGTGGGTACCTTGGAATCAGATGCAGGAAGCAGGAAAGAAGTGATTGGGAAGACCACATGGAGGATCAGAGCCATTTCGACTTATTGGTGTTCGTTGTGTCCTAGTGATCAGTATCAAGGAGTGTCAGTGACTGTGGTACCGTACTATGTAGAAGCCATCCGCATGAAAGTTGTTGTTTACTTGAGAATCATCTTGCCAATCTTAAATCACGCGGTCCTGGACGTAGACCGCATCGGCGAGTGTATACGCATCTCACACCGCCCACGGACGAATACACCGCGACCACAAGCCGTTATATACCCCCTCAACTCCATTCCTGTCACCAGCCAGCAGGCGCCCGTCTAGGTCGACGGGTCGGGTCAAACTGGCTGGATGGTGGAGTGGTTAATGGTCAACAATCAATTACGCTAACCAGCCTACTCGACGACAGGCTTAGCGAGTACCCGAGTTCGAATCCCAGCATGAGCGCCAGAGATGTAGCCCCCACCGGGGGGTGAACTCTTTTTGGTCCAGTTTGATGATTTCAAATGGTCTTTGGTTAATTTTGACGCTTATTGAATAATGGCTAACTGATTTGGCTCGTATAAGGGCAGGCGAGACAACCCCGGACTGTTCGCGAGGTTGCCTGTTGATATCACTATTGGCCCTTCGGTATTTGAGGTGCGTCACCCCGCCCGCCCTCCATCCGATCCATGATACTTCCACGCACATCGCCTTACACTACTTCAGTATTGAAACAACAAGGCCAAATAGTCTAGAAGGATCGTTAGACAGGGGCAATTCAGCTATGCTCACACTTCCCCTCCCGATGTTCGACAGCGCCTGACCGAGAGCGACGCTCTACCCAAAGTCTCCTTCTCATCATCACGAATCCGAAGATATGTGTACTTGTTATGTTCTTTATTTTCGGGCCAAGCAGCCATGAGGCATGCCAATGCCCACATACATATTTGACTAGCACCTCTCTCCTCTCTGTTCCACAACTCCATAGAAGGGGGATTTTGGGGTAATAAATAAAAAAATGAGCCGAGCCACACCACATTCCATCCTCACGCCCGAGGCCTTTCAACACTCTCAAACACCGAGTTGGCATAAAGATAGAAAATAATGTGGAGGGAGAATGTCCCCCCTTGTGATAGACCACTCCAGTCCCCTTTTCCCAATCAAAAAACAGAATCAGATCCCAATCCATTGCTCTGTACAGTAAGTTGAACAACAAAGTAGCAACGACAACGATGCAGTGTGGAAAGAAGGCTGCCCCGTGCCTTGTGCAACACGAACAAACGGGGCTGGGTTCAGTGCTCACTACAACACATACCCTCCTCGCTTGAGTCCCCTAATCCCCGGTCCCTCACTGTGGTGTGCTGCCTAGGTAATACATGGTGCGCTTTCTAGCTGTGTCGAGTTCAAGAAGATGATGACTCGGAGTCCTTAGCCGCCAAGAGCTCAATCATCTTCTCGTATTCTATGTCCTTGTCCAGGGGGTCGAGGCCAACAGCCTCGCAGGACGCTTGGAAGACCTCGTCTGCCGAAGAGGGCTTCTTGCCGATGGTCTTTTCGGTTCTCTTCCACTCTTCAAACCATTTCTTGTTGAAACTCCGAACGAACTTGGACGTCACAGGTCCCCATTGCACTGACTGCTGCTTGGGAGCCGGGTGCTCTGGTGCCGTTGACTCTGGTCTCGCGATTTGGCCACTTGGGCCAGGGATATCTTTGCCGTTTTGCTCGTTGTTGGGATCTTGCTCTCCTCGTGGCAATCGCATGGCGAGGAGGACGTATTCCGCCCTCGTCATGTTGTCCATCACATCGTCCATGTATCTCATGACTTCTTCCTGGGGAGCCACCGCTCTCTGCAGGTACTCGAGGTGACGAGCTGAATGAGCGTATAGCCGAACGGTGACGGGCTGGTAGTAGTCAAGCTTTGCATCACCTCCATACTCCAGCTGACTGCCCTTGCGAACAATGAGGAACGATGCGATAGCCTGCTGTCCGCCAGGGAGATACTCGAGAATGCTGTATTTTGGGAACAAGTAACGATCGCCATTTCCACCAGCAAAGTCGAGGCAGACGCCTGAGATCTCAGGCCTCGCAGGTGGCGGAGGACCTTTTGACCGAAGGGCTTGCTGCGGAGGATGCTGTACTTGTGGGGCTGCTGGGGCTGGGGCCGGTGAAGCAGCAGCTGCTGCTGCGGGTTTGGTGGGATGTCCATTCGGGGTGCCGTTGATGGCAGCTTGTGTCGTCGGGGTTTGGGGCGTCGGGGTGTTTTGCGCACTCTTGAGTTCCTTGTGCAACTTGTCGAGAGATGCTTTGAGATCGGTGGCGTCGGTGAAACCAGGTTTATTCTCAGCTATCCGTCGGATCATTTCTTGCAACGGTATCGAATCCAGAGCCGTCCTCACCAAGGCTACAACCAAAGGGTCGCTTCCGCGCGGAGGTAGAAGTTCTGATGACTTCTGCTTCGGATTCGTGGCGAGTACGATATCCAGAATGGTCCGCACCTCATCGGCAAAGTACTTAACTGTCCTCCCATGGACCAAGAGCCTGTCCGCTGAAGGGCCTTGCTGCCCTCCTTTCCTCTTATACTCCGCCGTGATTTGGTCGATGATCTTCTGAAAGTTGCTCAACTCCTCCGGCTTCGCTTCACCAGCGGCGACCCGCTTCATCAAGTCTCGGAGATGGGGGTCCTCGGATGCCTTCTCGGCCAGCGTCATGATGATGGGATCAGTCCCTTGTGGTTTTGCCGCTGGCGGTTTTGCGGCACCTGACGCTGGTGTCGGTGTTGAGCTCGATGGTCGTGAGTTGGTTGCTGAAGGTGCTGCAGCCAAAGGAGGTACGGGATGTGATGGCATTCCTGGCGCCACAGCTGACACTGGTGCCGCAGCAGCCGGGGCCAATGGAGCTACCGATCGTGGCGGAGTTGGTGTCGCACTGGCGGTTCGCATAGGCTCCAGACTGCGCGGCGAGGGCATAACCTTGGGCGGTTCGTTCGCAGCTGATGAGGGCGGCCTGGACGGTGGTTG